TTTTGCTAGATACTGATGATAAGATTCATATATTCAGATTCACCGCCATAGCTTCATCATGCAATCAGAGACTGTTCATCTTATTTGGCAGGTTATTCATCGTATTCACTTTCCGCGAGAGATTAGTACGGATGGCAGATTGTAAAGCTGTAGCTTGCTTTGCAATTGCTATATGTACCCCTCCAACAAGTCCACAACATCAAGGCACAATTCTTCTATCTATAAAATTGTCAACATCTGTATGTACCTGTTTTTCTGTTTCCCCTTGCTATAACTAATTATCACCCTCCAGATTATCCTATTTTTCAACCTGGTTTCTAGAAGAAGATCTCATAATCGAAGGTCGAAGAATTTGAAGGACAGAAGACCAGTCATTGACAGATACTCTTTGCGCATTATCATCGTTGTCCCACGAACCCCTTCGACTACAGCCTCGATCTAGATTCACACATATTTCCCAGATATACGTCAAAAGACATCAAGATCCAAAAACTGTCAGCAACAACATAAGATAATTCAGAGGTCCAGTCGATGTAGGCAGAGAATAGAGTATTGAAACTATGGAAAACATGTCTCTATTTTCAACATTTGAGAATCCCGGAACTATCAATGTCAGCGAGCGGGCTGTCGACAAGACTGCAGCAATCGTAATGTTCGTCATCGGAATGTTGTTAGGACTGTCCTTCTTTATCGTTACACTGCGGCTATTTGATGAAACCATCCGACCAAAATACTTTCCATCGCTCCCAAGCTTTCGCAGTTCGACAGAGTAACTGGGAGCTCAGGTAGCACACCTATTACGCCGATAGAGAGATATGGAGGATTAGTTTAGATGCGGGTCAAACCGATTATATGTTAGAGCTGTGCGAGTGGATCCGAGTTGATTAAGTTGGGAAATATCGATTCTGTTGACAGAAATCATGGGTGATGCGACAAGTTCCAGCTTTGGGGGTTAATCATGTGGTCATATATATCTCCTTTGCGTATTTAGAAATCAGCTGATGGTAAATGAAGAGCCTCAGTCTCATATTTTGGTCTATAATGTGTCTTTCTTGTTCTTTAACTGATTGAATATTTTTCCAATGTCTTTGTTGTTCATCTTTGTGGTGTACAGCTCGCGGTTGACATAAAGAAAAGCGGAAAGATATTGGATTATGTTTGTTTGTACCTACTCATTTTCAATCACTATCTTCATATGATCGAAATACCCTCTGTTACTAGTTATGGCAACGCAAGAAACGCCATTTGCAGGGAAATATGGACATCCTCGAGGCCCAGGTCACGAACTACTTAGGGAGTGGCTCCCTCTGAAAAAAAGTGGATTGACACCGGCCTCACCAAGTGCAGTCGATTGGGGAAAGTTGGTGTCAGCAGATCGCCATAAGGCACTAGAAGCTTATCAGAGAACGAGATTTTGGGGTAAGTTATCAATTATCTCATGAGCTAGCCAAAGCTAATCTGTTAAAGGGTTTACTGCTCGTGAATTAGAACAAATTGGAGCATTGGCAGATATTAGGCCAGATAAATGGGATTCCGATTCAACAACTGGACGGGTCGACCTTGACACGGTTCCGATACACCCTATCTTTGAGAGGCAACATTGGGAAAGAGAAGATGTGATACCATTGCATTTTCCTAAACATCCATATGGAGATAGCGACAAATTCTGGGAGGTAAGTGCAGGACTTTCAGACGGTAGGAACAGGATTTACCAGTGGAACTAGATCAAAGGCAACGACGAAATATGGGAGGCAATACAACCCGCTCTCAAGATTGCCACTCTTGTGCTTTCTAACGTTGCTACTTGGCAGTGGTAAAACTCTCGACCTTATCTATTGTCATGTTACTTTGCTGACAGAAAAAGGTTCGATGCACTACTCAATGGCATGTACGAGAAAATACCTGATGATGAACTACCTGCCGAAATCAGAGGGTCTGATTACTGGCGTTTTTATCCTCCAAACACTCTCGACTATCAGGAGCGAATTACTGCGCTCAATGAGTTCTTCAATGAAATAGTAGGTTCAATAAGTTGGGCCTTCGGAGTAGGACAAGTCTCGTTGGAATGTTTCCCCCAAGATGGGTACGTAGACGAATCACAACTTTTGGTGTCTCTCACATGAAATTCTGTATCAGAAGTTTAAGTCTAATCCCCTATTTATCTCAATAATATCCAATGTTATTGCTAATCTAGCTTTCATTTCTTGTTTTCCTTGAAACTATTCTTGCACTTTGAACACTGACTCCCCTGGCATTGATAGAACCTATACAAGCGGTATGACAGTTGGCCCCAGAAATTCAGTATTGAACCTCAAGGGTACTACTTTCATTTTAATTGCTCATGATTTAGTCGAACCGCTGTTGAATCCAAACTTGCTGCCGGAAGATAGAGCACTAGACACCTTTCAAATCGTCTCTGTGGTATTACATGAACTCACGGTTCGTGACTCTTCACTATTCTAGATAAAAAAATTTCATTGCTGACTCGAAAAGCATGCAATGGTTACCTATCTATCGGCGAAAATGAAAGATGCAGATTCAAGATATGATGGGGAACCGTATTTCATGGACGAGCCGATTGCTGAGACGTGAGCATTCAATTGAACACACTTGTTGAATACAACTAATGTACATCTCTCAAGTGGATTCTCGATGCAGACATCCGTATGTTGCAATACAACTTTGTATATTGAATACTAACGGTATTCAGGTATTTGGGGGGATCGACATACCACTAGTCAGCGGTCTGGATCTCCCAGGCAAATCCTGTGGAGGAATGGTTCAGTAAGTGATCGATGTGTCTTACATCTAGCTAGCAATACTCACTCGGAATTTAGATTTAATTTCCCCAGTGTGTGGTTTGGTGGAGTCTCAGGAGGCCCCGTGCTTTCTCCGTCAGAAACTCAGAAACTGTGGGATATCAGAGCATCATATCCAGTACCTGTAGATTGGTTCATGGGACTACATGATCAAGATTTCTGGAGTTTTTACTTACGAGCGTAAGTACTATGAATATATCACACAATAGACTTTAAGGCTATGATCTAAATGATCCATTATAGTTTCGGTCCCAAGGCTACACACATGGGTCCAAAGATTGTTGGGCAATGGAATTTTAAAAGCGATCAACTATATGCAACAGCTCCCAAAGGAGACGAAGACACTTCTCCTCTCGATGTGCCATCATTAGCACGAGAATTTGAGATGGGATCGGTTTATATAGAAAATGCGCGTCGGAGAAGAGTTAGAAAAATCATGGAGAGAGCTCAGAACATAAATCCAAAGCAACCAGGGCATTATCGCTATTCGCAACGAGTGGCCCTGAAAGATAAAGCTCCGTATTCAGGTCAAGTTGTCAGCACACTTTGTTCCTTAATTCTACATCTTCTTAACTCAAGAATGCTCTCATCATATATGTTTTTTCTCTTGCCAGCTCACAAGCAAACTTGTTTATAGAAGAATTTCTCTTATCTCATTACATCAATATATGGAAAGTTACTGACTCACCATTGTTCTAGTGTCCAAGATACGATGAGATCAAGAAATATTTTGAGGATAACAGAACCGCTTTGGGACTAGGAGCCATGAAATTTACCATACCTTCGCCCTTATTACGAAGTTATGTTGTGCGCCATGGTGGAATCAACCTTACAAATCCAGAATGGACCAACTTTTTCGTAGTAGCTAATGGTCATAAGGAAATGTTCACGTAAGGACCCCACTCATGTATCTAATACATTTTCGAAAGACACAATATACTTATAGGTGAACAGATATAGTCACGCCGGACATGGAATGATTGGCTTAATTAAAGATGGCTGGAGGAGACCAGAAATTCCAATAGGACCTGTACGTCAACCGTCACTACTGCGTCGAGTATCAACCAGACTTCAACCTTCTGCTTCAAGGCCCAAGCGTGATCAACCGCAGCCACCGAGCGATAAACTAGCACAAGTATTCGCAATTGTCTGCTCTGCTATACTTAAAAAGGTTAATCCCCTAGAAGAAACATTAGATTCATGCAAGAACAATTTTCGGAAAACGTGTAATGTTGCTTGGGGATTAAACAGGAGTCTTCTCGAGAAAAAGGGTTATGGCATTCCAGATATGCCAAATGGATTTCCAGAGGATTCGATTCATTTCGATAGATGCATATATTGGTCGGAGTTGTTTGATAATGAGGCTCCAAAAGGAATGATTAGAAGAATGAGATTCGAGGCCCCGGCGGTTATAGAGCCAGAACTACGTGGTAAGAAAAAGTTGCGGAAGAAGTGTGTGTTTCAAAGTCAGGCTGTCAGATGAAATTATCAAGATTGAGATGTGGGATTTTATGTTTATCTCTGTATCTATTTGCTTACCTATCCTCCTCTTTCTCATTACTAGTATCAACTCTTGGCCTTTTAGGATTTGAGAATCAACTATAGCGAGATAGATGCGTCCAGATTATTATCTCAACAGAATATTGATGTTGAAGAGACGTATGCGTTGATCTGCACATCACATAGGATGAGGCGTTTGATGAGCACGGGCAACCTGAGGTAAATTCATAATGAAGTTTTGTAACACTACGCCGCAAGTATACATTATGTGAGTTGCAGTTAGTTCATAATCAAAGTAGTACATTTAGGAAGGGAGCAGCGATTTGTGAACTCCAGCCTGGTTGTATGACCATCGTATTTCCCGTTTCTGGTAATGGCTATGTTTCTGTAGCCTATCTCTCGAATTGCAAGCCAATAGCCTTATTGGTTTCATATTGAATGGCACCCTACTTGCTTCCAACTTGAACAATCTCTTACTCCTCTCTAGAGTCTGTAGTCACATCTTGGTTTTCTTAAATTCGTGTGCTCCAAGATACTTCTTCAAACAGGCGGCTATTCTCCTTAAAGCCCTGCTCTATCCTCTTCGAAATCACACAAGTGATAGTATTATCGTCCATTGTCAGACATATCCGGTAAGTAGATATACTGATATCCCTTCAAAAAGACATAGCTCTGCGCTATCTAATTCCCAACAACGTCATCGTTATCAATCATTTTGATCAATCCTTTCGCCCACAAAGCAGGTATAGCCTTCTCATTCGTCCACTCCGTACACTTCCAGAACTTTGGTACTTCCTCATCATCTTTATACAGAGTCCCATCTACCTTACAAGGTTCCATCTTCGTGCTTTTCGGATTAAACCATCTTTGTCTTGGAGGCGGTGGAATGCTCCTCAGAACTCCTGTTACTTCCTCTAAATCAGACACAGCGAGTTCGCCCAAAAGAGTTTTTTGATAGAATGACTCGAAAGAATCTGGTGACGGTGAAGGGAATTTCAAATAACTCATTCCACTAGCTGAGACAATATCTCCGTTGACTTCTTAGATTGTACCAGAACCATCTTGGGAGGTCTCAATAAAGATATTGGTGTGGTAGCGTATAGCTTGAGGCATGAGAGGATCTTGCATTGCGAGATGCCATTGGATTTTGTAGACTTTGTAGGTTGGTAAAGCCATCTTTTCGTGCTGATATCAAGTAGACATCAAAGAGATGTCGTCAAGAATTGGTGGGAAAAATCTGGAAAACCATCATTGGCTAATCCTGATGCATATGGGGCTGAGGCTGATTTGCTGCAACTTCATACATCAAACCACTGGCTATGTACGCAGTATATTGGGTGAATAGCGCTAGCTCAAGGACTTAAGACACTAGTCGTTCAGATCATCACGAATGGTCACACCCTCAAAACCTATTCGAGCAAAAGGAAAAGCAGAAGAAAGATAAAGGCTGCAACAACCAAGCACAATATTGCAACTATAGTGAAGAATCGACGAACCGCATCGTGTTCATATCTCTGTCGCGGGGGGCCAACCGTAATTGTCGCAATCAACGGAGTACGTTCGCCAGGTTCGTTGCCCTCCATCATTTATTTCATCGAGGAGTCCTTGTTAAGTTCTACCGAAGCTGGCGTCATCTAGACGATGAAGTTCAACCGAGAGATTTTGACTAGGTGTATTGAATCGAGTTGCGTACGCGTCATGGCATGTGGGACAGAAACATAAATCTATCGAGCATTTCGTCTCATTGTCATTTCATCGCCGACGTCGACTTATTGTTATTCGCAGCAGGGCGGGGTGTCAATAACACGCTAAACACACTCCCGCGGCCGCAATTCCGAAAATGCGGAGAGATTGCGACAGCTCTACAATAATAAGTCGCTTTCACAGCTCCAATATTTCTTATATATGGAAAAGTTGCCCCCTATTGTTTGATAAAATGTCCCCTAGATTAACATGTCTTCCAAGACGACCGTTCATATGTCTGCGGAGTCCCATATCAAAACGTTTCGAAACAACAGTAACGCGCCAACCAGATGCTATTTCAGATTCACGATGGCTGGGTACGATTAAAGCTAGGATTGGAAAATGTATAATGTTTGGAATGAGTCGAGAACAAGCACGAGATGCAGGAAAAATACTCGAGGTACTGGGGCGAGATTGGAGAGAGTTGTTAGCTGGCAGACATGGTTATTTGGTGGATAAAAAGAGAGCTGGTCTAAGTCGACATAAGGTTGTCTGGGGGGAAATGGACTGCATGGTATATTCCTCTTCTAGGTAGAAGGAATGGAGAATTGTACCTTCCTGGACGCGTTTTGAGTTAAACCTGGTAGCTAATTTGTAATTCACTACAGAAACATATTAATAATGTCATGTATATACGATATGCAGAGAGTGCAAGAGTAAATTGGGCTAAGAATTATGCTGTCCACATCGATCCCCAGAACCAAGAAAAATGGAGACGAATGTGTACGCCAGAGGGCTATGGAATGATAATGAAAAGCATAAAGACGACATATCTTTTTGTGAGTCTTTTTTGTATTACATTGCTCAATCAGATCGTTCGTATGTCGTTACACTTTTGCTAACAAACAATAGCCGATGACATGGCCAGATCACATTTCCGTCTATCACAAACTCACTCATAAACCTAAAAGCAAAGACGAAACCTCTTTCAAATTGGATGTATTGATCGTATCGGAATTACATCAGCGAGCAGCTGCAAGATGCGAGGAAGATATTGTGACGTATGATTATGTAAAAGGAAAGAAAGAGGGCTTACAATCATGGCTTTTGGATGCTTTTGCGAAGACTTGGGACGAGCAAAATGCAGCGATGACTAATGCACTGAAGAAGATCAAGGATATAGAAGAGAAGGTTAGGAAGTTGGAGGTTGATACCTGGGACAGGGCAGATGCGGTAGAGGATTTGGGAACACCGAACAAGGCTTGAAAGGCGAGAGCCAAGGCACGAATAGTGGTTGGGTGTCGATAATTCAGCACATTCACCAGGGCGAGAATCACCTCTAGCTACGAGCTGTGCCATAATATGTGCCGAAATTAGCAAAGCTGATTCACATGATACCGACGCAGCAGCAGAACGAGAAGTCTTCCGAATCTGTGATATGGAAAGCAGAGCAAGGTTTGTACTGGGAGATTGGTCTTGCATGGAATGTCAGTGTTGAATGATAGAAGGATATGTAAGTGCGTATAACAATCTTATGGACGTCCAAACACCTGCCCCAGTGCAAGCGATGGATGCCTCCCATCTCTCGATTCACAAGAGCCATTCAAACAGCAACGATTTGCCTCCTCTTGTCTTAAGTGGGCTATCACTCATGCAGATCAGTCCAAGCACTCTGCCTTGCATAATTTTGCTTCTGCACAAACTCAGCAGAAAATCTAGCATCAACTCTTGACACTATCAATATTAGTATCACCATCTTTCATTGCTCTTAAGTCTATGCATATACACTAGCGAGTTGAGATGAAGGAAGTAGAAATCATTTCTTTCTGCATGATGGGAGTGAACAGGGGGCATAAATTCAAGGATGGGCAAGTTTTCATCCTTCTAATTCTATTGAACTCAAGGCAATATCAACATTTTTCGGCCATATTTGTCACATATGAATCATTCATTCATGAGTCAAATCAACGCCTTCGTTCCATATCAGTAAGATGTGCTTATTTGTTTCTCAAATTCTCGCGAGGAAAGTTCTTCGAAATATTCCAGTCCCAATTGCTAACAACGTTTCCGGAGACTAATCCTATCTCTACTAAAATTCTAATTCAAGACACAACCAAATTCAATCAAGAGTTCTTCTCGTCCTCACACTGAGCACAATAAGAACCCCAAAGCATCTCAGCAAGCACCCCCACTTCTTCCCACCACCCCAACTGCACATGTCCCCTCTTCTTCCCTGGACACGCATAATGAAAATCTTTCACCATTTCCCAAACTCCCGGCCCCAAAGTCTCACTTGGCTGATATCCCCATTCGGTCCCAGTTTTTGTCTTCCTCTCCACTAGATACCACACCGTCCAATTTTCCTCTTCCTTGGAGTCCCAGACTGCTTCTATCTTTCCCAAGCTCTCCCCTTTTGTCCCGAAATTCATCGGCCAGAATATATTGATGAAAAGGGTTTTGACGCATCGCAAAATGAAATCAAAATAAAAAAGCCCTGGTATCGGTGCTTTCAATACGATCCATCCCCACCATGATATAGTCTTCTCGCGCCGTTTTGCTTCTACGTCTCCCATATCGCAAATATCTCCGGGGATACCAGTCGGACCGGGAAGTTTATGCCAGGCCATGGGTGTGTACCATCCATACATTGGCTTTTCTATCTCTTTCTCGTTTCCTTCCGTTGATTCTGGTTCCGGATCAGGCCGCCAGTAAAATTCATAGTTCAGTGATATTTCACTCATGCGCAATTCAGTAGCTTCTTTAGTATCCAATTTCCATCTAGCATCTCTGAGCTCGGTAAAGGTAAGAGAATTGATGTCGACGAGGGGTCCAAGTTTACGACTCTTTACCGTGTTTAGAAAGCGTCTGAATACTCGTTGAGCGCTGCATTCGTGTCAGTATAAAACAAAGATATACATAATCTCATCTCATCTCCATTTCCACCTCCAACTTCTAATAAGAACAAACTCACCCTCCCCTATAGTTCTCCCAATACCCATTAACCTGCAACGGCGCGCTGACCATCAAGCCCGGTACCACCAACTCTAATAATCCCTTATGCCAAAATTTGACATGTTTACTCGTTGCAAATAGAAATGTGTTCGGCGTCACCACATTCTTTAATTCATGGTAGTATCGCACGACGTTATTTCTATATCCCAGTCCCGCCATGAAGAGTGTTTCGATTCTGCTCAACCCGCGCGGGAAATAGAACGTTATGGCGGTGTCGGGGAGTGCAAAATCTTCTCCTGAGATGCGTGTTAGTTTATGTAGAGCTATATACGATGAATAACATATGACATATAATAGTTGAATTTAGCTTTTAGCAGAACAAGCCCCTAAGAATACCGAAAGTAAACAGGAAACACTTACTCAAAATCTCTACCCAACATTGAAACATAACCAACTGACACAGTCCCTTCAATCCCTTCACACCATATTGCACATCCAATTTCCATTCTCCTCCTTTCTCTTTCCTTCTCTCCTCTCCGCGCACCCGCCTCCCATCCATCTTCCCAATCCCAACACAAACCGCCTTAGAAACCATCAAACACCCCAACGGTAAGATCTCACTCCGTATAAAACCCACCTGCTCCGCATACAGCTCCGATGCTTTCCAATGAGCCTTAAGTTTATGCCATACCGTGATCATCTGACACATACTTAGCAGATCCTCCTCGGGCGGGATATTGCGACGTGGAACTGGTTTTTTCACAGCGGATTCAACCATTTTGGGCAACTAATCAAAATATCCCTAGCGTGTCAAAATCAAGTTGCAAACTTGCAAGATAGGGCGGGTATCAAAAAAAGTATAAGCATAGGTTCCTAGATTTTGCAAACTTTTGGTGCGCTCGCATTTATAGACAAAGCAGAATCTGACAAAGCAGAATCTAACAACATATCACCTAATGCAGATTTTTGCAAATCATACATACATGCACATCGCACTTCTTTGTCAACAAAATTCTAGAGATCGTGAAAGACCGAAAATTAGACACATACAAAGAAATTGATGAAAACAGAATCAAACAATTGGAACAAGAGATATCCACCTAGTAGATCCCACAAGAAAAATACTAAAGTTCCGGGCGAAGAGTAATAATTGCCTGATTGATGGTACCAATACCAGTGAAACACGGTGATTGATCAAAACCTTGAGTGACTGTATGAATATAAACATTGATAGTTTGTTTATACTGTATTGTAGTAGTATCGTATGAATATCATTCGCAATAATATCTTGTTCAATACCGTAATACCTGTGTGTGCCATCATTCACCAAATCAATCAAAGTAGTGGAAATGAATTTGAAAAGGGGCAAAACAAATTTATCATGTTGTTCTATACACTAACATGGATCTTGTTCTGCTTGCATATATCTCATCTCATCTCAAATCACCCTCGCATACCCATATTCACTCCTTCCCATCTCCCACGCTTTGCCCGGTCAGATCTCTGACACGGTCACACCATCCACCTCTGAAACCTAATCATTACATGAAAACAAACCCCGATAATAAGACCGCAAAAGAGAGTGTGAAAAAAGTCGGTTCGAAAATGCATACAACGCTCCACGCCTGCCAGTAGCCTGCCAAACCACCAATTTCCAAGCCCATGGAATAAACACAAGAAAAGAAAAATAAACTCCTCCCCTTTCCGTTCATTGAAATCCATCCTTCTAGCCATCGAGCTTAGAAGTTGGAGCCTATGCTTTTGCTCCATCCATGTATGTTCTAATCTCTTCGTCGATCATGGTGACTCGACGGACCGAAATCAGGTGGATCTTGATGGGCTTTCTTGGTTTTTGGCATCTTGACATTGAATCGGGCTAAGAGTGCTAGATGATCACTAGGGAAATGGTAGTGCGGTAAACCGGGCACTGTTCTCATGTACTCTTCATCTACAGGTCCCAACAAATCGGTATTTTCAAGTGCGTTAGTCGAGTACCAGATATGATCAATGTGATCAGTGAAGCCGGGCGTGTAATTGGTCCAAGTTAATTCTTGTGGACCATCGGCTAAGTTGGTATAGGCGGATCGAAGGGAGAACGGGTGTTCAATTCCATCTCTCGTGAAATTTCCATATTGATAATTGCCAAGGTCTGGATGATCTGGAGCAACTCTTCCAGTAGCTAACAATTCGTACACACTGGAATCTGAAGTAGAATTCAAATCACCACAAACAATAAGCGGTATTTGGGTCTTATTCGTATATTCCATGGACGGGGCAGGTTCTGGGGCAACCTCCACAGGGGCATCAGGGTCTGAATCGTCCGTAATAGTATACGCTTTTTTATCTTTGCATGGTGGGTGTCGTTGATATTTCTCAGCAAATTTGCTAATGCTTTCCATTAGAATTGCGATCTGGATTAGTTTAACATCAGCATACGCTGGATCCCAGAATATGTGTGCATTGGCAACAATAACGCGTGATCCAGTGAGGCGGTTCTCGAAGAAAGCTAACACTGCAATATGATCCCTAGGCATGACACGATTGAAAATGTCATGCTGATTTTTCATATCAGGTCTGTTGATTGCGATGTTTGCAAAATCGATAAGTTGCTTGTCGAGAAGAATGTATTTGTTGTTCTTATAAAAGGTTGCGCAGCCGTCGACAGCCTTTGCAGCTGACTCTGACATGGTCTTGGCCCGTGACTTTGGCCACCATACACCTTTATAATCTTTGTATGCAAGTTTCACACTGAGAAATTCGCGGAAGTTTTCAGCATCAACTTCTTGGAGACATACAAAGTCTGCATCTCGTTCTTCGATTTCGCGTAGTATCTCGTGCCTTCGGTGCTCCCAATCTAATGCTTTAGATGGAACATAACCGTATTGACTGGGTCCCACATAGTTATCACATAAAATGTTGTAAGAGAAAACAGTAAACCGTTCGACGTCAGGGGCAACCGCTGTGCCATTCAGTAGATCAATCATTTCTCTAGGGGCGGGAGGAGGAGGTACTTGGACGAATTAGTCACGAGATAGGGATTTTAGACTTATGAACTCACCTGGGGCTTCTTCTTTAAGAGTATGAATAAGAGCTTTAGTTCCCTTCTCCATGATTTCACTTCTAATGGCAGGATCCATTTGTTTGTTGCCTTCAATGCCTAACATCTCGAGTTGATAGAGTGATCCAAATGATTGTGGTAATGACGTAAGTTGATTATCAAACAGTAGTAAATTCTTCAGATATACACACATGCCTAATTCGGGAGGTAGAGTCTGCAATGCATTGTTTGAGGCATCAAGATGACGGAGGTGTCGTAATTGACCAATGGCTGAAGGTATGGATGTGAGGGCGTTGGATGCCACGTATAACTCTTGGAGGAAGGTATAGTGGAATACTTCAATTGATAGCGCTCGTAGTCCAAGTCCGCTCATATCCATATTATGCCAATCTTGACGCTTAATAGTATCCGTATTCGAGGGCCTGTTTCGACTCGCATTCTCTGATTCTTCCTCCGTTGATATCGTTGTGGCTTTGTCAACAGTATTTTCCCCTGCTTTGGATCTAGCAAAATAATGCGCACCACTCTGTTTTGCCTTCTTTCCTTCCGCATACAAATCCAATTGTTTCTGCCAGTGTTCATTCATTACCTGAGCCTGAGCACTGTGTGAGTTTGTCGTATGTCCATTTTGTAGGTTTGGAGTGAAAGTGGAAGCCGAATTCTGCATGCCAACAGATGGGAAGTTCGCATGATGATTCACCCCGTTGGAATTGTGAGCATTATGGTCTTGTTGAATATTGGCGTGGTGTTGATTGTGCTGAGACTGATGGGTAGGAAAGTGAGGATATGGCATCATGCTTGCCATAGCGCCTCGTCCTGCGCCATTGACACGGCCATGCTGCCCTTGCTGATGGTTAAACATACCGTAAAGACCGTGAGCGGGAGATTGAGGGTCGGGGGTTCGACTTGGGGATGGAGTATTCGTGTTAAAGGCAGACCGAATGTTGTTTGGAGGTGTCCCAGTACGTATCAAGTGTCTTGGGTGGTGTGTAGTTTGAGGGTAATAATAGTTCCCAGCGCTCTGCTGTGAAAATCTGTAACCATCTGCCATTAAAACCACCGCAGATAGGAATCTAGCGGAGGCGTCGGCTCAGCTTTGTGAGCGCAGGCCGTTGAAGGAGATGGAATGGGCCGAGGACCGGTTAAACTGGTGGTTTCGAAGCTGGAGATCGGTTTCTTCTTCGTTGGCACATAGGTCTCTCGAAAAGATCTTCTGGAATATACCACGATATCAAAGTTACCAGTGGTGGGGTGCGCTACTGTGCGCGAAGCAATCGATGTTGGAATCAGATAGATATGTATGTTTTCGAAGTTTCCGTACGGTGAATTGTGTGCGGCGCGTGTTCAGAGTATTTGATCGACCTTTGGGCTTTCGTAAAAGATCTCGCAGATGTAAAGAGTGAACTGTTCAAGTTGTAAGTGTCGGATCTATTGTCTTGTAACTGGTAAGTGGCTATCTTGAGATGTGAACACTGTTGAAAGAAAAAGAATTTGTCTTTCCACTGAAGAAGCAAAAGAAATAGTACTACCTTTGAATCAAGATGAAAACCTTCTCATGCGATGAACACTACGAGGAAAAGAGAATCTTGTAGGATTGAATTCGCTGTATTGATGTTATCGTCAACTTCCTGCTTAAGATGTGGTTCACCCACTAAAGCTCCAACTAGGACTGAGCCGAACCTCAACATGGATGAGAGCTTAGCGTAAAAAAAAACAGTCACGTGAATCTCAAGCGAGTGACTCTTGGGCTTCAATTCAAAGTTCTCGATGGTATAGGATTGTGAGTTCTTGAACAAACTGAAACTATATATTTTGTCTTTGGCTTTTTGAAAAATGTTGTTGAAATAGTATGATAGTATCACATCCTCAATGATCTTCAGGCTCTATGAAGTGGGCTTTCTATCCCATTTATTAAAGTATTAAGGTCTTGTTCCAGGTATAAACAATGAGTATCTAGGTACTGCTAGGTAGGTATGTACTTGCTATGTATGACAAAACGGTAATTGGTTGTCTCTTACATCAATTAACTTTGCTCTTGGAACGTTTTCAGTCTACTCTGTTTCACGTTTCGAATCCATTGACCTATAGGATGGTTACTTGAAATCTATTCGAAACAAGTCAATACTCTCAATCTTTCATGCTCCTATCCAACTAGATTCTGACGAGGTAACATCTGTCCTTATCTAAGACTAGAAACTGTGCTATGTGGAATATGGAATACATTTGTCCCATGTTATATATGCAACAAGCCTTTTGTCCTATCTTTTGCTGCACTTTAGATTCTCGAGTCCCAACATCCTGCAAAGCATTATTTGATCTGGAATTCTAGATTCATCCAATCTCCAATATCTCATTTAACACAATTAGATTCATCCTTTCAGCATATTCTCACACGTTGCGGACGGTTAGTAAAGTCGATGGGATTTTTACGCACAACTCCGGATCAAACAGTTACTTTTCAGACGGTCCGGAGGAGTCACTATGTCTGTCTGAAGGAGCAGCCACGAACCCGAAAAGAACACTGTTTAGTTGTTAAACGACAACTCTTGTGTGAAACCTGGGGTACGACGACACGGGGGTATGGCTCAAACTGGTTGAAAGCTAACCCAACCAACATTAATCTCGGGGAAACTATCAAAGGTACAAGTTTGTATCACCAATCGGATCATGATTTAGGTTGGGTGGTGATTGGAACTTCCCATTAAGCAGGGTATATCTGCGAGTGAGCGCGGGGAAAACTACCAATGTTGAAGTTAGCCCTCCGAGCCCTCCAGGAAATGCTCGCTTCCAATGTATTGGACGTGGAGTTATAGGTCTTACTGCATACTCAATATTTTCAATTTCCCTCAATGAATCGATCCTTTCTTGAAACCCAAGCATTGGGAAATATGAATTCGACCCTAGATATGAGTTCCTTTGGTTGAAAGATGTATGATCATTCCCAACGAATTAGTTATCTAATTTGATGTTCAAAGTGATCTAATTAATGCATGATTTGCCTAGACTTAGCTTTTTTATATATATCATGATATAAGGCTAGAATTTCCCCCTCCTTTTCCCCGGATTTTCACAATAAAGAATTGATACTCCACCAACATCGACATTCGCAAAAATATAAATTGATATGGTCGAATATCATTATCAGCATCACAACATTACGAGGTCTTCGAGAGTCCCCCCATCATTGGTTTATACGACACGGAAGTACTCGTACAATAATAGAGAACCCTTGACGCCCAAATGCCACTGGGTCGCTCAATCCGATCGATTTCTAGGGTTTGCTTGTCTTTCTACCTGGTTTCCCGGTTGGATTTAATGCATAGGAAAGACTTTTCCATGATTCCACGTGCTATCAATCTGTCACTCGAATATACGAAGCTATAAAGTTTCAAGCCCAATACGTATTAATCTGACTACTCGCCGTACTATCTTACTACTTCCGTCCATGGTCAAGAGATCACCTGCAATGAGGAGAATTATACAAACTCTACTCGTACCTACTTAAATACTTCATCAAGCACTGCATTCACGAGTCACAAACATCTAGCAGCGTCACATTACCGATACATACATATTTACTACGTTCATCAAATTACGACCCCCAGCTTCCCAGCTTCCCCGTTTTAACACAGAAGTCCATTCGTTGTCTGGAACACGAATACTTCGAAATTCATCACGATACCAAAAAGTTGGAGGGGTTTTTTAAATAGGCAAAAATATCAACGGCTTCCCTTGGGCACTGGACCGAAACTTATAGCCATTATACTCCCAGGAACTCGTCACCTATAACGATGATTTATTAGTTTTTAAAATTTTCACCAATGAGGCCTATTCGAATAACATAAAATCCAAGGAAAAGGGGATCATCATATTCTTTCATCATGTCTGAAGCGGCCTTCTTTTATAACACCACGGTCCAAAAGCCTGATCGTTCCAAACCGCCATCAGCACATACAAATATCTCAGTACATTCACAAGCACAACCCGTGAGACTATTTTCCAAAGGCAGATCCAGATCCCAATCCAAATCCAATTCACAGAGAATTGAACTGTTATCACAATTAGATTCCGACCATCCAGTTCCACCACTAAATCTACAACAAATTCACTCCTCTCCTCCCACTCTTGTTAGAACGCCTACATCTCGAGGCGATAATCATAAGAATAACGATCCATTTTCCGAGGTATTGATCAACACGAAGACTGCAACTAGCTTGACTTCGACTTCGGGTGTTGTGGGTGTGGGTATGCTATCAACCCCTTTAATCGATTACAAACACTCCGCAAATCAAACCAACAAAGCCCGGGCCGCTTCAGAAGCGAAAGCAAAGCGCAAATCATCATCAACTTCGGGTCATTCTTCTCACAGCATCAAAAATGCAAGCGGAGTGGAACGGTATGCCTCCACCAATTCCGCCGTCCACCAGCAGAGAGGAGCTTCCGATTCCGCAGGAAGATCAAATAGTATTTCAAGTACCACTGGTTCGAGTTCCATTTCGAAAATAAATTCATTGGAGAGAGATCGTGATCGTGATCGTGATCCATTTGGATCATCATCACCAGAAGCTCTAATGGCACAACCATTTACGAAACGAAATGGTCGCCGATACCTACGAGATCCTTCATTGGCATATCCCCTACCATGCGATCTTCCAGAAATTCATCGGCAGACTTTACGAACCATGTTATTATGTCAAGTTTTCAACGGTCCCACATGTTCATCAGCTTTCAACAATCGTCCTCCCAAACGAGTACTCGAAATTGCTTGCGGCACAGGCTTTTGGAGTGTAATGTGCCATAAACATTTTTCGCACAAAGGCCATTCTTCGATACAATTCACGGGTATTGATATCGCACCGCTAGCTCCTCGTATGGATGCAGACGATGATATGAATTGGCGGTTTGTTCAGCACGACCTAAGGAAGACGCCTCTCCCTTTTCGCGACGAAGAATTCTCCCTCATTATGGTCAAGGACTTTAGCATGGCACAATCTACAAAAGACAATCCGCAACCTTTGATGGATGAATATCTACGAATCTTAAAACCTGGAGGCGTATTGGAAATATGGGACGGCGATCATACTATTCGAATGCTCTTATCACACGCACCACCAGCTGCAAAGGACAAAGATAATTCTGTTCAGGCTCACAAACAAATACACACTAATGCAATGGGTGCATACACCATAACACCACAAACACCGTTAGCAACACCACAAAATCAATATCTCATAGACTACAATACATGGATATCCAAGGCCCTCGACACTCGGGATTTACCCACTATGCCATGTACCAGTATTCGACCCATGCTTCTCCAAGAAGCCGCAGTCCTCGAACAAATCGAAAGTCGAAGGTTAGCAATTCCCCTTGGTGAAGTACGTTGGGAACGTGAAGGAGTCGGTGGATCTGCCACCTCCCTTAACGGACTTCATGAATCGAAAGGGAAAGCTAAAGAAATTGATCGTAAACACCTTACACCGGGACAAGCGGCTCTTCGCAGAACAGCATTAATGAGCATTATACAAATGATTGAGAGTTTAGAACCATTACTGAAAGAAGCGAGTGGAAAAAGTATGGATGAATGGGATCGTTGGTGTGGGAATTTGATGACGGATTTGTTGAAGAATAATGGAACATCTTGGGGAGAATGTTTGGAAGTCGGTGCTTGGTGGGCAAAGAAAAAGGATCCAAAGTCTGATTCGAATACTTGAGAGGTGATTTACTGCCTTCGAATCTATCTGGTTTTTCTCCTCCAATCTTCTTTTCTTCGTATATTTATATTGCCTATTACCATTTCGATTATTTCCTCGGCTGGCCTCCACTATATCATATATCTTATTATACATCCCGCGTATGCGAATAGATTTTTCACTTCATCCTCGGCCTAGGATATCTCGATTCCGGAACAGATATCCCTTCTCATCCTAAACCATCTCGACTCCGAAATAAACCTCTCGATATCGAAGCATAGAGCCTATTGGATATATCACCGATATCATGTGTTTTCCGCAAGGCTTGTATATATCTCCTACATCTGCATCTACGTCTGCATGGGCATCGGCGTATGCTCGCTATTCATCATTGGATATGATCGTCATCCTTCTTTGTATCTTTGGCGAAGCGCTCGATACCTTTTAAGATAGTACCTGGATATACCCAATATGTATTTAATCAGCTTATGTTTATATGTGTGTAAATTTGATACTTGTATTTTTGTGATCCTTCCACTTTAATCTTCTCATGCTCTCACAACAGGTAATTGAGTAGACGAATAGGATGCTTGGCGATGTGGTGATGTAAGTGATGTAATGTGAAGAAGGATGTAACGTACAATGCTTCAATTTCTACCCTCACCAAAACCATAGAATTATTAGCATATGTATTCAAAAAATCCCCTGCATATCTCTTGTTTCTTCTCCTCCCCTCTCCTGCCGTCTCCTCTCTTTCCCCAATTTCCACCCCCCCCCTCAAACCCAAACAAACCCCAGGGAAAAAATAAGAAGAAAAACAATAAAACATACCCTTTCTCACAAACGCAGCCCGTTCAATCGCCGCGCGTATCTCAGCCGCAGTCGTCAAATGAGAATTGCTCATGAAGGCGCGATGTAAACGGGTGCGGAAATAGGTGTAGCCGAGGGGGTAGGAACGCCCGAGGTTGAGGAGTTCTAAGAAGGGGGAAGGGTTAGTTGGGGAGGGTTTCTTGGAGGGGAAGGGGATGATGGGAGAAGAGGGGGGCGGGAGAGGGGATACCTTTATAAATCCCAATTACCTCTCTCCTCAGACTTGTTGAAGAAGACATTTTGTAGGTAGATACCTATTATATATGGAGGTAGGCAAGGTATGTAGGTATAGCACCTAGCTATTTGCTTCGCCTTCTTTGCTTGCTTTAATTCAAGCTACTGAAACTTTAGCTTATCTACCAATCTCTATCGTCATCGCCATCGCCATCGCCATTGTGATCAAAATCTGTACTTCAATTCGTACTAAGAAAGGTACTTACGATGCGCGAATGGATAATATATAATATACAATTGAACAATCAGATAATCAGTAACCAACAACTGATCAATATCAATATGCCCAGGTGTGTTATATCAAAAAATTCGTGAGTTATGGCATGACATTCGTACTGTACTGTACCTGATTAACGGACAATCAATGACGATATTCAATCATTCATCCCCACAATACGCTAGTTTTGAACGACAATTCTCATGCCGAGGGATAAGAAGATACTGTACTGTAAATGCTCGTCTAATTGATGTAACCTTGCCTAGCGAGCTACCTAACCCATCCACCCAACCCATCTACCTCAAGCCCAGTATATATCTCCAACCTTCAAGATACAATCTCAAGATCCAAAGATACCCTATCATCAATAGGAAAGATTCCAGCCGGTACTTTACGCTTTACGCTTCACCGAGACCTACCAACGAATGAGTCAGATATATATCGTACACAACCAAGTTTTAGCCCGAATTTTCGAGATTTCGAGCTTCCAAACTTCCAAGTGAGAGATTGTGAGAAGAGTGATAGATGCGTTTGATATACTTATCCTCGATTTTCTTGACATTCTGTTATACTATATCTCCATTATACATCACATATGCATCGCATATCCATTCATTCACACTCTCAGGAGATTCGATTCTCAATTATTGAGCAGTACAAGCATATACTTCAAAATACACCCGTCTAGAAAGTCTCCCAAGAACAGAGCGTCCTGGGAAAGTCTTCCCAAAAGTGCTTTAAGAGATATACAGTGACTTCCTCTTGACAGATAGTACGTCCATCGACTACCATACAGAGACATAAATACAGATCCTCAGGCTGCACGACTTCTCCTGTTCTTCCTCTTCTTCCTCCCAATATTTATCGTCCTTTTCATATCCCCTCTTTCACACCCGAGAAGATAATTTTATATCTCTGATCAAAATGCCAAGTAAGAAAACAACATCAAAAACAATCAGATGAGTCCATCTAGAATTCTATTCCAGATGAAGTTATTACTGCAGTTGTACTCTCTAATGCAAGGGCATTAGTTGCGGCTCTCGAGCTTCCAGTCTGTTTCTACGACTACGTGGAGTGCAATGCAATGGACTATATGGAAGTAGGTCGACCCAGCAGAATAGATAGATAAGTGCTATGGTACCTCCTGTGTTTGTGTACCTAGGTAGTTATACGGGTGATCATCTAGTACCTAACAATGCGTGAATCCTCTATTCTGGTATGAATGGTGTGTATGAATGGTGTTTCTAATTTATGAGATGTGTGGTGAATACTACATATTGCCTAGTGGGTCGCTAGGAGGATCCATCCGCGGACAAGACTGGCAGCAGAAAGTCTCTCATTTTTTTGTTCTCAGAATTTGCCGTGTTTTCGGATTGATATGTATTTATTCCTTGTGAGACTCTAGAATCAATCATATCTCTTTAATTACTCTACAGTAGACAGGTAGGGAGTCGAGGGAAGAGTCAGATTTAAGTATATCTCACCTGGTCAGACTCGATAAGAGCAGTCCGTAAGAAAAGATCTCGGCGTATAAAGAATAGCATAGTGATTGCTATGAACATCAGAATCACATTATGGAGCACCCTCTCTTCATGCTTCACTCAAGTGTCTTCTCCTCATCGCTTCATTTTTGAATTCCCATCATTCATTCACTCATTCATTCAGTGAGGAAGAGAGTGAGAAATTATATCTGTCCATTCATCTATATAAGGTTACAGTACATCTATCCTATTCTGAGGTCTCGATTGTTGCATACATTTTTTATTCGATATAGTTGATACTTAGTTATTTACATTACTATGTTATATTTATTCTATTCTATCCCATCTCACCTCATTCCATCCCAGTTCATTCCATCCCAATTCATTAAATCCTGACTCATATTCTCCAACATTAAGCACATAAAGACACAAGACCATAAGACAAATCAACAAACACTCAAGTAGGCGCATTCACCTAATACTCATACATTTCATCTCTCGGAACTTTACTACCTCACATAGCCAAATCTTTCCACATCTAGACCGTTCTTCAGCTCCATTTAGATCATACCAGATTGATAAAACCACATCATCTCACATAACATTTCATACCTCATTGCATCGAAGATGTCGAATTGAAAAATCTGTATCACAGCAGACAAGAACAGATCTACTATTACCGATACGCTGAACTACCACCTACTCTCACCCACCGTATAAAAGTATCTTCCCCACACTATAGTACTTCATATATATTTTTCAACCCAAATTGTTTTTCGAATTTTAAATTTACTAATTATTTATTTAATATAATTTATTATAGAAGAAAAAAAAAATAGATAAATTAAAAGTAATTATTAATAAAAATTTAAACTGAAAATTAATAATAAATTATTTAATTTAATTTATAAAAAAAAAGGAAAAAAAAAAAAAAAAAAATTAATTAACATAATTGATGAAACTAAAAAGATTAAAAAGATTAAAAAGATTAAAAAGATTAGAATAATTAAAAGAATAAAAATAAAAATAAAGTAAATATACCTACCTACCACTCACCTCCCCCTCAAACATCAGAAACACAAACCCAGCAACTCAGCAAACTAACCTTCTCTCCCCTCTCCCAAACCATGCCCCTTCCCCTCGAAACAAAAACGTTTCACGTTTCAGCTTCTTTCTATCCTCATCCTGTTGGACATCAAATACACATATTCACCAGGTATACATAGGTATACACACTTCTAGGTTTATAGAGTACATCGCCATCACGACATCATCGTGGCACCTTCCGTATATGTGTTTGAGATGCTTGGGCTTGTATGTGTGATATATTATGTATTGTGTATTATAATAGTAAACACTTGTAGCGATGTATGGTGAAGCGCTTTACATAGATTTTTCAGCTCAAAATAATTTTCGAATTTGATATGCATTGGATACACCTATATTCATATACACCATTTATTAAAAATCTAGATAATCTAAAGAGTGCACAGATCAGATCAGATCAGATGGGATGGGATTAGATGAGATGCACAGTTGAACCTTGAGGGCTAATATACTCTCTCTATAGAAGAAAGACGAAAGAAAAAAAGTCCCAGCCCTAAATGATCAATCATGATAAGGGAAAGAAAAAGGAAGGTGGTAAGGTTGATAAGTGAGGTGAAGAAAATAAAGGGTAAATAGATGTAAATGTAGATGTTTCTTCCCTAGCACCTTTTCATATCCATCTTCATTTCATCAGAAGAGAGTTTATCTTCTTGTCTTGGATCGTGACTTGATTCATATATTTAGAGTTGGGGTTTGCTTAAATGTCTTGGAGAGGAAAGGAGTCCAAGGACACTAAGGATAAAGCCTATCTTGACTACCTACCTATGTTGGATTTGGATCATGGGGATTTGGTGGGAGTGAGGTGTGGGATGGAGATTGATAGTAGGTATGAATGGGTATATGGGTTTATGGGTTTGAGTGGTGAAAGGAGAGTGAAGTGGTGTTGATACTGAAATTGTATGTGATATGTGATATGTTATTGTTGATGATATAGAGATGGGTAGAGTGATAATACCATACTTTATTAGTACTTGTAGATTGTTATCAAGCATTCTTCTGGGTAGCTCGGTAGGTAGATTTATCCATATGCTTGATCTTGATCTACAGTCATAGAAATCACGATCATCAAATGGAAGAACCATAACCTCCGAGACGACCATTCTTCCTCGGAGTATAAATACCAATGGATCCAAAGATTTGGTTAAGAGGAAGTCAAAAACAAATAGTTCTTTTTCTTGACATCTTTTAACTTTCTTACTCTTACAGTAACCGTACAAGAATTGTAAAAGTTTCTTTCCTCTCTTTATTATTAATACAGTCTATTTATCAACAACAACAACAACAACAACAATAACGACAACGTATCTACACAACTACCGGTACTCGCATACGCATTTATCAATGCTGATGTCGATCTCGGAGTTAGATAGCATGGAGGAGGTAAGAATGAACCAATGATACGCTGTCGCGCGATGGGATTTGAATAAGGAAAATCAATGTGACCCAAAAAATGATGGATGCGGATGATCAAACGGAAACTCAAAATTCTCACTCGCTGGACTTTTCTTTTCTTCCCCATCCCCAGATGATCTTGATGGATGGGTAGAAAGAAGATACTTTTTCTAGAACATTTCCAAATGCTTCTTTTCCTCACTGGATTTTCCATTGTTTATCTACCTAGTTCTTCGTATCGTATCGTATCGTTTCGTTTCATTTTCATTGGCATCGTGTTCTTTTCTCGCTTCGACTTGCCTGTGAAGGGGGATGGGAGGAGTGGTGATAGGGTATCGGTATCTACGGTTGGCTAGGTACCTATCCTATCTCCTTACCGTACCGTTAACGAGGTAGAGGTAGATGTAGATATCATGAGTGGTGGTAGGTAAGGATGTCGCTATCTGTCTGTGTGTGGAGAAAGAGGATTCCCTTAGCTATTGGGCACGCGTACGGTTACGGAGAGCACGGAGCGGAGAACACTTCCATACCTGGCTGGGGGAAGAAGAAGGAAAATGTTCTAAAATTCCTTCTTTGCTTTTTCTCTAGATGGATGGATGGATGGGTGCAGGCACAGGTGCAAGGTGCAGGCATGGTAAAGGGACCTAGGGATTCTGTGCATCGAAGCTTTTCCTAAATTTTGGGGGGTTGCTTGCTTTTGCTTTTGCTTTTGGATTTGGTGGTTGTTGCTTTTCTTTTGTATCGGGTGGTATGGTATGTATTTCATACAGGTAGAGTCTGTACTATAATATATGTTATATTGTTTACCCGCATCTTGCACATATACTACCTATCTAGTGTTTAGTGTCTGATGTCTAATATCTAGTACCTGTACCTACCTCGTTGGACACATTCATATACATATAGTTACATAGTTATACATATACATATATATATACATACATACCACATACTCACTAAGTACTAGCTATACCTCATACCTCATATGGCATTTAAAATCTAGACCAATTTGACGCCTTTCCCCTCTTCACCCAATCACATCAATGACATTCCATCTAGACCTCAAAGTAACAAAAAAGAATCCATAATTTCTCATCCAATCACTCAAATTGAACCAATCAATCTCTCCACTTCTTGTCCTGGCCCCTTCCCTTTCTACATTGTCAATACTTAGTAATTGACTATTTAAGCTGTAGGGTAGGGTATCTGGCATTCCCTTTCATTATTCATTATTCATTATTCATTATTCATTATTCATTATTCATTATTCATTATTCATTATTCATTATTCATTATTCATTATTCATTATTCATTATTCATTATTCATTATTCATTATTCATTCACCATTCACCATTCTCCATTCTCCATTATCCGTTTCCCTCGAGTTCCCTCGTTACTCGTTGGAGCTACCTAAGTATAGTAAAATACCTAGGTAGGTATGGCTTACCACGGTCCACGATGGGCTTATGGCTTTTTCCCATTCTTTCTTTTACCTGCTTCCTCCTGATTGATTTCTTCTTAAATTCCTTCCAAGACTTCTTCTAAAACTTCTAAAACTTCTAAAACTTCCATCACTTCCATCACTTCCATTCCACAACTTCCATCAATCCTTCTAGATCTTAACCGTATTGAGCCAAATCCAATCTTGATCCAATCAGAATTCTTCATTCGCCCAGATAGCTAAATTCAAACTCTCTTTCAACTTCTCAATTTTACATTACATCCCAAATCTCTCCCTCTCTCTCTCTCTCTCTCTCTCTTCCCCCTTCCCTTTTTTCGGGGGAATGTTCCATTTCTTTCTCACCAGAAAAACAGGGTATTCATTCCATTCTCTACCTTTTACCTTTTACCTTTGACCATTCACCATTTACCTTCTAACTTCTACCTTCTCTCTCTCCTTCTCTCCTTCTCTCCCTCCCTCGTCGTTAAGCGTATCTATCTCCCTTCCTACTTCTTTCTCATATTATACATCTCCCTCCCAAGTATATCACACAGTTGAATGTATCTTCCCAAACTAATGATACATCACACTTCAATCAGTCTTTTCTTTCATATAGACGAGCGACCAAACGAGCGACCAAACGAGCGACCAAACGAGCGAAACAAAAGTTCAAACAAATAAATAAATAAATAAATACACCCGGCGACAAATAACAACCACCACCACAACACTAACGGGACTCGAACTCGAATCAAAAACCCAAGGACTTTCCCTGAAGAGCTTCCCCTCCCTTCCAAAAAAAAAAAAGATACACCTTTCAATCCTTTATAACTTTTTTTTTTCTTCAATATCAGCTTGAGATCTTTTCTTCTTCTTCTATTGTTGTATAGCGTATAGCGTATATCACATTCGACATTCTATATTCTATATCTCCATTGCGACAACGAAATACAATCGAAATTATGTCCTTCTTTTGATTTTCTTTCTCCCTTCTCTCCCACATCTCCCTTACGACATTGTTCTCCCACACACATACATACAAAATCACCGTAACGAGTATTCACATGTACTCGAACGAATCGAATTGACCACCTTTTTTTTTTTTGAAAGAAATTTGTGAGAAGGAGGGTTGAGAAGTTTATACTTCTCAACCAATACCTACCTATATTCTGTATAATATCACACTACACTACACTACACTACACAATAATCCAATACTCACGAGATACATGTACTGCTGCTTCTGTCCTTGAATGACTTAGAGCAACGAAATCAATAACAAGACTCAATACCAGTACCAGTACCAGTACCAGTACCAGTACCAGTACCAGTACCAGTACCATTACCATTACCATTACCATTACCAAAATCAGGATTAAGATCAAGATCAAGACCAAATTCAAATTCAAATTCAACCAAGAAGCCCCTCTTTTCAGTTATATCCACTCTTCGATATTCATTCCACATTCATCACCTTCCATCTGAACTCCAATTAGTCGAATTTCCACTTCCGTTACACTACAGAGTCCAGAACTACCTCGATTTCCTATTACACGTACAGGGCTTCCCTGTCATTGCGAAACACTTCCAATCTACTTTATTCCTTTTACGAGATTCGGTTGCATTTTCTTTCATACCAATTTCGAAATTCCCTCGGTCCTTTCATACCAAAATCGTCGCGCGAATAAAAATATCGTCATCGACTTTTCGTCAGAGAAACAGACATCCGAAACAAAGACATTGAACAAGAAGGGGAAAAACAAGGGATTTGATTTTCAAAACGAGACTCGGTCGATCCAAAAGCAAAAGGCGCTGCGCTCGAGCCAGCTTGCCCCCGTGCGACACGGTAATTGGGCTGTCGAGCTCAATCAATTGACTTTTTTCTTCCTTTGCTTTTTCCTGCCTATATTACCTTTTAATATTGGTCAAAAAGCCCGCGGATATTGGTGGTGAGCGGGTATATAGATTCGGTGTTGTGGCGTGCGAAAGATAGTGGCAGTAATGGACTACGCCGCATGCAACATTGTCTACGTGGATCGCAGAGCTCTCGAGGACAAATTGGTGCGAAGAGAGGATGTGGTGTCAAATGTCTCGACCTTGGAAAATTCGGCCCCGACCACGGATGGCGCGACGACACCACGAGCGATCAATCCGGTTGATAATAATGTGAACATCTTATTGACGTCTTTCACCGAAGGTAGGTTCAATTTTAATTGAGACGGGTGGTTGCTTCAATTGGTCTTGGGGGTGGGAGACTACAATGGATGATGGAATTGACAAAAAATATAGTTCACGTGTGTACCTCGGGCAAGTCCTGCATGTCGAAAGTTTCCGACCTGAATCGCGAATCGACCGTGGATTTAATACCGACCCTCGTTTTAATAGAGATCCCGCATGACGATCAAGTCAATGAGCGACCTGCAAGGGATGTCCGGACGCCGTCGCCCAGTTCCAAGCAACAGAATGATGGGATGCTGGATGATGATTTTGGGGAGGTGTATGGAATACAATTGTTACAATGGGTCGCATCCGAAATTCAACAACATCGCTTCTCGAAGCTCGTCGTCCCGGTCGCCGTGGTCTCCTCGTCGGAGCCAAGTCTTTCGATAGGCTCGGCAAAAAATCGTATGAGTTCGAGGTCGGAACCCGCTCCTGCAACCGGATATGATATGGGCAAACAAAATCGAAAATCGACCGGCATCTACATTCCACTGGATCAGAGACGGACCATGAAACTTTTAGACATTGGAGCTTTGGATGTCATAACCAGTCCTCTTTTACTAGAACGATTACCCAGTTTGGCAGTACATGCATATCGCGCGCACAAAGATGCATCCAAGGACCAGAGAGTATTGTTGGAAAAGAAGAGGGGAAGGAAGCGCTCGTGGGTTGGTGTTGAGGATCAAAAACCTTATGCATATTTAAGAGAAGAAATGGTATCTAGATTGATGGAAGGAATTTGCACGCTTAATAGTGAAGAAGTAGAAGAATATGGCCAATGGAGAGTGACGGTTTCATTAGATCGGAGAGAATTGATCGCTCAGGCCATTAGTTCTTGGCACTTTTCGGCTCATGATTTTGAGGACGATGAACTTCTTTACGCATCATCACTAATGTTCCAGCATGCACTCTCGGTACCAGAATTGGAGAAGTGGCGGATTTCTACAGGTGCGTTCTAGAACCAATGAGTCGGGTGGTGACCGGCCCCGGCCATGCTGACATCCGTTGCAGAAAACCTGACCGCATTTCTCATCACCAGCCGAGAAGCATACAATAGTTTTGTACCGTATCATAATTTCCGTCACGTCGTCGATGTTCTTCAAGCCATATTTCACTTTCTCGTCCGGTTAGGTAATCTTCCTGAATATCCACCCAGCCCAGATGGGACGGCGAGTCAAAAATCATCGCCAATTGCCGAACTCATTCGACCATTTGATGCTCTTACCTTGATGATTACTGCCATTGGCCACGATGTAGGTCACCCTGGTGTCAACAATGCATTCCTTGTACATCTAAATGCACCACTCGCTCAACTTTATAACGATCGATCCGTCCTTGAGTCGTTCCATTGCGCAGCTTACTCTCAAATATTGCGTCGTCATTGGCTCGCGGCTTTCGAGGAGCGTGATATGCGACATCTCATGATAAGCACAATCTTGGCAACAGATATGGGTTTGCATTTCGATTACATGAAGAAGCTTGGCTATCTTCAGGAAAAGCTACATGAGAATGGTGGTGTTACTGACGGTTGGAATGGTCGAACGATCGAAGATCAACGAACACTCGCCTGCTCTCTACTAATCAAGTGTGCAGACATAAGTAACGTGGTATGTTGGATGGACACTCTCAAAGAAACTTAATCATTGACATGAATGCAGGCACGAAAATTTGATACCGCAACTCGATGGACCGAAATATTGACTGATGAGTTTGCTCGTCAAGCATCCATGGAACAAGATTTGGGTATACCAACGGCCCTGTATGCGGCCCCTGTTCGAGAAGTCATTGGACTTGGCAAATCTCAAATAGGTTTTATGAATATGTTTGCCATACCATTATTTGGTGGTGTGACTGATGTCATGCCCGGTATGGCATTTTGTGTCGAGGAATTGGAGCGAAATAAAGCTGCCTGGGAAAGCAGGATAGCTTTAGAACAAGAGAGAATGAGGCAAGAAGATGGTTTCTTAGGCCTTCCTGACAGTATGCACTCAGGCATGCGCTCTCCCCGTACGATGAGTATTGCCCAGCCATCTCAAGATGAATCTTCTAGCCAAGATGTCACCTCGAGATCAGGTGAACCCTCAAACATTCGTGTCCAAGCAATGCTTAACAAAGGCCCATTTCGACAATATTCAAATGATGAATCGCCCAAAGGTACGAAACAGGGAACAGTAGAACTTCCCCCGTCAGCGACCTTGCCTGATCGAAGATCATCAAAACCCAGTTACCTTCAACTGAGTTACGCAACCGCAAGTGCGCCAGGACTTCTCGACCACCCTAGCCAGGACGTAGAAATCTTTGCTAATGGAGATCGACAAATCAATGGCGTACTAGTTCAGCCATCCCTTTCCACAGATGTGGTAGTGGTAGATCCACCCACACCTAAAGAATTCATCCCGCCAAACCAAAGAATTAGTGAAACTACAACTGAGGGTAGCAACTCAGGTTCTGCTGGAGAATGGTCTGCAGGTACAACAACGAACAACAAAAGCCCTTTTTCACCTAGTACTCAAGCGACGAGCTTTGCGAGCGAAGATTCGAATCACGATAGAGCTGTCACACCTACTCATGCATCCCCACTAATTAATAGTTCGAGTCATTCTTCCGCAGGCTATGATAAATCTAATCATTCTACAAACGATGGGTCGAGTTTGCCCGAAGCGAGTTCGGATCTTAAAGTCTTGGCGGAGACGGGGAGAAATTTGAAAAAGAAACCCAGCCGGTTCAGAATGAATGGATTACATTTCTGGAAGAGGAAAAATGGTAATCCACCAATGCCAGCCGGGATGCCGGATAAGCAGGAGTCTGACGGGACGGCGGGTTGACGCGAAGTAAAAAAAAAAAGGAGTAACACGAGAATGAAATACACAACTCGACGAATTCACTGACGATAATGTTTTGAGATGAGATTAAGATTTTGGTATGGCAATCGGGGATGTTTTGTTCAGGTTCTTGTTTGTATGATTATTTTATTTGTTTCTGTACATTGTACACGATGTGGTCATTTGTTTTTGAGGTATTTCTTTCGAATCTTGCCACCTCAAAGGGTAAACGAGGAATTAAATACCTCTGTGTTTATGGGTCTATTCAAAACAAAGACGGGATCGGCGTTTTAACTTTTCTTTCCTTTTTTTTTTTTTTTTTTTTTCACCTTCTTCTTCTTCTTCTTCTTCTTCTTCTTCTTCTGGCATTGGGATGGAAGATGGATGGGTTTCAAATCCTCCAGATCGATTTGAAAGGTGTGGGTGGCGTTCGACTCTTTTTATGTTAATGGATGGTTGGTTTGGTGCTTGCTGGGTGCATGTTTGCATGAATGGATGCTGATTGCTATTGGGGAAACTGGGAGGAAGGGAAGACGGGGGAGGAGAGGAAAGGACGTTTTATATCCAAGTTGATAGGCAGGTTAGACTTTTGGGCTTCTAGGCCAGGGGGGAAAGAGTATAGGATGGGATGGATGGTAATACATCTGGGGATGGGAATTCTAAGTATGGTTTGGAGCTAGGCTTGGGGAATTTTTTTTTCTTCTTCTGACGGGGTAGATATGGGTGAGAATGAATTCTATATGGATTCATAGCGAGAGGGAGGAAGGTAGTTGCACGCGTGAAAGTCATGTCGAGTATATTATTTTGAAGGGGGAGGGGAAATGATAGGGATTGAGGAGAGGAGAATGGAAGAATAAAGGAAAGTAAGTAGATTAAATTTTCAATCCAACTCATTTTAATGCTTTGCTTTGTATTAAAGCGCGAGCAAAATCAACAAGCAAAGATTCTTTCAATCAAACTTTCAATAAGTTGTACTTGAGATGTTTGTGAGATCAAAGGTAATGAATGATTACTAGATCCCGTTCTTCTCATTGTTCTAGAATCTATAGTGTGGGTTATCTTGAAAAGCTATGAAAAATCTAATAGATTTATTAGAGTTATATGAATGTGAATAGACATATAACAACATCCATACTTTTGGGAGTCGCTTTATACGAGGATTATAAAAGCTGCATTGATGTATCCTTATATCAATCTTCGTATAAAATTGTTGGTAAGAGGACCTAGGCTCCTGGGTTCATACCGTCAGTGTGATACGCCGGTCAAACTCTGGTCCGTTACACCCCGCGCCTACCATACATAGCTAGTAATACCTACCTAGATAGCCAAAGCTCTAAGCTTGGAACGAATCAATTCTATCAATTCCCATCATTTCATCATTTCATCATTTCCATCGTTCTATCATTCCCAATCTTCACGACTTCTCTACATTACATTGTATATCAAATTACAAAGTCTTGTAAGACTTACATACCTACAATCCAATCTCTCATTGCGATACCCTAAGATGGCTTTTTAAATGGTTCTAATTAATTCTTAATACGAACGAAAACAATACTTGGAAACCCTATTATTCTTCTCTGTGCGACTCACCATGAAATGCTATAACCCCTCTGCGTTTGTTCCCATGGCGGTTACATTGGTAACCGTCATAATTTATCTCGGTGTTTTCATACCTCTCCTCATCATTCAAGAGACTGTACCTTCAGCTCCTGATGACCCTACTCTTTACAATGGCTTAAATCTTACGGAAGCATGGCTCGATCTTCAAAGTTTGAGTGATGGTTACCATCCTTTCAATAGTCGCAAGAATGACGATGTGCGAAATTGGTTATTGAAGAGGATTGATGAAATACTTAATCACAATCAAATTCAGTATACTATCGAAACCGACAGCGCCACTCTCTCCGAAACTCAAATCAAGTCCGATTTCGTCGCAGAAGCTCCCGAGTCGGTATCGAGTCCTAGTAACTCCAATGACGATCCTGCAGGATATTACCATGAGGATCTGCGAGCACGTAAAGAATCGCCGGCGGTTACTGTGTTCAATGATTTACGTTCAAATTATTCCAGCAACGCTCTCACCAGCATTGGAGTCAAAGGACGGAAGCTTGGGATAAGCACATACTTTGAAGGGAATAATATCATATGTTATATCCGAGGTAGTGATGATGAAGAGGGAGAGTGGTGGAAGACTGGATCCGTCAATTCTAAAGGAAAGGTTCATGGCAAAGGCGGTGTTATGGTCAATGCCCATTTCGATAGTGTCTCGACGGGCTTTGGAGCTACAGACGATGGAGTCGGAGTTGTGACGGCACTTCAATTGATCCGCTATTTCACGACATCGGAAAATAGACCACAGAAAGGCTTCGTTGCCTTGTTTAATAATGGTGAAGAGGATGGATTATATGGTGCGAAAGCATTTTTGTCACATCCAATGGCGAAATTTGTTCATACTTTCTTGAATCTGGAAGGTGCTGGGGCGGGTGGTAGAGCTACCTTGTTCCGGAGTACAGATACCGAGGTCACTCGAGCTTATGCACACGCCAAACATCCTTTTGGAACAGTTGTTAGCTCGGACGGGTTTTCGTTGGGATATGTGAGAAGTGAAACCGATTATGTTGTTTTCCGAGCAGAGGGTTATCGTGGATTGGACGTTGCTTTTTGGCAACCAAGATCTCAATACCATACCGATCAAGACGACGCTAAACATACATCGATAGACTCATTATGGCACATGTTATCGGCATCTGTAGCTACTACTCGATCTCTTACCAAGGATACTAGTAATACATTTTTGGGACCACGTGGTGACGATAAAATCGGAAAAGTCAACAATGGAAAAGGCTCTGATGGAGTTTGGTTCGATATATTTGGCACTGTTTTTGCAGTGTTCAAGCTGAGGACTCTCTTTGCCTGGTCACTGACTTTACTCATTACAGCTCCGTTGATGCTCTTCGCCTTTTCATATCTTCTTAATCGACAAGATAAATTCTATTTCTTTGCTGGATCTATCAAGGCTAAGAATCCTGAAGACGAACCTATTTCTCTTGGAGGATGGCGTGGTGCCTTTCGCTACCCTATCACTCTGATCATTACCAGTACTATTACCTTTGGTTGCGCATCGCTGATTAACAAAATCAACCCTATGATTGTCTACTCCTCTCCCTACTCTGTATGGAGTATGTCTGCGAGTTTATTCTTTTCGATATTCTGGTTCATCATGGCTGGTTGCAATTTCGTTAGACCTTCCGCACTCCAAAGAGGTTATGCCTTTATGTGGTTATTTGTGTTTGGTTGGATTATTCTTGTGGCTGCTACAGTGTATGAAGATCGATTCAAAATAAGCGGTGGTTATTTGTTTGTGTTCTACGAAGCTGCCATTTTCCTCGCTACTTTGATCGCCATTGGTGAACAATTTGCGTTGCCCAAAAAATCTATATACGTTGAGCATGCTCAACATGACCGTGACGCCAATCAAGATTCTCATCATCAAGCCGTGATGGGTACCGATGGGGCCAATGGGGCCGATGAAGCTAATGCTGACAATGGAGTGGGACAAGAAGAAGACTCAGAAGATAATATGAACGGAATGGCAATTCCTCATGAGACAACTCCACTCATTGGCGGTGGAGCACCTACTCAGTCATCTTCGGTTAGCAACACTTTTGCTAATCGATATCGACAAGTCGTCCCAGAAGCTTATGATGGGCCAGCTGATCATCACGATAAAAAAGGTCATAAGAAACATCCTTATGGAGGTGAACAGGAATGGTCTGCCAAATTACCTATATGGACCTGGCTGGTTCAATATCTCCTTGTTGGTCCATTCATGCTAATTGTTGTTGGACAAGTCGGTCTATTCTTAGTAGCTGCTCTGCATCAAACGGGAACTGATGGTAGTCCACTTCTTTTACCATACCTTGTTGTGGCTGTATTCTCCATTCTATTATTACTTCCGGTAACACCCTTCATTCATCGACTCACACATCATATACCAACTTTCTTCTTCCTGGTATTCATTGGGACTCTCATCTACAATCTTGTCGCCTTCCCTTTTTCGCCTAACAATCGATACAAGGCTTATTTCCAACAAACCGTCGACCTTGACACTGGTATCAATAAAGTTACGCTTGTAGGAATCGAGGAATATATTCGCGAGATCATTGCCTATATCCCGACCGCAGCAGGTCAGACTATCAATTGTGAAGAAAATCCTCGAATTCGTTCCGGTCTCTCATTTTGTTCGTACGAAGGCATTGCTCCTAAAGTGGTTGATAATATTGTAGATGGTATTCCGCCTGAGAAGGGATATGCGGATTGGCTCACGTATAATGTTACCAGAGTTCCAAACGAAAATAAGGCTACATTCCATATCTCGGGTCTTGAAACTCGCGCTTGTATTTTGAGGTTTGATGATCCATTCTCGGAATTCAAAGTTCATGGTGGAGCGAAAACGGAAGAGAGATGGGATGATGTACCGGATAGTGGAAGTGATCAAATTAAATTGTGGAGTCGAGATTGGAATAAAGAATGGAAGGTGGATGTCGAATGGGCAGTAGGAGAAGATATGAAACCGGGTGAGGAAGGTAGAACAGGAAGAGTAGTTTGTTTGTGGAGTGATGCTAATAAGAGAGGAGTTATACCTGCGTTGGATGAAGCGAGGAGATTTAGTCCTGATTGGACGAGTGTTGTTAAATTGATGGATGGATTGGTGGAGGGAAGTAAGAGGTTTGTTGTTTAGGTTTGGGAGGTGGAAAGGGGATGAGATAAATTGATATTCCTTGCGGGACGAGTGAGGTGGGGAGAAGGGGAAGAAGGGAAATCCACAGGCAGGCGTTATTTGGACGAGAGAGAAGCATACGTGTCGTTGAAGGGTACGATACGATGGATGGTACGATTGGTATTTTTAAATGAATGAGTGTACGTTAATGAAAATGAGAATGAAATGATTGCGCTTGATGAATTATGCGATTGGTGATTTGGTAGAGGAGATTCAAAGGAGCAGGAATGACTTGCAGTATAAGAGGAGTTGGAAAAGAACTTGTTACTAGTTGGCTGGCTTGGTAGTGCACATGATGAAGTGAAGTGAGATTAAACAAAATGGGAATTTATTTGTAGCGAGTTTAACTTCTTGTTCATCCATCTGGCCATATTTCACAAGCTGAGATATATATTTATGATGGGATGGTAGTGTAGTTTGACTATGACTATAGTTTCAAGATTATATTATGGGTGGTGAAGTTTGGTAGAAGGTTCGGAAGATTGAGGCTGGCGAGGATGCGTTTGAGCTGTCTTTCACGTAAGGTTACCGTAATTCTCTCGGTAAGCAACTTACCTCGCACGTGCCTAGATATTGGACTTCTGCAGCTCATTAGATTGCTTCGTCAAATCCAATCTCTGATTCGCTTACTGCATCTATCTTCACACTGTGGAGCTGACTCACTACCTAAAGAGTCGAGGTACTGCAGACTGAGTCGAGATGTCTATTCTTATTGGATGTGCTCGCTTTATTGACGATTTCATTCCCGGGTGAGTATCTCGAATGGCGTGCGAACCAGGTAATGGGTCAGATAAGATATGCTGCTGCTGTGTGCCATTAATGTTGTTACAATGTAGGACTTTACACTTTGTAAATCATATGTGTTCACTCCCAGCTGTGATATCGATATCCTAGCTGGAAGAGTTTATTGTGATCAATATGATATTCGAATATGGAGTGTCATCTATGACGCTTTTTGTCATTGTAGCATGTATCACATCATCTACAATTTTTTGGCGAATCTTCTTCAAGAAACCACGATATCCATTTCCACCAAGTCCTCCAGGAGAACCGATATTAGGACATATCCGATTAGTTCCCACGGACGATCCGCATTTGTACTATCAAAGGTTGTCGCAACAATACAGTAAGTAGACTATATCTAACATATTCTCTTCGATATTCTGACATACCAAAAGATACAGATATACTATATTTCAAACAATTTCTTACTCCAGTTGTGGTTTTAAATACCGTCGAAGCTGCCGATGAACTTCTTTCTAGGAGAGGAGCTAATTATTGTGACCGACCACGATTTGTTCTCTTTGAGGTGTAAGTGATATTTTGTCTATTAAGCTTACATTGCTGATTGGAGCAGTATGGGATGGGGTAGAACTTTGACATTTCTTCCATGGGGATCACGTTTCAAAGCACACAGAACACATTTACAGACAGCGTTTACAAAGACTAGTGTCGTACGGTATCGAGAAGTGCAAGAATATGAAGCACGTCAGGCTCTTTATACTATTACTCAGCGGCCTGATGACTGGGAAACTGCTTTAAGGAGGTAGAGTTATCAAAGTAGTATCTCAGCTTCTTTAACAATCATGCTTACTTTCGACAGGTTTGCTTCTGCCATTGTCTTGAGAGTAGCATTTGGAATCACTCTGAAGAGTGATGATGACGAATACATCAAACTTGCAGCGGATGCAATCAATGCTACGGGAAATGGTGGGTCCCCAGGAGCTACTGTCATTGATTATTTTCCCTTCCTCGGCAATCTTCCTCACTGGCTTGTTCCTTCGAAAGCCATCACACATGCGAAGAATTGGGGATCCGCGATCAAACGTCTTCATGATGTCCCATTTGCTGCTGCACGCAAGGACTTTGTATGTTGTTATACCCTTTGTGACATTATCGATCATTCCTAAATCGTGACAGAATGAAGGCGTAGCTCACAATTCTTCCTATGTATACCCTCTGCTTGAAATATATAAGGAAAACGAGTCTCGCAATTTGCCAAATGAATTTGCCATGGAAGATATCAATGGTTCCGCTGCCGCTATCTTTATCGCAGGTTCAGACACTACTTTCGCAACGACTTTAGTGGGAATTTTGAATTTATTGCTCAATCCTACTATATTCCACAAAGCAAGAAGTCTGCTCGATCAAACTATCGGACTAGATCGTCTTCCTTCATTGAAAGATAGAGAACATCCAGACCTTCTCTACATTGAGTATATTGTTCAAGAAATAGTTAGATGGCGACCCCTATCTCCTCTGGGCGTCCCACACAAGAGTCTCAAGGATGACATTTACAACGGAATGTTTATTCCCCAGGGCACGAATGTATTTTTCAACACATGGGCCATGAGTCGCGATGAGTCGGTGTACCAAAATCCCGATTTGTTTAACCCCGATCGATATCTCCCAGTCGCACACGGTGGAGCTGGCGAACCATTCCTCAAAGGCCCGTTTGGGTTTGGACGGAGAATCTGCGTGGGTCGTCATCTGGCATTGGCGAGTGTGTGGATTGTGTTGGCGACTTTGATCTCTACGGTTGATATTGCGAAGGCGGTGGATGGGAATGGAGAGGATATTGAGCCGGTGGTGGGCTTCACAACGGGGTTGTCGAGGTATGAAATCCTTTTTTTCTGTCTTTTTTTTTCTTTCAAATACGAACTATCTTGTGTTTGGGAGAGTGTCTGCTTACTAGTCATTGTTGTTGTTGGTTTAGCCATCCTCTGCATTTCGACTGCAAATTTACTTCTCGATCGAAGAGCATGGAAGGGTTGTTGGATTCTTCTTTGTTGTAAATCATATTGATGTAAACACATCTGGATTTTGGTAAGATTACATCAACAACACAATAGCTAAGTTTAACAGTGGGTATTAACAGATACATAGACTACCTATTGTTGTGACTGTAGTTGTAGTTACATAACATAACGCACACAAGTGTTCGCATACCTCCCTCCACCTCTATTATTATCTAGATCCTAAATTGCAGATCGTAGTTTAGATAATAGAGAATCTCACTGCGAAATTCAAATTTGTATCGGAAAATTGGATTGAGTTGAATTGAAGACAAGTATACGATTATGCGGTAATGGTGATGGTAAATATACTGGTACTCGTGGCTTGGATTTCTGGGAATGCTTTTATGTATCTATTGAGGAATTTTCGCGTTTTTTCGGGCTCGAGGAGAGAGAATTGGGATGGGGAGGGGAGAGGTTGAATTGGGAGGGTTATAGAATTGTTAAGTTTAGAGTCGAGTTTGCGGCCATTGGAGATGTGGTTGAGTGTATTAACTGCTTGTTTGGATGTCGTTCTACGTCCAAAAAAGTATGTTTGATTTCTACATTCGGTCTGGAATCTTATCGCGAGACCCGTGGATATTATAGTAATTCCGGGTTCTGGAGAATGAGGGAAGATAAGTTAAATGTAGTAGTAGTTGGTGACGAGGAGCTAAAGAGATCTTTGACGTCGAGTGGTTGTATAGTAATAGTGAGTGTATTCTATGTCGAGCAAAGCGGATGTATGGATATCATGATTTTGATATGAATAAAATTCCGCTCTGTTCTGCTTGAAGATTTTCGGTGCGCTCTCTTATTTTCGATATGTTTAGATGAGAAAAGATATAGCGATCTAGTATTATAATAGTGTAGGTTCTGGGAGAGTGGGCTCGCTCGGCTAGAGTGAGTCTGAGAGGATTGTGTTTGTATCTCGACTATGGATAGCTTTTTCTTCCGGTCTAGTGAATCTTATTTTGGGGAGATTGATCATTGTAGGGACCTATGATTTTTAGATTAGAGGGGAGAAGAATAGAGAAGATTAGATTGTGTGAGTGAGCTACATGAAATGGATTGAGAAGCAACAAGTCCCGCATCACGCACGATACTCATGATCATTCATGGCTCGCTTGACTGACTATTGCGCTTTATTTCCTAATGCAGAAATGACGATGGAGAAGAAGCATTCACTGGATGGTTTATGCGAAATTCATGGAGATGGGAAGTGAGTGACACAACTCATGATTTTTGAATGAGATTTGCGGATTGGATCTTACATGTTCAATATTCTAGATCCTCTATATACCTTTTGCATCTACTTCGAACTTAGGTATTTAGCCAATGGACTAATCTCATATTCTCTATTCCTAATATAGGTCATCTATCTTACCAAAGATTAACCATCCCAAAAACGGTTCATGAACTTCATTTCTTCGTTCTATCATTGATCATCCCGTATACATCCTACACACATGCAGACCTACCAGCTACGTCAGGCGCAATTATTACGATCCTCCTTGCAATACACAGCTTGCAACTGAATCGCATAACAACCACTTGGAATTGTCGCTCCGGCCGTCGCATAAAAGACTCCAATAACGCCTGTGCTATAATCTGTGTTTGCCACACAAGCTAGATGATCATTACGCATTAGCAATCCGTCCATCACTCTCCAGACACATCACCAAATCCTCTCACGAAAAAGGGAAAAGGAAAAAAGAAAAGAAAAAAAAACCCCCCCCCATACCATAAAAAGCCCCCGCGCCATTAACCAACAAATTCCCACTCTTATCCAAACTATAGCCCTTCTGCGGAGTCGCCCACACATCGAGCTGAACCCAGCTGCCTGCGGCGCCGTGGATAAAATACGCGGGGATAGCATCGTCGGATGGATCCATGCCGATGAATGAGAGGACGCCGTTGGTGATGGTTCCGCCGACGGGAAGAGTCTGGAGGGGTTGGAGCCCCGCGACGAGAGTTCCTGATACGGAGCCGACGGAGCCGAAATGTACGTTGTTGTAGGGGGTGTAGGTGGATTTGGAGAGGAGGGAGAATTTGGCGGTGGTGGCGGCGGTGTTGAGAGGGGGGAGGGTGGCGAGGGGGAGGAGGGCGTGGGGGAATTTCATGGTTGTGGTTGGGGTTGGGGTTGTGGTTGTAGGTTGAAGGGTTCTGGTACGGGGTTGATTGGTTGAGGTGGTGATTGGATGCTGGATGCTGGATGTAGGATAGATAGATAATAACTAGCAATCAGAAAGTCGGGATACACTCAAAAAAATAGACAATCCATCTCCTTTATAAGTATAAAAGCCACCTTCCCCATCTCAGCATCCAGCAATCTGCACTTGCAGGCTTGCAACAGCATGAAAACTTCAATAGCATCCTCACCCTCATCTCATCCCAGCCCGTCTTCTTCCATCCCATCACCAATTTTCCACAAATAAAGAACTGATGTTCTTCATCGCCAAGAGAGGAGAAACGCACAGTAATCATGTATCGTAAATCCTTCATCTCATCTCCATCTCCATCCTAGAGCCTTTCACAAATCTGTTGTAAATACATACACACGGACATACGTACGTATGTACGCTGACCATCAGCACATTTCCCCCTCCCGCCTCCTCACCCATCCCTTCCGCCCAAAACATGCAGACAAACAAGCAAGAGATCCAGCAGTCCACCGCCCAAGCTTGGCACCCGGGAGGAAGCCGCCCGAGAACCGGACCCATATATCCAGATCTTCTGCCCTGCCCTGTCCAGAACCTCCCTAATCGAGCTAGATTCTAATCAATCACGCACGCGAGAATGCGAGCATCCGGGGTACGTACCATACCATACCATACCATACACAGTACCTGCCGACTAAACATGCACATTCCCGAACCACACCAACATACATACATACATACATACGTCCGTACATACGTCCGTACGCTGAAGAAAAGTTTTCCTCATCCACCCAAGCCACCCACCCTCACTCCCTCACACCCTGAAGAATGGACACGGACCGACCCAGGCCCAGACCTTGAAAATCTATCTATCTGTCTATCCATCTATCTATCTCTCGATGCCAAGAATGCAAGTCTACAATCAGCATAAGAGATGCAGACGATGTGCATTAGCGAGGAAGCTCGTATTGGAGACCTCGTGCGTGCATGCGTGTTCGCTTCGGAGATCATTTCTGCAAGACAAGTGTGTATCTCGGATGCCAAGATTCGGCGGTTAGTCAGCTTGGTCGGAGGGATTCTGGACTTCCTTTTGGTGATGGGTTTGGGATGGGGAGATGTAAGATGTGGGATGCGAGGAGTGGAGCTACTCTGAGGAAGTATTGAGCGTTGCTGATTCGGGTGCAGAGGTTACCGCTCGTGAAAGTTAGCACCGTGCTGGCAGGGGAAAGTCTTTGATTTTTCGCTGTGAACAAGTGATTCTATTATTTCTGTGATTCCCCCCTCGTTTATATCATTTAATTAGGTAATTAACTAGGTGTTTTAATAGGGGAATAGATATAGTACAAAAGTTACGAAAGCTAACCGCCACCATTCATACATTTTTCACATATACAATTATACACACAATATATCATCCACTCCTCATTAACCCTAACTTCTCGCTTCCTTTCCATGTAAAAGGTGAAGTACCCCCAAACGCCACCCTCATGCATTACTATCTCCAAATCATTTCAATCATTACCCATGTTGCCCAGTAACCGGGTTTTTGCTATCGTATTTGTCCAACTCACTTCCATCCCCAGAGTACCCTATCCTATCTCGATTGTCATCGATGATACGGGCGTATTCTATTAGAAGTCTAAAGAGATAGATCTGTTCCGAGGCTGAATCAGCACAACCCATTCACGATGTCTATAATTTAATTCGGGAATAAACTCACCTCAATATCCTCCTTTCTCAAAACCTTGTTGGCCCATTCGCTTCCCTGTCTCCCCAACTTTCTTGCTTCGAAATCATGTCTTTGTACATACGGCTTTCCATCTCTTCCTTTCGAGTCTGCATCTCCTAATCCAATGAAATACGTAAGGATACTGTAAAACTCATCATACCGATTATCCAGCGGGACAAAATGTCTCCATTGAAATAAGCGACTGTCGTGCCATTCCCTGAAGATAGTGCTTTTGATACCCAAACCCTTACTTTTGAGAAATGCATGCCAACGTCCGGAGAATGAATGTCCGTCAACATCGATGAGATATTTACTTTTAAACTGGTCGGTAAGTTCTACAGATGGCTTGTAGGTCCAGACATCATCGTAGAAGCTACAGTTTGGTACACAGGAAGCAGGTTCCGTGAATCCAGCATCCGTGTGTTTAGTGGCGAATTCGCTAGGTTGGAAGTGATCATAAGGTTTATATGTACCAGGAGTATGGGGGTCCATGGCCATGATATTCACATTGGTATCTTTCATAACGGTGCCATTGGTAAGTAGAACTAATCTTTGACGATGCATTCTCTTCCAAGTCTCTGCAGTGTTCGTTCCACCAGAAGTGACACCTCTCCAAATCATGTTGTCCGCCTTATCGTCCCATCCAACATCACCTGCTGGGTTGTAGGCGTATCGAGCATCGTCATACTCGTAGTATTTATTTGCAGGGAATAGAATATCATTGTTGATATTGACTTTACATTCTCCAAACACGGGTAATGGCAGCTTACTGGCCGTTACCGTACTGCTTGCATATAGAAATCCATGTAAATCTTGAATTTCAGGACCGACTGTACAAAGATCCGAAGAAAGGTTAAAATTTGTAATAAATCCTCCGTCTGGACTTTTATAGGTGGCTTCTGCGTCAGATTTAGACATTGAGTCTCTGGCATGAGATTCCGGAGGGCAGGCTTCTCTTGCAATCAACATATATTGTCGACCAGGTGCTCTAAACCACTCTGGGTCCTTCAACAAAGGTTCGGTCTCACCATCTCGAAGAAGAGTTGCCCCCTTTTGCCACAATCCAGACATATTTGTAGTGAATTCGGCTATAGCTTCTGGCAACATAATTCTGCTAGCCGTTTCGTTAGCAAGGAGAGCTTGAAGATCATCCCATGGTATTGCTAGACGTGGCTGATCTAGCCTGTTCATGGCAATATCCATGTCCGGCAAAAACTTGACGAAGGGTTCAATCATTTCTTTCATAGTTTCTGCTCTCCAGTTTTCGTTGCTCAACTTCCAAACTTTCCCAGATCGTATGTGAATCCCAGAAATGCCATCATCGTGATTGGCATGAAGATGCGCTGCCTGGGATCGAATGATCGCGGGATCGACTCCCCAGAATGGCCGTAGATCATCCATAACTTGTTCAAAGTCGTCGATATTGTAAACGTTCTTGTCTCGAGCATATTTATACCAATCCCTGAATTTTGGCGGCGGGTGCCTTCCATATTTCTTTCTATACTTTGACACAGTTTCCTTGAAAGTTTTGGATCTGCTTTCATCGTATATTCGAAATGCTTCATCCGCTTCTTTCATAAGCGCAGCTATGGGATGTTGGTCTGCAATGTCACCCACCACTTCTTGGTCTTGATGCGACGTCGGCGACTTTGAGGACTATACAAAATTCAAGATTAATAGGCAAACACGGGTCAAGAGGCGAAGACAGTACTCACATCTGAATCAGGCTTGTTTTTCAAACCTGGTAGAGGGATCTTCTTCACTTTTGATCGCACATCCGCACCAGAGAGCATGGAAAGATTGAAAAGAAGTATTACAAGGCCAGTAATGGCTAGGAAGAGAAAAAACCGACGCTGCCCGCGATCAAGTCCCATGATGCCGGCTTGACGTATTCACTCCCTCAGCTATATCGTCTTTTTATAAAATTATGCGCGCATGCGAGTGAGTGTTGGAAAGGAAGATTCTTTGGTGTCATAAAAGAGCTCGGGATGATAGTAGCATTGAACAGTCCATTAGGAGAAGATCGTGTATACTGTATAGTGTGGTTTTGTAACTTGTAACTTGTAGATGGTATTGGGTTACAACATAAAGAAGTCAAGTTGTCGGTTCCTTTTTTTTGTCGAATTGCTAAGGTTATCATGTATGATGGATTGAGTAGGTTGGCCTGTTGGTTGGTCTATCCTGTATTCTGCAGCTACCTACTCCGTCCCTGGGGATTGTATTGTCTGATAAGGTTCTTTTCTGCCCCTAGTCTGATCTACAGAGGATTAAAAGTGGAAAATCTAGTTCATTACTGCCTAGGAACGCTGGAAGAAGCTTTAAATTACGGAGCTTTTCTCTATATTCAGGCTATATGCAAGGATTCTAGAAGCCTAGAACTTCACTAAAGTCCCCGGGGAAACAAAAACCCCGAGAAAACAATCAAGCATTCAACATCATTAAAGCGGCAGCGGTTTTTAGATAACCAAGTAAACCAATCAGCAAACAGATCAACAATTTTAATTCTGAACCTCTTTGTGAGGCTCAATATTCACAAAGACCTCTCAATTTACCCCCTCTTGCCCCCTCCTTCAACACAATATGCCTCCACGATTACCAGCGCTAACTTCTTATTGTCGCTCGGCGCCAACTTTGGCCACACCTTTGGCTGCATTCCTTGCACCGTTGATGCAAACCCGGAACGCCTCGATCCTTTCATCTTTGTCGGACAACTCTGGGGCATATAATAAACGTATACGAAGAGGTCGAGGTCCATCTTCGGGAAAGGGAAAGACATCAGGACGTGGTCATAAGGGTCAGAAGCAGCATGGAAAAGTACCAGCACGATTTCAAGGTGGTCAAACACCACAAGATGTTGTTCATGGTGTGAGAGGATTTGAGAATCAGTATGAATTCCAAAGTTTTACTACGCTCAATTGAGATTCAAATTGTCTATTTGAGAGATCTTCATGTCGAACTATGGCTAATAAACCTATCAGTTTCTCCGTTGATATGTCCCCAATAAATCTTAATCGCATACAAGAATGGATTGATCAAGGTCGGCTTGATCCCACACGGCCCATCACTTTGAAGGAATTGGCCGATTCTCGATGTTTACACGGAGTAAAGGATGGAGTAAAGCTCTTAGCGAGAGGAAAGGAGGAGTTGAAGACGCCTATTAATATTCTGGTATCTCGCGCTTCGGCGACGGCAATCGAGGCAGTGGAGGCGCTTGGAGGAACAGTCACAACTAGATTCTATACAAAACCAGCGATCAAGAGACTTTTAGCGGGGGAATCTGTCTCTAGTTCCGTTCCACTCTCAGCAATCGACGCCCAATTAGTTAGCGACTCTCCAATCCTCACAGCCGCCGCCGCTGCTTCACCATTCTCGTACCGTCTGCCAGATCCCACAAGTCGTAAAGACATCGAATACTATAGAGATCCGGCGCACAGGGGCTACCTAAGTCATACCGTCGAGGAGGGACAAGGACCAAGTTTGTTCTTTAGGGCTCCACGAACTGGAAATTTCCAAAAGAAATCGAAGAAGACAGGTACAGGTGCTGCAGCGAGTGCCAACAGGATATGGTAAATGGTAAATGTTGCCATTGTATGTTAAATATAAGGAATGGCTATGACGTATTCCGATATGGATCGAGCAAGATTTTTGCAAGATTTTTGGTGACAATACGCCATTCTTTGAATCATCTCCAAAGAGCTGAAGGCAAAAGATGTTGTTGATTCATTCCGACTATGGCAATCTTCTTATCCCTCAATGAGTGTATCACACTCTGAATTGTCGAGGACGAAACATAGAGCCAGGTGCTCGAGTCTCATCCTGCACTGGTATGGTTTAAAGCTTTACAGCTAGGTCGTATTTTATCACGAAATAAAAGTTTACATGTGTAATGAACCCTCAAATACTACCCTGCACCCGCAGACCGAATATAATAGTGATCGAGCATCAAACGTTTTGTGTAAGGATAATTTGTAGTCCTATAATTGCTCATCCTGCAGCCTACTCTTGGATCTAAGGATATCCGATCCCTAATCTCACAATGATTAGATCTGATATTTCCGTCCACCGAGGCTTATTAACGGCGAGAAACTTAAGTATCGAAAATACTAACACCAGGATCTTGTATTTATATTAAAGGGGGCCTATATGTTTAGATGACATCGTTCATTGTGAATACGGAAACGTGACTTATATCATACATAGATGATGATATTAATGAATATTGAGTATTTCATAACATCTAGTAAATCATACTAAGATAATTCTAAATATCACCAAGATCCCAAATCGATTTCTCAATTTGAGTTTCCTATCACTTGGATCCATACCTCCTCCACAGTCCCACCTAGGTAGTGTACTAAAATATGCGCGGTTACATGGTGAGAAGGCATGTCCAAGCTTTCCCGCGTCTAGAGCTTCCAAGCTTCCAAAATATCCAAAACAATTATCTATGATAACGACGTTACGTTACAAAATTACTCCATTCTGTCGTACTGTACATGATTATACATCCTAGAGGATATTAGGAATATAATGTCTCTATTCGGAGATGACGACGAGCCTGTTGGCGCAACAATTCCGTCAAAGTCGCGATTATCCCTCTTCGACGACGAGCCAAGTTCAACCCCAGGATCCAAATCTTCACTATTCGCAGATGATGACGACGTCGCGGGAGGCTCGCCATGGGGTACATCACTGCCAAAGAAGCTAGACCGAGGAGCTTTACTAAAGACTCTTCTTCCTACATCCGATGTGCCCGAGAGTTATATTGACATCTTTGATGACATACTCAAGGATGGCAATGAATCCAATGGGAAACTTAGTAGGACCGGCGTGACAAAACTTCTAGATGCTGCAGATTTGGGTCCCGAGAAGTCGAGTTGGATCATGAAAATTATTGCCCCTAGTTCACAACCACAAGATCTAGAACGGAGCGAGGTCAATGTACTATTGGCTTTGATTGGGTTGGCTCAGGAAGAAGAGGATGTCCATGAAGTTACACTTGATGGTGTAGATGAGCGACGAAGGAGTCAGTGTCTTTTAATATTCACTTTCGTTTGTTCTAATCTGATAAATGCGTAGATCTCCCAGTGCCCAAGCTTGCAAGCTTGACAAACTTAACAACCGCAAACTTAGAATCCTCTGCGACCGATGAATCAACTGCGAGGCCTACTCAGCGACCTGCAACCCCACCACCTGTGCCATCCATACATAACTCATTGTCCCCCCCACAATCTAGAATGTTACGAAAAGACTCCCTGGAATTTCCCGAGGCTGATCCATGGGGAAGCCCAGCCCTTCACAAAGGCCATAATCATGCTAGTCCCAGACCGAATGGGGCCCCGACAAACGGAGCACGCGAACCCGTGAGAACTGTAAGTGGCTTCACAAATACTTCTACAGGACCATCAAATGAAGATCAACGTCAGCAGCCTAGAAGTGCTCCTTTAGAGCCTGCGAGTGGAGGATGGGGCTCCTTTGATGCGAATCCAAATTTTAACAACTCAGCAACGCCACCAGTTGGCGGTAGTGGTGGATTCGGTGGCGATGGTGGCGATGGTGGAGAAGGGGAACGGCCAGAGGAAGCTGCTCCGCAAGCCCGCACATTTGGCGGTGGCCGTGTGACTAGCAATGGAGCAGAAGAGAACATAGTCGTCACTCTGTTAGCTGAGAAAGAGGGCATGTTCTTATTCCAACATCATAACTATCAAGTTTCTTCTGTTCGCAGAGGAAGTAAGGTTGTGAGAAGATATAGTGATTTTGTCTGGTTGTTAGATTGCTTACAAAAGCGATTCCCTTTCAGACAATTACCACTTCTGCCCCCGAAGAGAGTTGCAGGTATGTATGACTTGCCCACCAAATCAATCTTCATTGCTGACCCGAGGGGTTCTTAGTAAATGGAAATCATCTGGCTGCAGAAAGCTCATTTATGGAGAAACGCAGAAGAGGATTAGCACGATTTTCCAATGCACTTGTCCGACACCCTGTTCTTAGTCAAGAGCAATTGGTCATAATGTTTCTGACTGTTCCAACAGTAAGTTTTCACTTCTCTTACATTTCACATATTGTTACTAAGTATAGGCTAATTAGCATCAGGAGCTTGCTGTTTGGCGCAAGCAGGCTACTATATCTGTCCAGGAGGAATTTGTTGGACGGCCACTACCCCCGGGACTAGAAGACTCTCTCCCCCCTACTCTGAACGATCTCTTCGCCCAGACTCGAACCGGTATTCGACGATCTGCAGAAGCCTATGTTAACATGTGCAATCTTATGGACCGCCTAGCAAAACGCAATGAAGGGCTTGCTGCAGATCATTTACGCATGGCGCTCTGCTTACAGTCGCTCACTGATGTCTCTCAAGACACCTACGCTATCGATACCAATGATGTGCCACTGTTGAACGAGGGTCTTCATTCTACTGCCAAGCATCTTTCCAACAGTCAAAGCATTCTCGAAGACGAGGCCAAGGCCTGGGATCAAGGCGTTCTAGAAGACTTAAAGAAGCAACGAGACTCTCTTGTTAGCATGAGAGATATGTTCGAGCGTCGGGATCGCTATGACAAAGACAATATTCCATATTTAGAACGCAGGATTGAAAACAACGAGAATAAATTAGTGACAATACGATCAAAGCCTGAAAACATGGTTAAGCCAGGAGAAATTGAAAAGGTCACAGAAGCCATTATCAAAGTAAGCTCCAGAACCAGAAATTGAAGCTTACGATAACTAACGTTTCATAGGATAAGGAGTCTATTGTAGCTCAGCATGCACGAGGGATATTTATTAAAGAGTGCATAAGAGATGAGCTCATCTACTTCCAATCGACACAATATAACATCAGTCGACTGAGTCAAGACTGGGCACAAGAACGTGTGAAGTACTCGGAGCTTCAAGCCCATAACTGGAGACAACTGGAAGAGGAGCTCGAGAGCATGCCACTTGGTGATTAGGAGGAACTATATGGCGGCTGCTTTTCATTGCGTTCTTTTCAAAACTCAAATTAGATACCATTAGCAGCATTCAATTTCGGGGGGTTCATTTATTCGAGCGTCTGTCATACTTGTATACATAAATATTGTTTGGGATGGACAGTGATCTAGTGTGTGGGTGAGACCCATGACGGTGATTAGGACCAGTAATAATGATACAAATCAATCATACTAATTCTTGTTTAATTTGAATGATGTCCTTAAGTTTTTTAATGGGTAGGTCTACCACGTTTTAAGAAGAAACCAGCCTCAAGATTATTTCCCCTAATCGTTCCATATACAATACTATATTAATCAAATACCACTTCAAACTTTCGAGTGGACGGCTCTCCTTTTTGTCGCAGCTATCATTCTCGTCTAAGACTCAACCTGAAACAAATATCGCTTATGATAAGCTGTCTTTCTTATCTTAATACAACACCCATAACTTTATTTTTGAGCTAGGCTGCGGGACTAAGGCCGGACCAAACGCCCATGTTCTTAAATTCACAACCCCGCCATCTCCTCCTCTAGACCTTCAATAAACACCAAACATAGAGGAACTTTTTCAAGATGCCTCTAAATCTACCACAACGTTCTATGCTCAATGAGTTCATGCAAATTACCGGGGTTTCGGAAAGAAATGCTCTGAAAGTAAGTAAACTGAGATAAGCCTGTTGCCTTAAGTTCTTCCACCCAAGATGCCAAAACATAAAACATTTACTAATGCATCTTGTTTCGCAGATCCTAAAATCGACGGGATGGAAACTAGAAGCAGCATGTGATAGGTGAGCAAATGTTTTACTTCCTAGAACTCGAGCTGTGGGAACGAATATCGGGAACGAATATCGATAAATGTGGACTACGGTTTGACACACGACACACGATCCCCTTGATATTTGGTATGACTTCGTACTATGATGGCATCCTTAAGAAATGGTCGGGATACGCGGCGCAAGTCAAAACTGTTCTTGTGCATGGAGTTTGATGGGCGAACACACATGAGATGTTAGGAAATACTCAAGCACGCTTGTTTACACTTGCTGTCGGTGGACCCCATCATCGTTGTTATAATTGAGGATTGCCAATTCGGTCGACTATGTTCAGCTCGAAACCCATCATTATTTCACCTTACCATCCCTGGCTTGCTCCAGATATATGCTGTTCAGTTTCATCCACCGCAGTGAGATGTTGCACGGTTTATTCGAAGTCCGTATTCAAGGAAGCAGACGTCTAGTATCATGAGTACGGATACTATGAGTTATCAGTGAACTCGTTGGCCGTCCATGCACCTGCTCGAATTCCCACAATATACACTAATAATCTAATCGTAATAGCTTCTTCCAAGGAAACGGGGCCCCTGCCCAATCGAAAGAAAAAGAATCTTTGTCGAAGCTTTTCGAGAGCTATCGCAGTATGTATCTCGAATAATATCTCTTCAAGGCGGTTGAGCATAGAAGAAGCTGAAAATTGGTGATCTAGCTTCCAATGATGATGTTGACATGGTCGGTGTTGAAGGTACTATGAAGTATTTTGGGGATGATTTGGGCATCAATCTGGAAGGTGTTGAGTTCCTGATTCCCTGCGAGATCATTCAAGTACCTTCAATAGGAGAGATGACCAAGGAGGGCTTTGTCGAGGGATGGAAAAAGTTGGGGTAATGACATCCTCACAATGTTTACCCTCAATTACTGACACTTTTGAACAGCCTTGATACATTGCCCAAGCAAAAGTCATACATCTCAGAGGCCAAAGATTCATTGTCGACTGATGTGGAGTTGTTCAAGAGAGTATACAGACACACCTTTATCTGTGCTCGTGAGAAGGGGCAGAAAGCTCTTTCGTTAGAACTTGCCAGCGTATACTGGGAGCTCTTGTTCAACTCTCCAGGAAAGGAATGGAATACCGCCTCGACCAATTGGATCAAACTCTGGTTGGAGTTCCTCGGGCAGAATTGGAAGAAGAGTGTCAACAAGGATTTATGGAACCAGACATATCAATTTCATGCAAAGACAATGGAGGATGAGAGTCTGAGCTTCTGGACTGAAGATTCAGCATGGCCAAGTGTCATTGATGAATTTGTTGCATGGGTAAAGAAGAACAGGGGAGATTCGGGGGAAGTTGGGGAGACAATGGAGACTGATTGAGAAGGCATGATAAAAACCCAGAAGGGATGCATTTTGATTTCTTTTTACCTGCAGCGAAGCATATTCCTGGTTGCGCAATGGCGTTCTAGGTAGCAGACTGGCGTTTGAAACACCATACAAGAATGTGAGGTGGAAATACCAATCCCTCAATTCCATAATGTAAAGTCAACCTCCATATCCTGGCATGGAAATGTTGATCGCATTTTCCTTCTGACGCCTACTAATACAACACACAAATGACACCATGCTACCACTCATTTCTCCTTTGTATGTTCCTCCATTGTCCAAGGAATAGTCGAACCAATCTTACTCAAACTTTCCAATGTGCCATCTCCCAACTTCACCGAACTGAACTTGATCATCCGTGGATCTAATCCGAGAGTTGTCCGTACGTTATCCTGCGTCTTGCTCGAGGCGTCGTATCTCATGACAAAGTAATGTCCTTCATGGTATTGTGCTTGATGTTTGCGTGTTCGTTTTGGTAGACTCGATACTCCCCAGTTGCGTATGCCGCGGATGGTACCGCCGGATCTGAGTATGAGGGAACCAGCTGTGCGGGCAATTCTGTGGGTGAGGATCCAGTCGTTAGTCTCAATTATTGAGTTGGGTAGGAGGGGAAATTTAAAGGCGATTTACTCTTTAACCTCGACGAGGTTGCCGGGTCGAACCTAGAGATTTGTTAGATTGTGTATTCTCTTGTTATATACAGCATTTGGGAAAGACATACAATTGCGACGAGCTCATACAACATCTTGGTGGCTACATTCAAATTCTGATACTATTGGCATCGACCCAAGATTGTTCAGGAATGAATCCATCGGGGTTTAACCTTAGATTACCCGACTCTAAAAAATAATTTCGAATTGCGATTGTGACGATAAGAAAAACCCCACAATCTATCAATTATTTTTTCTGAGGGGTCGCAAACTGTCTACCAAATTATCTACAACACGCATATACAAGATGTCGAAACGTCCAGCTGAAGATGAGAACATGGATCTGTCCTTGAAGGCAGGCGAGAGGCCGGAAAAGCCAGAATTGGATGATGGGGTAGGAGAGTTCGAAGACGAATTCGAAGATGAATATGAGAGCGAAGATGAGATTTTGGAGGCGGGTGTTGATGGAAGACCTGATGCTGAGAGAGAGGCTGAAGAAGCAGGTCAGTAGAAGCAATCATGAAGCTCTTGCGAGTGCGCATTTATGGAAGTTTACTAATGCACTTATAGAGGCCATGGAAGTCGATCAACAAACTTTCATAGTTGGTAGGAATAAACTGGAACCAGGGCAGACATTATCCCCCGATCTTACTACATACGAAATGCTTCATGCTCTTAGTACCCCCTGGCCTTGTCTTTCTTTCGATATACTTAAGGATGGTTTGGGCGACAACCGAAAAACATACCCCGCTACTATGTACGCAGTTGCAGGAACACAAGCTGAACATAAACGGGAAAAGGAAAATCAATTGATGGTTATGAAGTTTAGTGGATTGAGTAGAATGGAGAGAGAACAGGGCGAAGACGAATCGGATGAAGATGAAGATGAAGACTCGGATCCTATCCTCGAATCGGCTTCGATACCTCTCACTGCTACTACAAACAGAATACGTTCGCATCAAATACCCGCATCAGACTCCTCGCGGCCTCCCACTACCCTTACTGCTTCAATGAGCGAATCCGGTCAAGTTCTTATTCACGATATTACTCCTCATCTATCCTCTTTTGATACCCCAGGCACTGTCATCACTCCACAACAAAATAAAGCTTTGGCTACTCTTAAAATGCACAAATCAGAAGGTTATGCTGTGGATTGGTCACCTTTGATATCTACCGGAAAGTTGGTAACAGGAGATAACGATGGCAAAATTTACGTCTCTACAAGAACTGCTGGAGAGAGTTGGTCAGCCGATGCACGCCCATTCACAGGTCACACTGGAAGTATCGAGGAATTGCAATGGAGTCCTTCGGAAAAGAACGTTTTCGCATCCGCGTCCAGCGATGGAACAATCAAAGTCTGGGACATTCGAAGTAAATCTCGAACCGCAGCACTCACAGTCCAGGTTTCCGAAACAGACGTAAACGTCATGTCCTGGTCACACCAAACTTCTCATCTTCTTGCCTCCGGCGCCGACGACGGAGTCTGGGCAGTTTGGGATCTACGAAATTGGAAACCTTCAAAGACTTCTGAACCATCTAAGCCGTCTCCAGTCGCTTCTTTCAACTTCCACAAAGAGCAAATTACAAGTGTAGAATGGCATCCTACTGACGACAGTATTGTTGCGGTTGCAGCTGGTGATGACACTTTAACGCTGTGGGATTTGGCAGTCGAGTTGGATGATGAGGAAAGTAAGGATACTGGTGGAGTTAATGATGTCCCTCCACAATTGCTATTTGTGCATTATATGGCGAAGGTTAAGGAGTGCCATTGGCATCCACAGATTCCAGGAGCACTTGTGGGAACTGGAGAGAACTTCAACGTTTTCAAGACAATTAGTGTTTAAAATGTTGAGATTCATGGCTCTTGAAAGAGAAGAAACGAAAAACAAAAAGGTCTAAAAGTACAATGAGAAAAAAAAGTTAACATCTACTATCTGTGGTTCGAATTTGGAGTTGTGATGATGAACCATGTGTGCTATTCCTCTGAATAGTCGTGATGAAGTATCGGCTAGCTCCGGGAATATCCCAGATTTACCTACCTAGATATACTCCCCTGGTGAAAATATTCTTCACTCTTGGAATTTTCTTGGGTTACATCGGTTCGTGAGAAAATCTGGAGTTGCCTAATTTATTCTAGCGGGTTCCCGCCACTCTCTACGTACAGGGAATAATGGCTGTCTATCTCCAAGCAAGGGTTAGATCGACAGACGTGGTACTCTTCTCGTATGTATGGAGCCCCCGCATTCTGGCGCGAGGGGCGGTTTCTGGTTAATGGTGGCTGGGAGATGGGTTTGATGGTCTGGGTCTGGGTTTAGGGTCAGGAGAGTCCTGGAAATGTGATGGAGGCTAAAAATTTAATTAGGTAGAAGCGAGAAGTTGGAAGCTAGAGGTTCAATGGAGGAGCTTACTAGTACAACGCACTATTGAAGCTTGGAATGGATGGTTGGATGGGTTTGTGTAAGGAAACTAGAGAAAGAGATTCGGAGGGAAGGGTGGAATGTGATACTTGTTTAGCTGAAGAAGATGGAGATGAGTAAGTAGAGTAGTGTGAGGGTTAGGAAAGTAAAGTGAAGTTAGGCATAAAGACTTTTGCAGCTGGCTTGTTCTAGAACAGATGATTCAACATTCGACATTCGAGAAGGGACTTTGCATGTTCTAGTCTATCCAGGCATCTTACTCTGTCATATTCTCTTTTCGATCTATCGATCCTATATCTTTTCTTTCCTTTATTTTGTTCCGCTCCGCTTTACTTTCCTTCCTTTTCTTTCTTTCGTTCGTGTTTCTTGGTATTGGAATATCGTGCATGGTATGATTTCTCTCTCGCATCGACGATGCCAGCATGCAGGCTTCCTCGTGATCCAGTCAGCAACAGGGTTTCTTGCAACCCCGTAAGCCTCTCGGGCAGCTAGAAGATGTATTGGTGGCTAGGCGTAAGGATGACCTTTCCCCGCAAATTCCGCAAAGGTGGTGGAACGCACGCATGTTTTACAGAGTACTGGTGAGCTGTGGAAAAGTGTTATGAGAATGATATGGGGTGATGGCGGCTCTTTTTCTTCTGCTATTTTTTTTGTTTTGTTTGTGCTAAGAAGCTTTTTCCTACTTTGTTTTTGGGGAATTGAAATCAATTGCTCGCTTAACCGATCTGGATTCGGTATTAAAGATACAACCTCAAAGGATGTAAAGTTGATCATCATTACCAGAAGAAGAATATACCAAATGAGTGATTCAAATCCCATGTATTACTTTCCTTCGTTATTGAGGAAATGAGATGAAGATACTTCTATAACCACCTCTTTCCGTTCACTTCATTGCCTAAGTTGGCAAACACACACTCAATAGAACCGAATGTGGACATGATACCATTGAACCATACTATTTCCACTACACTCAGCGTTCAAACCCAAGTCCAAACTCAAGCCTCAAAGGCCCTATCTTCCTCCTTCCAATTTGGCCCCCTCGACTCCAACAAATCCAATGCCACTTTCAAATTCACCTTCACCTCTCCCTCGACATGTCTTCCCTATCGCTCGAAGCGTACACGCCCCCTCTCAGACGTCGATGGAAACTTGAACGTGAATACTGTGAATGAAGGACCAGGACGAAAAAAAAGAAGATTGCGTCTTCATCTTATTACCTCGCGATTGAGTAGGCCATTCTCTGTGCCTGCAAGCTACAAACATGCTAGGATATTTGGCATGAAAGGAGTATGTGTGAAGGGTGTTGGTGGGGTGAAAAGGCTTGGAGTACTTGGAGGAGACGGAAAAGTTGGAGGAAAGAAAGAAATTGGAATGGAACGTAATGTGCTACGGAAGGTGGCGATTTTCAATCGAATCAGGTTGCAGATGCGGATGCATGGGGCAAGGGAGTCAATGTTTCGAGAGCAAAAGCAACGGACATTGTTGGATGTGGATATGCATCTAAGGGAGATTCTTGAGGAAAAACAGAACAAAAGGTGGAATGAACTTGTGTTGCCTCCGAGTCCACTTGGAAGGTCGAACTATGATGTTTTAGATTCAGAAGATGAGATGTTGATGGATGAACTGGAGGATGGGTGTGAGAAGATGATCTATAGTGACTTCAATGTCATGTGTTCTTCGGAAGAGGGAGAAGATGAGTATGAGTACCTTGATACGCTTGATGGACTTTCTCCAGAGGATATGCAAGAGCAGCCACTGAGTCCGCCCGAAGACGAGAGAATTGTGGAGATGCTACGGGAGGAGGAGAGATTGCATGATAGCTATTTTGTGTGTGTTGGAGGTGCGGAGATGGGAGTTTTGGTGGGATAACTGGCTGTGAGATGAAGAAACTCGATAGTCGGTTGGAATTGACAATGGAGGCAACCTCAGAGGGGGAATTGGGGACTATCTACTGTGATAGATGAGATTCTCTGTCGGGGGCTCTGTAGAGGTCCTCAAACTTAACTTGAAAGCTATACATAACACTTTGGGAGGGGGGCTAATCGGCGTCATGGCATTTGCATGGGTATGTGTTCACAAGTATCCAAAAACGTATCAACGCATAAATGGTTGGATTTATTGGAGTTCGAGTGTTTTCATAATGCTTTTTGTAGCTTGGTGGCGCGGTCTACTGCAATATCACACATGGCCTGCATTGGAGTTAGCTATGAAAAAAACCATGATTAAATCTCGAATACGGCGTACCTGAATAGCCTCTTTCCTCTCGAGTCCAATATCTCCTCTCGATATTCTTCTTCTCATATCTTCAAAAATGATAGGTCTTGATCTTCCATTTACAAAGACACTAACATCATGGTTAGCACTCGCCTGTCCACTACAGGAGATAGGCATGTTCATACACATATCTCAAGCCTGGAAAAGTCTTCTCATATTCTTCATTCAGAGCTTTTAACTTTTCAGCTTCTTCTGTAGGTCCAGTATTCAATTGAGCTTGTTCGGCTTTGGATTGTACACTTTCAACTTTCTTCTCGCCTAATCTAGGGTGGGAACCAAGAATCTTGTCTAGCCACTCTCTATCACTTGGTAATGTACTTTCTGACAGATCAACAAGTTGGGTACCGACACTTGCGATAAGATCATTGTACGACTCGAAAGTTGTTGTATGAAGTAAATCCATAGAGAGTGTATGGAGAGCAGTACATGGCTCGAATAGGGCGTCGAGGACACCGGCTCTTTCAGCAGTGGATAGGGAGGGAATTCCAGCGATTGGAGGTATTGAAGTCATTGTTTCTGATATAGGTAGAAAAGCTCTTGGGGAGAATGAGAAGAATCGATGGACAAATGTTTATATATTTCGAATAACGTGGTTTATCATCATGTGGGCCATATCATCATGTGGGCCACTTTCACCTCAATTATCGTATTTAAACCCATATTATTCCATAACTATCAAATTAATTAATTAAAACTATTAAGAATCTAATAATTTAGGATTTATTATATTGATTTGATAAGTTTTTGAATTATAACCTAATTTTCTATATTTATTATAACATTAATTAGAAAATACTTCCCCATTAAAATTCCTTTTTTTTTGATATTTATTGCATTGAATCTGAATATTAATCTTTTATTAAAATAATATATCTTTAATTTTTTATCTAATAAATACTTCTTTATTATACAATTGAATCTTTTTAATATATTAATATTTATTTAATATCTTATTTGCTTTTTGAAATATATAATTTTTTGTATTTAAAAGTATATTCTTATAAGCTAATCTCTTTATATCTTTAACTAAAGCTAATACAATTTCAAATATAGATATAAAAGAGCTTGATTGATAATAAGCTATTTGAGATTTTATTAAAATTAATTATAAAAAAACTTCAATCAGATTATAAGGAATTTGAAAAATTTACAAATCTGAATTGAAAAAAGAGAGAGTAGGTATATAAATTCGAATATTCAATTTCAAGAATATAGTTTTAGAATCAAATAATATTAAATCTATTTCTTAAAAATCTGTTTTTATATTTTAAATCATAATTGATTCTTGATATACAGTTTTGAAAGCTATTAAGAATTCAATTTTCGAAATATGATTGATATATATTTTAATAAATCCATCAATTTGAGTGCTATATAAATATTTCAAACTACTAAAATAATTAATATCAAGTAATTGAATTAAATAATTTGAATATAATAATAATTTTAGATATATTATATTATTTACTTTGTAATATAACTGAAAATATATTAATTCATAGTTTTCATATTTATTCAGTATTAACATTCAATATTTGCCCTTTTTTTGATTCAGAGTATACTTATTGAAGTATTTCAATTATTCTAAATCTATCTTATTATTTATTCATTTATTGAAAGTAGGTTTAATAACTTAATTTATAGGGAAATTGGTTTTAGTATACCAATTGGAGAGATGAATCTATCCTTAAATTATTAGAAATAGAGATATAGTTTTATCCTTTTTATTACTATATATAATCACTATAATTCATTTTTTATTATTTAATTATATTATTTTGTTTTTATTATTTCATTTAGTATTAGTTATAATTATTCCAGAGTATATTATACCCATTATAAAGCTGATTTCATCAAAATTATAGAAATTGTAGTCGAGAATACCATATTTTGTTTGTATACTCAAAACTAAATAAAACTAGTCTTTAATAAACTTGGGATCTTTATAAAAAACTTTTTGAAAATTATAAATATAATTAAAATATATTTTTAATTTTATATAATATTTTATAAATCAATAAGCCCAAAGCTTTCCAACTTTTTTTATACCTTTTGATTTAAGAATATAATTCACTATATCTTTTATATTTTTGAGTTTAGATAGAAACTCTTTATTATTTATATCAATTATATATTGAATAATCACTTCCTCTTTTAATTCTATAATCTTATAGATTTTGTATTAATATTCTATATAAAAGATAAGATTGTTTATTCTATACTGAATTATTATATATAAAATATTATATAGCTTAATAGCTTTCTAAATACTTAATTTTTTGTTTTTTTGAATAATTTTAATAATTAGAATGATTTATGCTTTTTTATTAATTGTTTTTATAATAAATTGTTAATAAATCGCGTATTAAAGTAAAGAGATGATAATTGAGGTGAAAGTGGTCCACAAGATGATATGGCCTATATGATGATAAACCACGTTATATATAATACCAAATAAGCATTTAATAATGAGTATTACTCCATATATCCCAAAGTGTGATGAATTTACTTAAAAGGACATGAAATTCCCCACACAAGGCCGGCGCCGGGAGCTTCAAACCCACGAACTAAGCCGTAGATAGATTAGCGTCATTATGGATTGGTCGCGACCTCAAAATATCTTTTTATTTGTCGGATCACGGCGCGAGTTTAGAGCTTCAAATCTCATATCAACGCGAATCAATATGTTGTGCTCAAGTAAGTTTTGAAAGCTCCCAGAATTTGTTTGATACTTGACATTGACATTTTACAGTATCTGGAGAAGCTCCACAGCATCCAGTTGCTTCATCGAAATCAGGTAAGTTGTGTAAACAAGGTATCTATTCAGTGAGCTTAAGAATAACAGATTTCAGGCAACGTCTTCGAAAAACGACTTATCGAATCATATATTTCAGAGAATCATAAGGATCCAGTTACGGGAGAAGACCTCGAAATCGCAGATCTAATCGACCTCAAATCCGCCAAAATTGTCACTCCTAGACCTCCAACCCTCACATCGATTCCTTCTCTCCTTTCCACTTTCCAAAATGAATGGGATGCATTAGCATTGGAAAGTTTCACAATAAGACAACAATTACATCAGACGCGACAGGAGCTGTCGACAGCATTGTATCAACATGATGCAGCTGTAAGAGTTATTGCGCGGTTGACAAAGGAGAGAGACGAGGCTAGAGATGCGTTGAGCAAGGTTTCAATTGGTGCAGGAAATGCAGGAAATGGAGACGCTATGCAGATTGATACTCAAGGTCTTCCAGAAAATTTGGCGAATCTGGTTGATACTACACAAGCCGAGTACGAGACTTGACGAGGCCCGACTTATGAATTCAATTGCTAACGAAGATACAGACTTTCCAAAAGCCGCCGAAAGCGACCCGTTCCAAAAGGATGGGCTACCACTGAAGATATTGGCCAATTTACGATCACCTCTACTTCGGAACCTTTATACCCTGGGTGTGTTTCACTCGCCCAGACCGAAGATCGGTTAGTTGTTGGTGGATCGAAAGGAGAGGCAGGTATCTATTCTCTGGCCGAACAGAAGATTATAAAATCATTTGAAGCCGGAGGACAAGTCACGGGAGCTGCTTTCTATAAAAGCACACCTATTGTGTCTACTGCAAAGGGAGAGGTGAAAGTGTTTGGAGATGAGGAGCATACATTTACATCGCATGCTGGAGCGGTAAATGCTCTTGCATTACATCCAAGTGGTGAAATTTTAGCCTCTGTTGGTATCGACAAGAGCTTTGTTTTCTATGATTTGGCCGAGAAAGCGGCAATCACACAGATTTATGCAGATTCAGGTATGTCAATTGTGTGAATAGGAACCTGTCTGGCGTCAGCCTTGTTAACATCTTCTAGAACTTAAAACAGCAGCTTTCCATCCAGATGGTCATCTCTTTGCAGCTGGCGGCGCTGATGGACAGATTAAGTTATTCCATGTCAAGACAGGAGAAAGCGCTGGTGTAAATTTCGAGATTGACGGACCAGTTCAGGATGTCGCCTTTTCTGAAAACGGTATATGGTTTGCGGCAGTTGCCAAAGGATCTACCAGTGTTGTAATTTTCGATATCCGAAAAGAAGGAAAGGCTGCAGAGGCGAAGATTCTAGAAATCGGTGGACCAGTTGATGCTATCCAATGGGATTACACTGGTCAATTTTTGGCAGCTTCCGGACCAAGAGGGCTTACCATCTCCCAATACACCAAATCTACGAAATCCTGGTCGGATGCTTTGAGCGTAGCTGTTCCAGCAACTGCAGTACAATGGGGTGAGGAAGCGAAGAGTTTGATCACTGTTGATAGTGAAGGGGTTGTGAATGTCCTTGGTGTAGCGCCTGCATAATGGAATTTGCATGATAGGGGGTCAAAGGAAACAGAAATGGGATGTGAATGTCATGGAGTTTGGTGATTCGAAGATGTGAAATGGAATAGGATTTGGGAATAGGGCCCCTTTTCACATGTCACTGTAATGTTAGGGGAGCAGCATCTTTGGGATGCCAAAAATGAACAATATTGGCGGCATGGACCAGCCAGCACTGAAACAAGAACACAAGAGTCTCAGCTTGATAAAGTGGTGAAAATAGAGAAATGATAGTAATACGTTGTTAAACTATCTTGAGATGTGATGGAAATTGAGATTGAATAGTGAATACAATTCGAATTTGTATTTATTATTGTATCGTATTGCACTGAATGCTTGCTTGCAGCACGCGTACATTGATGAAGGGTCTTCCGAGGTTGGAAATTGTATCTAGACGCAGTATCTCCATTTGTACTCTGAGTGGCAACTAGGTAAAGAATTTCAATTCGGATCAAAGATTATAAATCACCTGGGCGTAAATTCTTTCACAAATTCTACTTCACTCCATATATAACTCTGGTTCAATTATGAAATCTAATAATACTTATTACACCCAGTAGTACGGTAGATTGCGTTCGCTCGTTCGCTTACTCATATCAGTTTCTCATAATCGTCACTAGTTCTATATCAAATTGGGTCCGACTGGAACAACTTCGACTTCTTATTGCAACAACACACAACACCCCCACCACAAAAGAGACACATTCGATCGCCTACATACCATCGACTTATTGAGCAAAAGGATCTTTGTTCGCCTCCTGATTTTTGTCAAGAGTTGTTACTTTCCTTTTCAATTCATAAAAGTAATCAAAACTCCGAGCGCATATACTGGTGAGTTCTATCAACCATGGAGAATGGATGGTTAGGAAGTCGGGAAAGTCGTAAGGTAGGAAGCAAATGTTTACTTTTTTTCTTTGAATAAAAGGTATGTTTGGATAGTTCTTTCTTTACTAACAAATTCTGTTTGAAGCGATCTCTTGCAGAGATGTCCCAATCACATCCAAGAATTTCATCGTCGCCAGAATTGTTTCGAGAAAGTACCTCCTCAGACTTGGGTAACTCCTCTTCAAGAATTGCACCACCTAATGTCGCCACATCCCCTCTCCGAGAACGACAAAGACGAAGATCACCAAACCCCAATAATAATTCTGGACAATCTAGTCTGCGCAGTCGGCGTGCCGGTGGACATACTCAACCAGTAGGGGAGGTCGGAACAATGGAAGCATCATCTCGGCGCCACCGTCCGGTAGTAAACTCAGAAAATGTTATTGATCTAACATCCGATCAAGATGACGATCCTTCACCCCAAACTCGAATTAATCCTGCAGCTGTTCGTAGGGCAGCCAACAGTCGAAGACACAATACACCTTCGCCCTCACCCTCAGGTTCGCCTTTTCCTGCAGGCCGTATGTCCGCTCATAATCGAAACCCTACTGCCTCGAGACCACCACCGAGATTAGGGAGAAGTGAAGCAAGATTAGAGCAGTTTGTGGATCTCACAGGAGATGACGATGATGATGAGGATGACACTATTATCATAACTCATTCTCGAGAACGTTCTGTACCTTTACCTCCCCGTGCCCCACCACTACCACCAATACATGCTAGACTTGGAGTTTTTGAACGTTTGCAGAGACAGAGAAATGGAAGAGCTACCCCGCCTGGATTTGTAGCCGGTCATTACGGTGGCAATCCAATGAGTCCCCAAAGACCAACGCCAGCAGGCCCCAATGGTGAACTTGCGTTTGGTGGACTGAGAAATATGTACGACAACGGTGCGGGTATTATCATGGACGTCCATAATTTTTTGGGTTTTGGGGGTCGAGATGTAGGAGTTCATTTATTTGCAGATTTCCCAGCTATGCCAAACGGTATGGATTATGGAAGAGTGGCTTTACAAGAGAACAAACCCGAACATGTTGCGCCTCCAGCAGTTCCCGCAGGATTTACGAGGTCTCCCACGGAGAGTGATACTGCGATTTGCCCGAGTTGCGAAGAAGAGTTGATTCACAAAAAGGATGGTGAGGAGCCAGTAGCAAAGAAATCTCGTGGAGCACCGAGTAAAAAGGATAGAGAAGAACATCCTTTCTGGGTCGTGAAGGATTGTGGTCATGTAAGTTCGATCCATTTCACTTCTATCTACCATCATTAACATCGACTAGGTCTTCTGCAATAAGTGTTTTCAAAACCGCACAAACGACAAAATATCCTCCTTTCGCGGAGCCAAGACAGTTCTTTGCGCAGTTGATGAATGCGAATCGATTGTTAAAAACAAGGATAGATGGGTGGGCATTTTCTTGTAACTTCACAATTTCGAGCATACAATTCTAGGATGCTCGACAATCTCAATCTTATTTCTTTTCTTTGTGTCCAAATCAACAGGATACTATTTCACGAATCATCATCATACGATTTTCCTAGTTTCAAGGAGTTTTCGCATCATTGGTATCATTTACAGGATGGAGTACAAGGGCACTGGGGTGAATTCCAGTTGATTAACATAGGGCGGGCTTGGGCTTGGCTTATATTATTGTGTTCTCCGCACCGGGGCGTTTTCGAGGGGAAGGGAAGGGGCGGAATGGGAAAGGAAGGGGGTAATTTCAAGTGCATAGACGGAGGAATCTATGTCCTTGAGACTCGGAAAATAAATGGAAAATAATGTCAGCTGGGGTTTGTGGAGTGGGTGGAGGAACTGAGCAAGTGAATAGAAAATATGCTCTGATATTCCAGCGACGAAACACTAGTAGGTATCTCGCATTTTCTTTTCTTCTGGTGACAGCGGGGGAAGCATGTATATTAAAAGGGCAGCATAGCGAATACAAAGTCATTGCGTTAGCATATTTGATATAGTTACGTTTTGTGGTTATGTTTTGAGGGGCTGTGAGCCTGAGTGATGTAATATAAATGATCTTGGTGAAGAGAAAGCGGCTGGAGAGAAGCGGGAGAGGAGAAGGAGAGTGAGGATACTGGAAATGATGGAAGGGAAGGGAGTGGGTTGAAAATGCGTGGTATTAATCTGCTCTTCTGCATTATGTCTACTGGTATGTCTATCTATCTGGTAATCCTTTTTTTCCATTCCCTAAGAACCTATTTTTCCACCCGGAAGCCTTACTTCTCACTCTTCTTTCTGAAAGGATTTATTGACGTCTACTCAAAAGTTTCTGTCTTTCCTTCTACCCTCTTTCTTTGATGGTATTCCATGAATCTTCATGATGATCTGTCTAAATACCCAGGTATGTAATAATTCTCGCAACGATTCTTTACCATTCTTGCTTTTCTTTCCTACTATTAGTATTTTCTGTAATGGTTTGTATAGTCTACCTCCTGTGCTTGGACCCGAAACTCAGGTGCATAGATGAAGGTCTCTGAGGTAAGTAGTAGTGCCTAGTGGGTATGTACAGGAGATTGGAAGAACGCGAGGAGAGATAGTGGATAGGACGATGAACTGGGACATTGACATGGAGCATTTGAATTGGATATGGGGGGACTGTATTTTTGTATATTCTGGGCCGGCAGGAGAGCTTTGCGGGTTGTGGTTTTCAGGAAGAGGGGAACGGAGACGTATGTAAGTGCGTTTTATAATGATGTAGGTCCTTTCCATGAAATACTTAATGATATCCCGATTTAAACCTCGATCTCAAAAGATCTAGATTTATTGCATACCCAATCCCTCTGGGGTACAAATTTGAAAGGAGAATATGCCCCTTACAAGTATAGGTAGGTACCTCGAGTATGGTTTCAACGATGCGTCTGTTACTTTGAATATCATAGCTGGATACTCATACACTAGCTACATATCCCAGTTATATTCTTCGGTACTTATGGGAATAGTTTTGCTACACCCTTTGTATGTATAACCCAGCATATAGTGCATCCTAACAAGCATTCTCACAGAGGTCCAGAAAGTGAGCATATCAGGAAGAATCTACGCGGTAGTCTGTGGTAGCTCAAAGTCGTTTGTATCTTACTACTAGTACCATATACTCCCTCCAATCTACACGTTAGAAGGAATGAGTTTGTTGCACATCTGTACCCCTTCATATGCAAGGTAGTTCCCGACAAGCGTCCTGAAAAGCGTATCAAAGGATGAGTGCTAGAGATATTCTAGGCGGTAGTGTCTGTTAGGTTCAAGTTTGTCATTTCCACGTGGCATCTGCGGGGATGCTTATTTACCCGGCAGATCTCGATTCTAGCTACCACTTAATCGATATATATGGTGCGTATGAAATCTAATATCAGTCTACACTGCCGGATCTCTCCAAGCTCGGTGGTATGATCAATTTCTTAGTTCATTTTCCATCCGCTTTTAGAAGATGAAGTAGGTCGGACTTGTCACAGATATGGGTGTCCAGATATTCCCACTTTTTGTTTCGTATTCCGTTTCTTCTCGCTATATTTTTGGATGGGAAAATGGGAAAATGAAGAATAGGGGTGTGGTGGTTGTTGATGTGTTCACTCTCACTCATGAGGGATAAAGGTTGAGGGAGGGAATCTTTAAATTGTTATCTTGTGCTATGATATTTTTGAAATATTCTTTTATATATTCGCTAGGTAGTCATCGCATGCTAGATATCTCACATTCTTTATGTTATCGAACAATTGGATCGCGGAATTAATTTACCACTATGCCCACTCTCCATTTCGCAACCCTAGAAACAAAGATGGATCTTTGAAAACCTCAACTGATTCCCTCGAGGAGGGGGTTTGAATGAGAGTGACAGGGTTCTCGTGAGCCTTTTGTCGCAGAGATTAGCTAGCATGTATATGTCATTTCATGCAATGGTGGTGTCGATCAGAGCTGAATTGGGCTTGTAAGTTTTCATCCGCAGGTGGACAATAGGTAAATATCTCCAGAGAAATCTTTTGTAGTTGGCCACACTCCCTTAACTTACAATATACAATGACTTTTGTAAGGGAAGTACAACGATGAAAGGATCTCGGGTAAGACCAAAAGTATAGTTTCTTACTTAGAGATATGATGGTCGTTGAATGAAGGACCAGTGTCAAATTTGATCTGGACTTTGCAGAAAGGAGAATTAGCGTTAAAGCAATAGAGGGATGAAAGTTGCCGACTCGAGCGATGAGTAATAGAGAGATAGAAGATCATACATAATGAGATGATGTATGAGTTATCGGCTCTATCAGTATCATGCTTACAAAATCACCAATTTCATTTCGTCTAGTAATGACAGGCACCCGAAAGTGAAGATTCAATACTTCTCCGTAGGCTCGTAGCCAGCCACGTCAAACTATTGTAATCTCACAGAATACTTTGGTACTACAATCAAAGCAACATTATGGTAGTAAGACTTTCCACAATGGGAGGATATCTTACATTAGATTTGCAGATGTGCGGATGTACAGGTATCGTCACGTCACCAGTAGACTACACAGAGAGAGTTGTAAGACTGTCTCCCCCTATCTTCATAACTCATCGGTTTTAAGTCTGGGAATTCTGTAAACAGACTTCCCCTGACACTATCACAAGGAGTAGGAACAACGTACTTTCAACCGCAAAGTAAACTAACTTGTGGGAATATAGAAACTGCAAAGATCATCGGTCCCCGAAAGCTATCGACATGCACCGATCGACATATCCACGCGTATCAACGCCGATCACTTCGGCATGGAGAGAATGATGCAGCCGCGCCTGCGAGCGAGTTCCTGACTTGTGATTGGCATACGCACCCTGAGTTTTCCGTGCGGCAAGATAAGCGACGCTCAATGTCTCGAGATGCGAGTCTTGATGGGATGTGCGATGCTGCCGGTCTGGTGGTAGATGGATATAGACTTGAAATGGGTGAGAGAACTATCTGAATAATTGAAGATGCAATCAGAGTGAACGGATGGATGAATGAACGAATGAATGGTATTGCGAAATGAAATGAGATCAGAGAAGAAAGGTTGTGATTCTGAATGATACATGTTCCGTACCATACCACATCGTTTACATAATGTAATGGTATAGTATACTGTGTAAATTTATAAGAAGAATGCCGAATGCGCGCTTATTCCTACTTTGAATTGCAAGAATTTTGTCTGATTTGATCTAATCTTCGTCACTGAACGATCTCATTGTACAAGAAAGAAGAGCAGAGCAGAGCATTGATGCTCGCCACTCACTAGGATGTGATTGTAAATCCAGTGAGTAATTGAGACTATGATTCTGGATCGTATTCCGTGCAGACTTCTTCGCAGGGGCAGGATATCTAGACATGTACATCCAATACCTACCGATACCAATATCAATCAATAACGACAATGATAAATAGTGATAAACAACAATAGATAATGCGCCACGGAACCTAAGATGCGGTTAGTTAATTCATCGTCGTATGTACACTTACAAACTTCATGAAGGCCACTACTGATGTATTGAACGCAGATCTTGATGTGATCGACACGAGTTTTCGAATTCTGCAATTCCCCAACAGGAAAAGAAAGACAGGATACTTACTTCCTTCGTAAATTTAGTAAGCGAGTTTTAGCAAGCTACTTTTATCCTAGAATGGTAATGTATCTCGTACTCGATAAGATTCGGTGGGTTAGGTTGCCGCTGTAGACATTGGAGAGTTGGAGTGGGTATATTGAAATTCCCACCCCAGACTACTCATCGAAGATAATATTTGTTTCAGGATTTAACAGGTCTTCTCTATATCGCATCCATTCCTTACACAAGACTCCCACGAACCAATTCTCCAAAAATCGGCATTATGTATGTTTTCCATAGTCCGACCAAAGGATCGTAGTATGAACCCACTATTTGGGACAGCCAAGCTTTGGATATGTCCCGAACAAACTACAAGCCATAGCTAACATTTGTATTAGCAGAAAAGCAAGCATTAGATGAATTGGGGGTCTGGTTCCTTCACGCCATTGCTTCTTAGTGGGAAGATTGAGTAGTGTAGCTTAACACCAATATGCATCTTGACGTTTTGAAAAATACTCGCATGCGGGCTGCATTTGTATGTCCTATGGCATCTATCAGAGGTGATGGTCAATCTTTCATGATTAGTACACATACACTTTTTTGATGGGTTTACTGCAGTGTCACCTCTCTGCATCTTAATTAAAATCTCTGGTACCTTTCTTCCCTTTTTTCTCCCAAAGCCAGACTAGATATATGCGCAGGAAGTCAGCAGGTCCTAAAATTAAGTTAAATTCATGCGACGACCAGGGTGCTGAGCAGGGGTACAGATGTTACTAGCGAAGCTCCCCAGTCCCATACCCAGTCCAAATAGACGTGCCGTTTTCCCAAATGGTGATTCTGGGGTAAAGTTGTTGGACGGAGGTGAGGTTCGGCAACGGATGAATTTCGGATTTGCGCAGGTAGTTCATGGGGGTTATGTAGGCTTTTATAGAGGTGCATGACACTGCGTGGAGGGTGTGATTTTCATTCTTAGCTTGTGGGTGTGAGAGGTGAGGAAAAGGCACAAGAAATCTAGAAGGGTGAAGATGCAGAAAGCCTTCTTCTGTTAAAGCCTCATACATACTCTCCATCGTTGTAAGAATGAGAGGAATCATGAGCATACCCTTGTGCAATCCATGTTATAGAAATGCAACACAATCGTGAATTCGTAATGGACGGCTGAAGTATGCAGAACCTGGTAAATTATGTCTTAGCAATTTCTTAACAACGTCTCAAATATTCATGAGTATTGAATTAGCAAGTCAAAACAAAGTTTCGGGAATGAAGAGATTGAAGAGTACCATGAATTTGCTTTTGCTGGTATACTGGGTAGGCATGTATAAAAATGTTTCCCTAGACTTTCGGAAGTATGGGGATTTTATCTACTCTAGAATTTTAGAACATCAGAGCTTGGTTGTTGGTTGGTGTTGGTGTTGGTGAAGAATGGTTGTAGTGCTCGTGTATAGTTTCCGTAGCCGAACAGCTCTGTCTGTACTTACCGAGTTAACTTGAGTAACTGGTAGCACCATCAACATGTCAAGCTATCTAATCCGATCAATTCGTTCCAATCGAAGTTATCTTGGCACTGCAGGACCTAGAATTGATGAAATATGCCGCTCGCCGAGGCTGAGGATATGCAATTCTTTAGGTCTGGGTTACAAAGGGGAGTTCGTGGGTGTGGGTGGACTGTTAGCACATCTTGCCCCAATCAATGAACAACAGCTGGGTTGGACAGTACTAGGGAGTCACTACCTACATTATATTACATCTGGATATACCTGCACAGTTCGGATAATTTTAACACTTTGGTTGGTTCCGCTGGGAAATCACTTTTTGGGTTGAACATATTGACATATCGTCCCGTCCATTCATTTGCGACCAGAGAATAGACCAGAGAATAAGAAAGCTGGGGAAACAGGGGTAGAATTCATTCTCGATTGTATTTCCATCAAGGTCTCATGCAATCTGGACTTCTTCCCCAAGTCCCACTAGGTATATTATTCGATCAGAAAGACAAGGTGTTGCCATGTTTCCTTGAGGGTGGTGGCGGCGTATACCCTCACATATGTCTAACGTCTTCAACTCTTATTTGCATTGCATGGCATTACATCCATGGTTAGCATGACATAGGGCATGTATATTTGACGATTAATATCATTTTGCCGGCTTCCGAGTGGATATCGAGCTTGTTTCCAAGGGAGATCCAACGAATATCAGGTGAGTATTGAAAGTTTGGGGTGGCGATGGGAAGAACTAGTATGGGCGTTCGTTTATAGAAAATTTTGCCGTTCCGCAACATGGTTTCGAGATTGATGTTTCCATAGAAATCAATGGAAAACATAACATGATCATAATCAAGATCGAAATCAACGAATGAGAAAGTTGAATGTCCAAGAACTTTCCCTGAGCCTTTGTCGTCATACCGGTACGTAAGGTACGCACACCTTCAAAATAGGTCTAGATGAAGAAGAATACGGGCAAACTCTACCCACGCACCTGGACAGCTAGTTCTTGTAATACCGTCTTCAATAGCTTTAAAGCATCATTTGGATATCTTATCGTCGTTGGACAAACAAGCTTGGATCACTTCATGGTCTTTTGATGATATAGGATAGGCTTTTTGATATGTACCCGTCCGGGGTCTGGAGAAGCACGAGTTAAATGTGTAGGGATGATTGTGGAGATGACGGATCATTGATCGTGTTTCGAAGTAAAATATACGGATCGGTAGATTTTGACAGCCTTTTGGTGTATCGTATCGTTGGCTCACTGATATTGAAGTGTACAAATAATTGAAATAGATGAAGCTATATTCGACTTGTTCAAGGCGATGCACCCGTGTGTCCTGATTGGGAAAAGTAGAAGCAGAAACGGAATTAGTGCAGGCTTATTGCGAGTGGTACGAGGCATTTTTGATTTCTGCACAGTGGTTTTTCATCAGCATTTGTGGATTAGGGGCGGACCTCTCGGTTAAGAGCGGCGAGGTGTAATGAAGGATGGTGGGGCCTTGAAAAGAACTCAAAATGCACCCGGCACAGTAATGAAATGTAGGTAGAGTTCTGGATATGCTCTTTTTTGCTTCCGGAGATTCCAGCTCTTGTTTCTGTCATATGTCGTACGATGCAAGAAGTGCCTTGAAGTTGGGTTTAGCTTGCAACTGGATGTCATAATCTAACGGCCCGGTTCACTGATTGATAGATAGACTGATATGTGCGGTACGTACTATCTAGGCATTCCGAAACATTCTGGACCATGAAATCTGGATCCTCTTACGTAGCTATCTAGATACGATGGTAAGTCTTACATGCTACTGCGGATAGGGTCGATAGTTATAGACTAGCTGTCGTGCTAGATGCAGCAGTTTGATGGTTGAGAGCCGAGAGCTAATCTACATCGTTACCAAGGCTGAAAACTTTCGGGGGAGGTTAATGATTAGGAAGAACTAAATTGCTATTCATCGTGACCCAATTCTTACCATTGCTATTGATCATATACGATTCGCCGGAGTTTAATGTTTGGAGTTTGTGTGAGTTCAGATGCGATAGAATGAGTCTGTACGGATGAACAATTAAGAGGCGAACAACTCCCCGGACAGTCGAATTAGATGCATGAATTTTGAGGATGAGCAGGATAAATATTGAACGTTTTCATCATCATGCTTCGGTCAAATTGCCGAATTCGTTTACTATCTCCTACCCTTTCCTTTGTGCTTGTGATGCCTCTACATGATGACGGCGATGAAAATGTTATGAATCATTTAGAAATGCTTGGAAATTTTTGATGACGAATGAGGGAAAGAATTCTTTGTATACCAAGTGACTGTGCAGTGATTTGATAGAGGATTTGCCCAGGTGCCTGACAGAATCTGCTGTAGCTATGGCACAGATGTAGAGCTTCAATACTTTGCTTTATTGCAGAGGAGCTCTCCTTGAATCGCTTGGTGCTTATGTGTTCTTGTGCTTTGATGAGGCGAAGGAGATACTTCCATTCCTTCCCAAAGACCCAAATTCTTCAAAGGAAACTTTATCTATGATGTATTATCAATGTAGGAATTTGTAATCCAGAAGAAACCTATGAGGATAGTATGAATTCATCAGCCCATTATTCATTCCCTCCTTCCTTCCTTCCGTCGTTCATTCTTGTCATAATCAATCAAATTAGCCAACCATTCAACTCAGTAGATGTTCGATTAATAAAGAAGTCATTAATGACTAATAATCCTATTGGACAATAGGTATCAAATAGTAGGTCATTTTGAGTCTCTCTGATGTATTAGCTATCTACCTATTTACCGGTACTTGAACTGTTGTCTGTATATGATACTTATTAGTACCAATATCTCATCTGTCATCTTGATACTCTTCAAAACGAATAATTATCTTGATACATTTCCCAATTGCATCCCCTTTCTACTCCAATTTAATTGAAGAAAGCAATCGAGGTACCTGGCTACCTAGGTAATAGGGATCTAATTCACCAATTATTCATTTTGTAGATTGATTAGTTCTCTTCTTCTCTCATCAACTTGTGGGAATCAACGTCATATTGATGCTCTCTTTCTGATGGTTCTTCGAAACATTCGTTCACTTATTATATCAGAACTCAAGAACTCAAGACCTCAAGAACTCAAGACCTCAAGAACTCGTGAACTCTCTTTTTATTTTTAAAAAAGCAAGAAGTCGTCAATCCACTAGGTAATTGGTTGAACCATCTCCGTCTCCACCAAGAGATCCATTTACCACCCCATCATCGTGTACCTGGTAGACAAAAGCCGTCTCATATTATATGGACATGACCAATGATTGCTCTTGAATATATTAAGATATATTCAATCAATCTACATTATTGGCCATAGAGGAAAGGTCCCAAGTCAAGGTCAAGGTCAGTATCATTCATCATCCTGTTCCTAGTTCTCCACCAAAAGAACTCTCATATATTTTCCCTGTCATAAGGGGCAAAGACAAGAATAACATATCGATACGGATTATCCAAAACCATCTCGCCATTTCTGAAGGTATCTAGGACTTTAGAAACAAATACTCAATTTGCTACCTTTTTCCCCCTTCTCTCCCGCTCTCTCTTTCTCAACCAATATTCACAATATCAGTTCAATGGAAAGAAGATATTGTAGAAAATTCGCTGATCTCCTATCCAATTTTTAGTTTTACAGATAATACCTGAGAAGAGGAAGACAATAGTTTAGTTTAGTTGGTACAGTTGTAGCATTCTAGCATTTCCTCCGCACAGAGCGCGCACAGAAGATATTCTGTCCTAGTACCTAGTACCTACCACCTACCACCCATCTAGGTATTATTACCTCACAGACCTCGCAGCCTTTCCCCGGATCTCAACTACCTACCTACTACACGACATCCCATCCTACATCCGTTTCCCTCCAAAGCACAACAACATCCACAGACACCACACCTACAATCATTTCAATCACTGTTTGTTTGTAGAAGGATACATAGTTGGGCACTTGACAACAGTATTTCTTATTCCTCGTTCGACTTTTGAATATTCAAACTATTCTTGCCGGAATCCCAATAATACTTCATACTTCCTACCGTCGAATTCTAAGTTCCAAGAAATCTACCGACCTACCTACCTACCTACTTACCTACATACCTACATACCTACATACAGCCGGGAAAAGGCCTGCAGATATTCACTCCACTTACTGGTCAAAGCAAGAATTCCCTACACCAACTTCATTTACTGGTCTGCAGAAACGAGAAAGCAGTGAAGGGTCGGGTCGGCTAAAGATTACAACGGCCGAAGGTTGCAACAACGGAAAAAGGCTTGGGCGCTTTTATTGCGGCATCGCTGCATCGAGAACCGCAAGTCCCCAGTAAAGAGCCCGCCAGGTTTCGATTTATTGGGAAAGTCCGTAAGTCTGAACGTCCATTCATCGTACCTTTGCCACGAATGACCACTCTCCACATACTGGAACGAATGGAATATTGAACAATCTCTAGCATGCACAAACCTTCGTAGGAAGTCATTCTCATATATCTTAGCCTCTTCTTGGTGCCTTCTTCAATGATGGGGGACAATTCAACAATCAAACAAGAGCAATCGCCCAACATGTCTGAGACGACGTCACCCAACGGCGCTGAATCAAATGGTGGGATGAATGGTGAGGAGAATGGTAAGTAGCAATTACATCTCAAATACAACTCGGACATAAATCACCCGTTCAATCAAAGATATCACTATTGTCTTCTTACTGGAGAGGCTTTAATTAACTTTTGACATTAGCCATAGCATCGACAGCATCTGCAACGACGACTGCCCCCAAATCTCCCAACGGCTTTCCATCAAAAACTGACAAGCCTAAGCCTCATGGTTGCAACACATGTGGAAGACATTTCGCACGTCTGGAACATCTGAAAAGACACGAAAGATCACACACAAAAGAAAAGCCATTCGAATGCCACGAGTGCAAGAGATGCTTTGCGCGGAGTGACCTTTTGTTAAGACACCAGCAGAAGCTGCACACCAACATAACACCACCTGCGAGACCAAGAAATCGCCGAAGCAGCACTATGAGTAATGTATCCGGAGTTGGCAAACCAAACCTCAACAGGGTACGAAAACACTCTATTGTCAATCCAGTGGGCCCGAGACCAAGGGCAAATACAATCACAAATCCAGAAAGTGCTTACATGCAAATGGCTCTGGGTCAAGATGAACCTTATGCAGTGAGGAATCAAAACCATACTATTCATCCTTCAAATCATGGGCATGGCCATAGTCGTCACGCTAGTCTCGCGAACCTACCAATGCACAACTCTGATTATAGTGGAATGCACGGAATGAGTCCAATGAATGGTATGTCCTCTGTAATGAACAACCGCAATATTTCTCATGGGCTGCCGAGGATTGAAACGCATCACTCTATGGTGCTTAATGGATTGCGGACTGCGCCGGTTGCTGGAGGGTTTCAGAACCATGACTTTACCTTTTCACCTGGCTTTTCATTTCCGAATGGAAATAGTCCTAGCCCGACGATAGATCCTAGTGCCTTGTTCAATCACTCACCAGAGCCAATGATCACATCAGACTCAATGATTGCACCGGATTCGATGGTTCTTGATTCCAATGACACATCAATTTTCACTTTCCCAGATTACTCGGGAAACTCGGGTATGGATGACTCTTATGGTTTCAACGGGTTGATTAACCCTTTTACCCAGCATATGACATTTGATGAGAATGCTATAATAGACGGTTCATCTCCTTCTGCGATCAGTACTGCCAGCCAAAGTGGGATCAGTGACGGTATCATGCTGGATGGATCCAATAATATAGCTGTAAGCTCACCATCCATGTGGCACCAGCCTGTGACAGGACCGCCTCTGATGACACCAAACTTTTTGGATCATGGTAACCAAAATTTTGGAAATTTCTCCAACGGGAACCCTATGTCACCACATAGTGTACCTCAGAATCATGCCAATTTCTCTACTGGAAACGGTATTTCACCACATATTCTGGCCCAGAATCATGATCATTTTTCAAACGGAAACCCCATTTCACCTCACAGCCTACCGCTGAATAATCTTCCATACTTTGCTACTCCACCTCCATTGAGTTCTTTGGACCATTCTGTAATGCCCGGAATGAACAACACACAAGGTTTCCAACCCCCTATGACTCTTGCCCCGGAGACCCCCAATTCCACGACCGGCAGTATCCACGGAAGCTTACCTTTGTCCACAGTTACAGACTCTACCCGTTCGGCCCTTGCGAATGCCCTGGCCCATAATACTTCCTTTGGTGGACGAAAGTTTTCTGTTTCTTCTGCAAGCTCGCCATCTCCTCACTCTCCCCGACCACAAATCCGAGCCAATAGTGTTAGCGAAGGCATTAGGTTTCACCTCCCTAGCACATCCGATCTCAAAAAATATATTGGCGCTTATATACAGTACTTTCATCCACACTTACCATTCTTGCACATCCCTACACTGAACTTCGATTTTTCGGCCCCTATAAATGATGGCCGAGGCGCTGCCCCTTCTGTTGAAGGACCTGGATGCCTTACACTTTCAATGGCTGCCATTGGTGCATTATATGCAGGCGATCATCAACAATCGAAGATGCTATTTGAATCGGCGAAGAAAATGCTACAGCTATACATAGAAGCCCGGCGCAAAGCTGATGTTCGTAGAGCGGACCACCGTTCAAGAGCTCCAGATAATTCCACTCACACACCAGTATTTCTTGCACAGGCTATGCTGTTGAACATTATCTATGGTTTCAATTCCGGCGATAAAGTAGCAGGCGAAAGTGCTCTCATTCACTGTGCTACTTTGGTTAGTCTTGCCAACGCCGTCATCAAACCAACATCGTCTTCTCAAAGTGGGTTATCACAACAGGATGGACGGATGATAAATGGCGATGATGCGATGAATGGCTTCATCAAAACAGAAAATCTAGATGATGAACAGGAGTGGCACCAGTGGAAAACCGCCGAGGAGAGAAAACGAACTCTATACGCAATCTTTATACTCTCCAGCATGCTTGTGTCGGCCATCAATCATGTCCCTTTCTTAACTAACTCTGAGATCGAGTCTGACCTACCTTGCAACGAAGAATTCTGGTCGGCCGAATCCGCCAATAGCTTCAATGCGCTGGGTGGTTCCAAAATGGCCAATCACAATCAAACCACGTTCAAGGCTGCTCTGGGCGAGCTACTCCAGGCCGGCAATAGACAGCAATATCAGCAAACGCAAACTCAACATTTCGGAAATGGGCACAATGCTCAAGACTTACCCCAGAGTGATTTGAAGCCAAGTACTTTCGGATGTCTTATTCTAATTAACGCGCTGCATAATTACATCGTATGTTGATCCAATTTATAGATTCTCAAAAGTAAAAAAAAAACTACTGACACGAGTGTAGTGGGAAACCCGACAGAGACATGTCGACAGGAGGTGGGGGACTGAGGAAACTGAAAAGATGTATCGCCACATTGAACCGGCTCTAAAAGCATGGCAATTAGCATGGCAACGCACCCGAGAGCACAGTGTGCAACGCCCCAATCCATTTGGGCTGGGACCGCTATCAGCCGACAGTGTTCCTCTCCTTGACTTGGCATATGTTCGCCTGTTCGTGAACATGTCAGCTTCAAAAGAAATGTTCTGGAAACGTAACTTCGATGACATGGCAACCGAGCTTGCCGGAGGAAAAGACACCATGCAGCACGCGGGACACTCCCCTAACTCCAATACAGATTCTACGGAATTTTCAAGCGGTTCAGCTGCAAGCTCTGTGTTCGTCGATTCTCCTACAACATCAAACTCTCCTCCTGACGTTCAATCTTCTAGTGCTTTCCAAACCTCTCCATCCAATCAACCAGAGGGCCCCACCGATCGCGAACGCTTACTTAGAAAGGCAGCTTATTATGCAACAGATTTCCTGGTAATGTCAAATAAGTTCGGCATTACTTTTGCAGACTTTACCTCCCGGGAGCTCCCACTACAGGCTGCCATGTGCGCGTTTGATTGTGCACAAGTAGTAGCCGAATGGATAAGTTTAGTGCAAGAACGCCTAGGACGCTACATCGGAATTCTAGGTCATGCGGACGTTGATTTCAGTAGCGTGCCTGCTATCATATATCTTGAAGATGAAGACGTCAGACTTTTGGAAAGAATTAAAGAGGTTGTCAACATCACTGAAGCGAAGATGCAACATGAACTGGCAAACAATATTCATAATCAGATAAATGCCGGTCAGACAAACGCGGTTCAGATGAATACTGGCCAAAGATCTCCCGCTCTAGATAATTGTGGATTTGGAAGCAAGATCTTAAGATTGACCGCTTATCAGCTCGACAGAGCTGCAGTTTGGCAAGGTTTGTATTCCTCATTCCCGATCCAACTTTCAAAGGCACTAACTCAAGTCACAGTAACACGTCTCATGGCACGTGCTTTAGAGACGCAAGCTGTTCATATGCAAACACGGGCAGAACGCTCTAATAAACTAAAAGACAATCTCTTGTGATTTAAAAGTCAGGAAACGCCCTTGATCACGCACGTACAACAAAAGCAATTTCCTATTATTAGCCTTTCTAATTTTTTTGTAAATAAAAAAAAATTGGGCAAGACTTGGGCATGTCTTGTTGCTTTAATCTAGCGGTACATATGGGGATGGAAAGTTGCCTGTTTCACATACATACACACAAAATTATGCCTATGGTACATTCATTCAGAGCTTTCCAGGGGGCGTTCATGGGAAGGCACGATACTCTATTTATGGAACAAAAGTTCCCCTTCGCACTTAATAGTTTTTCTAACGCGTGCTTGACGATACCACGCTTTGGTTATTTTCTTCTTATTTTCACACTGGGTTGGGTTCATATCTTGGGGAGTTTGCTTCTTTTGCTGGTTCAAATGGGCATAGGCGTTTACTGATGGGCTGGGGTGGGATTGGGGTTTTTGCGTTGCATACGAGGTGTTTAATGCAATGTCGAGGTTGCTTCAATGGTATGATGGAATGCTTGATGATGTTGATGATTCGAATGGAGAGGTCGATTATTTTGTTTTTCATTTTTCGAATTCGACGGTTGATACATTGTGAGATGCACATAATGGATGGCTTTGAGTGTGGGAAGGAGGCGTTTTTTCTTTGAGCTGTGCATGCAAAGCTTGAGCATGGGTGTGATTTTGGCTGGGGGGGCATGAGTTGGTGAGGAAATATTTGAAGAGGTTGGGGCAGGAGCAAAAGGCGAATGCAGAGATTAAGAAGTGCCAATCATGAGGGGCGAAGTTTTTCTTTTCGGATAAAAGATAGGCTGTTGATATGAAAATGAAATGGAATCGGCATGGTATTGAATGATAGGAAGAAAATCGGTGGGCATTGAATTGGGATGGATGGATGGAACTGGGACAAGGGATCGGCTTCGGGATACTAAGCGTGCCTGCCAAACTACCTAGGCAGAGGTTGATGGCAGAGTAAGATAAAATGCATGATGCAAATAAAAATCATTGAATAAATTTGGTTGATTGTGGAAAACTGTGAAACACGGCGAAGGCGGTGATGGTGAAATCTCAACCAGTAGCTTTTTTAATAGTCGGATCGAGACTCCGATTGAATTCTACAGGAAGAACTAGAAGGGGAGAAGAGGTTTAGTGATTGAGGATAAGAAGGTGGATAGATTGATAATTTTGAAAATTCGTGAGTATAATCAGAGGAGATAAGGCGAAGAAGCGTGAGAGAGATATTGAGTAAGGGAGGTGGGCACATGATCGGGTATATCGAGATGGTCAAAGTAGACATGAATTTTATTCCATTATCTAACTTATCTTCAACTGATCAACTGCGCAGGTTGAAACTTGAAGCTTGACAGCCTGACTTCTGGTAGAAACGGAATGTTACATATTAACTATAAGCATGGCGGATTGATAAATTGATAAATTGATAAATTGATCTGAAGGCATGGATGTGTGCATGCGTGTAGAGTGCGCATGCTGCGCACTTACTATTCAACACCATTACTTTATTAGTATTGCTGACAATGACTGAAACCATGATTTTGCGTCTTTTACGTACGTACGTATGTGATATGATATGAGATGATATATCAAGTTGAGTTATGTGATATTTACTTTTCCCTTTTCTTTTCCATTTTTACCTTGAACGTTCATCGATTGATTGCTTCCTCTATAATATATAGTACAAAGTAGGTATCTATTATCATTCTCTCAGCATATATTCAGATCTCCTGTTGGGTAGTGAGATAGAAGGGAGGGCGAGTGGGCGGGGGGATTGAGCAAGTAATAAGTGTAAAAGAAAGAGGGATAGATAGATGGATAGATAGATATCTCCTAACCTTCTCGTCTCTATCTTCATCGCAATCTTCGTCTTTATCTTTATTCCCAACCTTTTTTTTTTCATTCCATGCATGCTTACAATTAGACATTCAATATACGGGAACGCTGGCTCGGAAAAGAGGGGTAGCTACCTGGGTAGTTAGATTCGATCACTTTTCTTCACCACCATCACCATCGCTATCGCTACTGCCCATTCATATTACCAGTGCATATTTTCATCTGTGGGGAAGCGAGCGGATGGTCAGTCATATCAAGACCAATCAGGTAAAATACAACTTGGCTTCCCTTGCTCATTCCCTCTTCTCCCTCACGCTGCAAGTCATAGATCCGGGGTGATGGAAGAATAAGGTATAGAAGAGTAACTTGTTATAAACATGTGCACATATCATACATATGAAAGATGCACGATACTGGCTCTTGAGATTATTTTGATTATAAATACTATTTTATCAATATTATAATACGAAGAAGGGAAGTCTAGATTAGAGAATATGCATGAACCAACCCCGCTCTCTAATTCTTTATTCGCATTGTGAATTCTTCTAGATTGGTCCACCTCGACCTAGACAGTTGAAACCCTCTCAGCTGAAAAAGTCTCATGTTCTGTGCAGACGAGTGCACCGCTCTAGAAGCCACTTTACTACGTTTGTTTCGTTACAGAATTACTTAGCCCACTATCTCAGAGTCAGAGATCTGGAGTTGTGACCGTGGAGGCTCTTATGTTTTTCCTTTCGAGACCCAACAAATAATCATTGCATCATCAAGCCCTGATAAAGACCTAAAATTAAAACCACGAGTATAGCAATCATTTGCCCGTTGCACAAACTTCAAATCGTCTCGGCTATCAATGGATTTCGATAAATGAAGCCGAGAGGAGCTAGTGGTGAAGAAGGCCCATATGGAAGAAAGCAGATGAGTGCATGCCAGTAGGTACCAAATCAGCACAAATGGATGTGCGTAAGATTGCTGGAAATTGATCGACGTACCCGTGAAGTTGAAGAAACTACTTCTATTCTTGGTGCTTTCACTCTCTGTCTTGCTGCCATTGACAGGTTGTAAGAATCTGCACCATATACAGAAATCGACTTGGTCGAAAAAAAAGGTGTAAAAGAATTGAAAATGGACTGGTCTACATAAATCGGTAATAAAAAATTGTGACAATTTAAGAGATTTGGCAATACTCATTTGACGTATACCCTTGATCAAGGACTAATGTACTTGAATCTTGCTCAGGGATATTAGCCTCGCAAAGTCTGTCTGAGGAATGTAGCATTGTGTAATGAAGTAATGCTGACAAAGCAGGAAGAATCCCATGGCTAAATATTCATGAAGAATACAGCATAACTGACTGGGAATATCGAAATGGCTTACATGCATAAGCCATTCTTACCAACTCTCATATTCATGAAAAACTTTCTTGACCCGTCACAATCCGGGAGCTATGCATTGAATGCACTCATATCCATATGGAGAACGGAAATTGCTCAAGGCAAATCACCCCAGCATTAAACCAAAAATATGCTGCACGAGATGATTGTTGTACATCTCTGCCCCACTCTTGAACCATCCGCTCATTCCGCCATATTCGACGCTGGAGACATTGAATATGAAGGACAATCTTGATGCTAAAGAAGTTTTCGAGTAGGGTTGAGCTTTTGGTCGTTGTACTAAGGCATAAGATATCGGGGCACGTGGTCATTAATATTGGGCATCAATCCAAATCTTTGCATCACAGCACTCCTATTGGTTTTGGTACCCATGGCCCTTCCCAGCGCGACCAGCCTTTCTCCGTACTATTTGCAGAAGATTTGTCGTCTTTAGGTATTGGTATGGATGCCGCGGCAGCATCTAAATCATGTTCCATTTTCACCATTCCCGCTCGGATATCGTTAAGATCTTGGGCGGTTGTATTGGGAACAGATGTGCTATTCTTTTTGGGAGATTTAGATTCTTCCCAATCAGAGATCTTCTGTCGGAAATTGTGCGCTTGTAATATCGTCATGGGGTCTTCTAAAGATTCCTCCAGCTCACCTAGCGCACGAAGAAGGTCGTCTATCCCGTAGGCTTCAAGTCGATCCTTTATCATATTCAGATTGATTCCTTGATCCTTCTGCTGTAGAACCCCTCGTACGAATATCTTGCAATCATCATCCTCTTCATCGATTGATAAGTCTGCCCAGTAAAAATCCCAAATCCACTTCAATGCTTTGCGCGCAGCTATTCGAAGTTTAGGAAGCGATGGGAGTTCTTCGTGGGTAGCCTGATGCCGAAGTTCGACGTATGTAGCTGGTAGACCGATAGTTTTCGCAATTGAGTACATACTCAATTTGCGACGTTTATCTTGATGACTATCTAGGAGACCTGTAACGAAACTAATGGGCAAGCATAAAATTAATAATTCGGATGTCACAAGAGAATAGATCATGAGAAGACTTCAACGTACCGACAGAAAGCAGCAGAATAAGCAGCTCTGACACAATAGGATGAATTTCCAGGAACATCGTTTAAAATAGCTGAAGTAATGATCGCAGAGGACTCGACAAGATGCGGACAATTTCCTCGTTGCATCCATACGGATATGAGGCAAACGGCTTGTCGACGATAAGAATCATTGGGAGGGGTTGTCTCACTATTTTGATAAAGCTTTTCGCGCACTTGGAGAAGCTCGCGACGCGTTCGCCAAGGCGTAATTACGAATTGAACCATAGTTTGTTCGTATTTAGAAACTAGGTGGAGAAGGACAATGTTTGGGAAAGATACGTCGAGGAAGGGTGGAGTTGTTGTGTTGACTTGCAATTGTATGAGAAATGTTTGAAGTTTGTCCAAAATATTGATCAGAGCTAAATTGCTTGATAAGATGCCTCAGGATCTTGAAGAAAAGATTTGAGGCTGCTGCCTTCCTTGTGATCTGAATGCCGAAGTTTTGGCGTTGAGACTAGTAATTATTAGTAAGCTTACGAACCTAATTGAAGTAATAGTACGTGTATTGATTGATGTTCATGTATTCACCAGCACTTTTCATTGAGAAGGATCAAAGAATTTGTTCTTGTCTGTTAAATCCGAAAATTCATTCGGGGGTATTGATATTGTGTAAAGCTATCTATATACATATACATATCAACCTCTTGGGGAGATACTTCCTTCACCTGTTGACATTGTTCAATACAAGTGCAGTGCCTAGCAGGAATTTGATATATCCCATCCCAACATTGAGCCTGTGCTCATTCCAGTCATTGCTGACATGATCCTATAGTTTCCAGTGCTCCAATATAGCCAATCCGAATACCCAGTCCAATCCAACTCCATCGCTAAATTTCAAAATCATAAAGTTTTTCCCATCCAAAGTTCCATGCTCCTTTCAATCAGATCCAGCCTGCATAATTCATTGCGTAACTTCCATCGAAGTCGGGGAAGGGCTGTGTAGTGCCCATCATATAAGTTGAAGCATCAGCCTGCTGTGTAGGTTTCTCGGGTACAACTTCCTCCTCCTCTTCATCTTCCCCTTCGCCGTCCTCCTCGTCATCTTTGTCGTCGTCCTTTTCAGCGGGTGGTTGCCATGTCTCCTCCAGCTTCAAGCCTTTACCAGCTCCTTCGGGTCGACGATAACTGTTGCCTAGAAGCTGTGACGACATCATTCGGTAGTTGTCAAGTTGAGGATCTGACAATGACATCTTGCTATGGTCTGGAGTATCGTACAATCCCATACCAATCAACTCCTCACCCTCTGGTTCGTCATCGGACAGTGAATGATATGGAATCGATTCCTCTGGAGTGAAGGTGGGTTCAGGATGTTGAATAGGTAGAAAGTTATCTGGTGTGGGTGGGGCGGTACCATCCTCGAATCCATTTGCGGCAAAGTTGTTCCAATCAAAATGCGAATACATTGTTGGATCTTGGTTGTCGTTTGTGTATGGAGCTTGAACAGACATCATATGATTTTCTAATGGTGTAAGCTCTGGGGTATATGCCTGATCGAGTGGGTATGAGGTAGGTGCGGTGTCGAATGGGTATGAGTCTTGATGATCCTCACTGTAAGGCATTGTCACAGGAGAAAAGCTGGAGTCTGGCGACCCGTATCCTGAGTAGACAGCTGGTGTTGAGGCGTCAAAGTTGAAATACTCCTGGGAATATGGGTATCCACTGGTAGATTGTACTGGTTGGTACATCTGTTGTTGTGTGGATGGATGCCAACTAACAGGACGATTGGATCTCATTGGCATCTGTGTTGGAAGTCCATTGTTCGATTCCCATTCGTTAGTCGACATGATTTGTTGCTGTTGCTGTTGCTGGTTGAGCATCATCATCTGTCGTTGGTATGAGCCATCCGACATAAAAGTCCTGCGTCGGTTCTGCTTCATGGAGCATCTTGGGCTGTTGTTGTTACTGTTTGGCTTGATAACTCGCATTGGTGTCATATTTCTCTGTCCATTTGACATAGATAATCGATTTCGAGACTGTGAAGGTTGAGCCATTTGCCTCGAAACGTTTTCCAGAAACATCCGGACATTGTCGTCATAAGCCATCATGTTCGTTCCATACGCTGAAGTAGCATAAGCTGAATCCATTTTGTGATATCGTATAATAGAGAAGATAGTATGAGAGAGAATGTTTGCAAGTTGAGGAGGGGCTGGTGGAGGTGTATAAGGTAGTATATGAACTAACGTCAACTGGACGTTAGTAGTCTAAGTATCATAGCCTTGATATGAATTGAACTAGAGAATACTAAACTTAAATTATAGGAAAAGAACCTACCCAATCTTCCATGTGAGGATTATATATCGGCAGTACGAATTTGAAAGACCAATATGCAAGTGACTTACCGTAAGGTTGCGGTATGTCGTCTGTGTCATCTGGCTGATCCCACGAATGTGTAAGGATTAAATCATAGGGAATTTACCGGGTCAGAGCTTCTTCTGGGGATGCTAGACACCAGGGCTTTGTTGGCGGTCAAAAGTCAAAGCCCCTGGCTTGCAACATGCGCAGATTCGAAAAGCCAGCGGTACAAAGGAAAGACCAGGGGGTAAGCTACATCCCGCGGCTGGATACATATCGCGTACGAGGCTCCTTCGCCCCAGGTGTGTGCTAATCAAAAGGGTGCGTGTCAAACGATGAATCAACTTCCTAAACAGGAGAAACTTGCTTTGCGAGAAAGAAGGGCGAGAAAAGGCGGTCAGGTTGTATCAGCACAAGGGTGGGATGAATTCCCATTTTTCAAGGGTGTATATATCAAGTAGCCGACGGGGTCCAAAAATGCCAGATGCCACTCTTCTTGATGTGCTTTGCATGGGTGCGACGAACCTTTAGCATAATTAGCATATCAATCTAAGCCAAATATGTGGCCTTCCCGTACTGACGCAGCGCCTTTGGAAATTTTTGGATGTGGAAATTTTCGATACTGTCGTTAGTGCACATGTTAAATTGTGGAATTTAGTCAAATTCTCGGCCCCATCGATGGTCCATCACAAAACGTGGGTAAGCTGGGCAAGCATTCCAATGGCTCGACCTAAACTCCGTACTCCGTACATGAAGAACCCCTCGGTCATTTAGTTTATGAGGAGGGTCATTCCATTGGGAGGCCTCGAAGGTTTACTGGTACTAATCTTGTGCTAACCAACTATGAAAAAGACGGCTCAGGTAATAGTAGCCTAATTAAGAGTACGTATTGCAGGTCAATACGATTAGGTAGAACCGCACAGGACTGGCAAAGCAGAACAATAGTACGAACAATGAAATGCAGTGCTACCGACCAACTGCAATGTATCTAGACCTGGTATGGTCATGATACTTAGGTAGGTATCATGAAGCATCTAAGTGGCAAACGCGACTCATTCTACATACCCCATATTGTATCTAATACACACTACAAATTGAATCTTGGCTAATAAGACTTTCCGAGCTCACCGCGTAATACTTTTTCTTTCTCAAAGATGTGTATGGCATAAGCTATCAAATGAGCGAGCATATTGTCAAACAATCCTGTCAGAATACTCCATATATTTAAATTCTGATGAAATGCAGATGGGGTAACGCACATTTTCTTTTTGCCTTGTTGTATAACACCAACACACGCTTTGTACGCTATATTCGAAATTGGGAAAGAAGGCGAGACTTTTGACGGCGGAGAGAGTGGGGCAGCGGTAACGCGAGTAGCAGCAGCTAACTAAACTCATTTTGAGTACAGTCATAATTTGGGAATGGGATGATGCAGAAATAAATCATCGACCGTTCAACATCCTTGAGATCCAGGTTTGCGTAGAAAAACTTCACATGTATTGGTCTGTACTAGGGTTCGCTAAGTAAGGATAATGGATCAGATGTGGATGTGGATGGATCTTGCTAGGGGATTGCGAACAATCCATGAACCAGCCACCATAAAAGAAGAAGGGCTAATCACGAAATATCCAATGATATGCATCGACCAGCATCGAAAAGGCCTCTTTCTGAAACTATGAGCCACATTTCCATTAGTGTGATAAGTAAGAAAACTTAAAAAGACTTGGATGGAACCACTTAAGGAACGAGATAATAATTTCAGGTGCGTCAAGAATTGTCAATCGTTATCCCATCGTCACGAAAGCATGATGATCCTAAAATACTGGTCGTTGCCATTCCTGTTAAACGGCGTTTCTGAGTTTGAGACCAAGGCGCCCAAATTATAGATGTGTGGGTGGAAACATATGCTAAATCACAGCGGTAGATTCTCTCGAATATCAATTTTCCATGATCCATGGACTTCACGGGCTTATGGCTATCACATAATGCAAAAGCACTATGCATATCGAGGCCTAATCAGCAGCCAGAAGGCAAAGCAATCATTGATGCACAGATTCAGCAACTTCATTGATGGAGCATGAACCCGCGGCGAGGTACAAGCAAGACGCACAAGTACAAATTGCATGCATGTGCAATAATAACTAAGACCGGCATGTAGTAAGCAGATCATCCATAATAATGAGAAGTAAAAACGTCTTAGACCCATGTTGGCATGCACTGGTCGGAAGCAGTCTCGATGAGGCTTTGTTTGGCCATCGAAGGCCCTAAGAAGGGCGCTTGAATTCCAAGGTTGTGTTTGTTTGTCTTAATCGCCCCTTACCCCCTCGTTACGACCTGTCCGTGCTTCTAGGATTCTTCAGAATGAAGCTGCCAAGCGTTGAATTATTCGATACGTTCCCTACCTTCACGGAGCTTATATCGATTCGAAATACACTAAACACTAAATATGTTTCGCAAGGGGCATGACATTGAAAAAGCAAAGCATGATAATGCTACAACATCCAGGCGGTGAAACCGATTAAGTGTTAATTTGGCATGTACGATGTATAATAGTCATCCAAGTAGTTGATTGCTTTTACAGTATCAAACCACAAACCACAATTCACGATGATCAATCTGTTCTTTAGCCAATACGCACGGAAATGGCGGCGAGAATATAGTGCTTGCTACTTACCTAGCTTTCAATCTCAACCTACGTTGACACCCTCCCTCCCTTATGTGGAGTCAACAAGTCAACAATTAGATGAATCTTTCTCTTGCATCGTTTTCCTTTCGAGCTTTAAGCCAAAAGGGGCCATAATCGGAAATTCTTTGTCTAGTGCATCATATACTGTGTATGCTTGTGCGACCACCCCGCAATAATCCCAGCTCACCAGTATATGAGCCGGGCCCTTGGAAGCTTTGTACTATTACAGGAAAAAGGCTAGTACGAAATGAAATCAGTATTATCTTGACTGCAGCATCTATAGTGCTAAGCCTAATGACGCGTAAAACGACAAAAAATTCATGATGATGCCAATGACTTTATTCGATAGGAGACTATTTCATTAGTCGCTAAGGTAGATCTCATCCATGTGTCACTTTCTTCTAATTCCCACAGTTTCCCCTTGTTTTTCCCCTCTATCGTCGATCGTGTTTCTCTTACCCGTGCCACGAATTTCATGTCCATATTTCCAAGGATGAAGATATTTGGAGATGACAGAATCTAGGATCTAGAAATTTAGAACGGAACAATCTTGCGCAAGCAAGGGTCTGCTTACTTTACCACACTTTTTTTTGGATCTTAAACGCTCGAGACATCATCATAGCACAGTGTGTGTATCCCATGCCGCATCCCTCGCTTCGCTCCGAATAGCGATTCAGCAAGAGAGATATGCCCGTCAGAAAAATTTGCATCCCGGTCGACAAGGCTGGGACTGGGACCGGCCTTCCTTTTTGGCTTTCTTACTACACCTACCTTTTTCCTGGAGACAGGCAGCGGGTGTAAGCTCGGGTTGCTGAAAAGGAATTGAGACCCTGGCGAATTTTTGAGGGATCGCTGGATTTGCTAGTCGACCGACCATCCTTTTATACTAACGCTGCCCTTCATGTAAGCTTCAATCTCAATATAGCCAGGCGAGCTAGTAATCCTTTTTGCTCCTTGAATGCCCAAACTAAATACAGCACATTGACCGATATACCATCCTAAAGACCAGAACCAATAGTTGAATGCTATATAGTTTGAATCTACGATGACTTAGTAAGACGGATGCTCTGAATGAATCAAAAACGAGCATTATTTGAGCATCATCTTACACTGATCAGCCATCATAATTGATCCGATCTATTGTGTTAGACCCGGTAGGTTTAAAAACTTTCAAACTCGTAACCCACTCTCAAGTTAATCAATTCCCGCTCTGGTCATCGCACCCTTATGCGAGCCTTTTTCGAAACCTTCAATTCCAACATACATCCATACATCTTGATCCTCGTTCGCCGTAGCCGATGGAGATGCTGCGTAACCACTACCAGCCGATCTCTTCATTATTGCAACACCTTTGTCAATTATAGATGGTCTCGGCTTTCGCACCGTTGCAGAAGCTTGCATCCTATCTCGGCCCAAACTCCTTTCGCTGGACCAGGGCGAAGCATACAGTAACAGAATGAGTAAGTTCGGAAAGTAAAACAGGGTAAGGCAATCCAAGTTATGACTGGCTTTATTAAGTGATGTGTTTGGAACGACCCCATCGTGTTACATTGAAGAGTAAACAAGTGAGTTTCTTGTGCCCACCTGATAGGCAATCTAATACAGAGATACCGGCGCGAGTGATGGAAATTGCTCTAAAGAGCTTGTGGAACCTTTGGCTGATTGACGGTCGATTACACACAGAGGTCAAAGAGAAACACGATGGTGATTTGTATTTACGGTGTTCGAACCTGTGTTGAACTTTCGTATTCTCTTCTTTTGCATTGATGAAACCTAACATTTAGATTTCGATAGCTTTTGGGTTTCTCATCTAGATTGTGCTCGGGGCCTTTAGTATAGTACTGAAGGACAAAGTAGAATTCTAGTCAAATGGTAACAAGCATCACGAGAATCATCATCAACCCAGTACTGAAGTTATCACAGCAGAACGCCGTAATCAAAATTGATTGATGTGATACAACCTCATCATGTGAAAGAAGGGCTCAGGGTTTTGTTTTCTGTTTCTGTTTATGGCGCGTGTTCCGCTCAGCACACTCAGCATGAAGTGTACGAACAGCACGGATACAAGACATTCTCAGCTCTTGATGAATGTCCATGGATGCAAGTGAAATGCAAACAACGGTCGGATGGAATGCAGCACACCAGCATTGATCGGAGACGATATTTATGTACCTGGTATCGTAGCAATCCATAGTAGCATCTTCATATCGAGATTCATAGGTGGGTTCAAGGGTAGGATTGTGGATAAGAGGGAATACGGAGCAAAAAGTAACGAATGGCATCTAGCTCGCGAGGCTAGGTGTGGAAAAGTTGGAGACCCTTGTTTTTACTTCTACGCACGCAGTGAACTAAAGTTCCGCAGTAAGTTCCGCAAGCACTCTCCGAAGTTAATTAGATGCGTGAGTTCTGTGTAGCTAAAGCGGAATATCATGGCGAGCATGGTTTGATGCTTATTTACCAACAGATCGCGACGAATGAATCATGTCTCGTGGATCTACAACCATGATGAAATTGTCCATGCTATCAATAGTCGAAATCGTCAAAACCCCTTCATTACCACTCACTATCATTGGCCTATGTAATTGTCTAAAACTTTGAAATCCAACAATTATCGCAAGGATAAATTCCGGGCCCGCGTGAAACTCATTGGAACCCGGTTGTCATAATGAACCTTACTTTATTAACCAAATCTAAATCCAGGAGATCTCTCGGTGCTCATGTATTCCCCACCATCAAATATTCATGGCAAGGAACTTGAAGGAAGGGATAGAAGTATCGAAGCCTAGGAAGGAGGGAGAGGGGCAGTGACAATGCAGCAATATCGAATGAATGGATTAGTGATTGACCAATTTCGACTTTTTTTTCCCGATGAGTACCTAGATGAGAGCCATCTAAGCGTTTCGACACATGAGCGTCACACACACAGCTGAAGCAATCCTAATCCTATACTTCATACTCCATGGACCATAGTATGACAGAATGATGGACATTTGCTTGCTAAATTACTAGCCTATGATTTTAGTTCATCTAAAAACATTGTGTAATGATAGCCATTAATAGTTACGGTACCTACCGATCCCACGGTAGTGTAGCGTCTGCTGTATGTGGAGGTCATATCCTGGAGGTCTCGAACTTCTTTCGGTGATACTCGAGTACGAAAGTTACGAGCCTACAAGTTGAGATGAGCACAATTTACGAACATACGTGGTAGTGGACCAACAACATCACGAGCTTGGGTGGTGGCGGAGGTTGCGGAGGTTGCGGTTCGTAATTCATATCAGATTCGATGAGGGGATTTCGGCTTGACAGGCTCAACAGCTTCGACAGGGGATAAGATTTCGATACTGTAATTTATAATGTGGTATTTTCACGGCAACGGCAAGGCAAGTACCATTGAATTTAGATTGATGTACACCACCAAAATACCAAGAACTCAGCCACACAACGTTTTGACTCATGAATTGAATTCGAGATTGTTCGGTCTTTCTTGGTAGGCTCGGTATGTTTACATGAATGGTGTGGATAGGTGTGCTTGACATGCCGTATAGGATAGTGAGTGTAAATTAACATCGGATGAACGGTACGCTATGGCATGACTAAATTTTGGTATACGCGTTCTGCAGCTTGTATAGCCTCTTTTCCGGTGGAATGACATTCATCTTTATTGAGTGAGTGAGTGAGTGAGTGAGTGTAAGGATATCGCCTTGTGAGATACGATGGAGCATATGTGAGAAAATCCATGGATGGGCGTGTTCGGAAATGCTGATGGTTCCGAACTTCGGGATAAATGGTTGAATTGGATGCTGAAATGAACTCAATGTTACGATGTTATTGGAAATGGTTCAATGAAAGCAAGCAAGCGGGATCCTAACACTTTTCGTACGATGTATGGTTAATCAGACTGGTTGGTGACTGGGCGCTTTTACTAGAAGGTTTCGTTCTCACCGAGATTGATAGGATGGTTGATTGTCTCACTAAACCTTCTGTATGGGTCGAGTTGGCATCTTACGGAAACGAAGGAAGGTAGGGCGGTAGTTTAGCAATGCATGATCTGACGGGAGACGTTTCCAGTCGAGTAAATGGGTATGGCACCAGGTGTCCTGTTGGTATTGATCTCGTACTTTCTCTGCATCTCCCTGAAAGAAAGGAATTGGATTTGTGTCATAGAATCGGAAGTGGGTTGGTTGTCCCTAAGGGTGGGTGATTTTCCTACCCTTTGCTTTCTTTCGGTTGGTGAAAGGGTGCGAAGGATGGGCGTTGGAGCGTTTTTGGTGCTGTACAACGCATCCGCATCCAAGATTCCAAGTGTGGACGCATTGGGCTATTATCGGTGTAGGCATCAAAGGTTAAGGTTGCTTAAACAGTTAGGTCGATGTAGTCCAGGGGGAAAAACTAGCAAGGCACGAGATCATGAGATTCTCTCTGTACAGGTGTGGGTTGCGTGGGAAGGGAAATAAATGGAATAACGTGCTCATTACTTCTTTCAACCATGTTTGCTTTGAAAATTAGATGAAAAGCATCCAGATCCAGATAACGTAAATGCAAGGTCCAACTCCACATATACAGGCATACGCACACTTATACGGTATACACAGCTGTAACAACGATTTCATGGTTGGAATGTATGTGAATGAAGCCGATGTGTACCAATTTACGAAGTACTTACTTCCGAACGGAGTAGGCGATAAGTCAATCTATCTGATCAACGCCATCCTTTCATAGCTTCAATCTAGGATCTTCTTCCATTTTCATTTGTACTCGGGGCGATGAATGGATGAGACATGGTTTCGATACAGTCATCTAACTACGTATTGCAGACTGCAATGCTGCGTCGTTTGCATTGCTAGCACTGCCGTTGAACTGTACCAGGCACATGTATTTGGCTGAGGGAGGGGTGAAGCGACGATGAAGGGGTTAGTCCAATTAATGATACTCTGACATGAAAACAGGAATGTTTGCGTAGTATGCATACAGGTTAATATATATGAAATACCCATATCAAATAGGTGATCCTAATTCTAAAGAGTTCGAAGACCATACTCGTCCCTTTCCTCTTCCTGCATTCATGTATTGAAGAGGCATAGTAATATTTATCGATGACATTTCATTGTTCCTTATCGATAAAAATGACATTGGTGGGTGTGGGGTGATAGATAGCCTAGGGATTGGACAACAGGCTCGACAGGTACACCAATGGTATCAATCGAAAGCCTAAATGCCAATGTTCGTTGTAGTGAGGTAATCAATGACATGCATTTTGAAACTTCACGAATTGGATTGAATCGATTTAGTAATCATGGATTCAAATTTTCAGACGGAATTATCATGAATAACACATGTCAGAGGGAGTCATACCCTTAGGAAGAATCCCAAGTAGACCTTTACAATAGTGAATTTCTGATAGGAATTACATGAAAGAGAGCCTCTGAATTCGTACATTCCTCAGTAACTTCTGAGCTTATGAGGGGTAGCGGTTAGAGCGTCATTGCCAAATTATTAATATTCCGGCTTCTAATCTCTATCATTCCATGATAATTGATCCAAAGACAACACAATACAATTGGAAGGATAAGAATAGATAATCATCGAACAGATGGCCAATTCAGCACCACAACACATATCTCTTTCAAGTAGGGATCAATTTGATGCTCACGAGGAAGTATGACATAGCAATTTGAGAGCTTGCAGGTTCAAGATTGATTCCGCATCGACTAACATTGGCAGGGTCATTCAAGTGCAAGTGATTCAGAGTATCAACATGCGCTGGAGGTAAATAATAAAAAACATCTCATTTCCTCTCCCATCTACGAAAACATTTGAGCTTACGAGACATCCTCTTCCCACAGGTAGTTTTCGATGCTCAAAATGCGCATCGTAGGAAATCGTCTCTCGTAACGGCCGATACGCCCGCAGCCACTTTCCAGCGAACAAAGAACACAGAATGTTATGTACACGCATTACTCGAAAGTCAGAGAAAAAGCGGGAGGGCATCAAATAGTGGTTTGGAGGGAATAGCAGAAACTTTAGCCTCACGCAGAATCGCAAGTGGAAAGGATGAAACAGATGATAAAGAAGATGCAGTAGTCGATAAGAAAATGCACAACCACAATGAAGAGGAAAATTGCGGACAGATTGATGAAACATCTTGGAGAGATACTCTCAAAGCGAAAGGTGCAACACAGCCGGTTGAAGATGATGCAAGTGGGAAGGTGCAATTACAACCTGATGGTGTGGATGCGGGCGCGACGCACAGTAGACTTCTCACAAAGAAACAACTCTCGGATATGGCTTGGGGAGTGAGGGAATTGAGTAAGAGGTTGGGGAGTATCAGGCTGAAGCTGAAAGTAAGAACGGTTTTCATCCTTACAAAGGTGCATGATGAGAGCTTGATTGCAAATACCAGGGAGGTTACGAGATGGCTCTTGAGTCCAGAAAGACAGGTCAGATACACGGTTTTCGTGGAGGAAAACTTGCGGGATAGTAAGAAGTTCGACGCGAAAGGGTTACTGGATGAGTTGGAGGAGGCTGAAGAAGGAAAGATTAATGGTGATAAACATAAGAGGTTGAGATACTGGTCATCAAATATGTGCAGGACGAGACCGCATACATTTGATTTTATCATTACCTTGGGTGGTGATGGGACAGTTCTTTATGCGAGCTGGCTGTTCCAGAGAATTGTACCTCCAGTTTTGAGTTTTGCACTGGGTAGTCTAGGGTTTCTGACTAAGTTCGATTTTGGAGATTTCGAGGAACAATTAACCACTGCATTTAGAGATGGAGTCACTATCAGTCTCAGATTGAGGTTCGAAGGTACGGTAATGAGGAGCCAGACGAGAAAGCCCAAGGCCGTTACGGATGGCGAGAATGGTAATGAGGACACAACCCCGAAACGGGACTTAGTGGAGGAGTTAGTGGGCGAGGAAATGGGAGATGAGAGAACTCATCGACCAGATGGTACATATGAGATTCTCAATGATATTGTGGTTGATCGAGGACCAAATCCTAGTAAGTAAATATCACATGACAGTGAATAATTTTGGTCAGCAAGTACTTACATGCCAAAGCCATGTCGTCCATTGAGATTTTCGGCGACGATGAACACTTCACCTCCGTCCAAGCGGATGGTGTCTGCGTTGCCACGCCAACGGGCTCCACAGCCTACAATCTCGCTGCCGGTGGCTCCCTCTGCCATCCTGAAAACCCTGTTATCCTCGTATCAGCCATCTGCGCACATACTCTTTCGTTCCGTCCCATCATCCTCCCAGATACCATCGTACTGCGTCTAGGTGTTCCATATGATGCGAGAACGAGTAGTTGGGCGAGTTTTGATGGGAGAGAGAGGGTGGAATTGAACCCAGGCGATTATGTGACGATTAGTGCTAGTCGCTATCCGTTCGCTAATGTGATGCCTCAAGGGAGGAGAAGCGAAGATTGGGTTAATAGTATTAGTGGGAAGTTAGGATGGAATACGAGACAAAGGCAGAAGGGGTATAAGGAGTGGTCTACATGAGCATTGGTAGAACTGTTTGTGGTGAATAAAGGAGTTTTGATACTGGGTGAAGAATATTGAAAAGGGGAAAGGATGAGAATGGGCTTTATGATACACAAGATACGATAAAGGTTGGCGATGGTAGTAGCAATGATAATGGAAGTATCCAAAGCCGAGTTTAGTGTTGTTGCGAGATGTTTACGCCAGCTAAAACATCGTCAATGGTTGCTCCTTTTTGCACATTCTTCTCATGGGCGTATAAGACGATGATCCACACCAGTCATGAATCTAGAAAATACAAACCAGTATTTGGTAACTTCACCGCTATATAGCTTTGAGCCCATAGCAATCTGATTTTATACAAGTGGTCTGATGATCCAAATATGGTCCTCTTGGCTTCTATTCTCGATGTGTATAAATATATATCTCAGCATGATCCCTTTACATACATTTATTTCCAAACATATGCAAGCACAATAAGACCCGCAATAACCCAATCGTATAGTATTGCAAAAACCATGGAGATTATCTGTGGGATAAAAAGATGGACAATCATTGTATGCGGTCATAATTGATTTTAATCTGCATGCTAATATATGACTTTCTTTTGTACTTCTGCATGAACTCTTCGAGCGGTCAAATCTTGATCTTTTGTGGGGTTGGCTATGGTGTTCAGTGGACTTGTACTATCATCCCTTAATATCTACAATTTATATCGCATCGTTTCAAGAAGATCAGATGAATAAATCCAGTACCGATATTTCTCGTAAAAGCATAAGAGCATGCTTAAAAACTGGAGCGAATGTCACTATTGAATGGTGAGCTGAGCTATAAAGGGGTTCTCGTATTTGCCCCACATTTCTTCTTTCGTGATCATTGGATGCTCGGATTGGTACGTGATGGAAATAGAAAATATATATAAACAGGAGGATACGTGATGTTCTAAATAGTTTTGAGATCATCATTCACTCGCTTTACTTAGTCATTGTCTAGAGTTCGGACAAGATGAGTGCTTTTACTTTACTCGCCCTAGCGGCTGCTGCTTCAGCGGCTGTTCTGGAGTTGCCAGTTCATATCGAAGATACATATGTATGTTACACTACCTTGACCTCAAAACAAATACTTACACGATGTTGCTCTAGTTCTCGGTAGAGTTTGAAGTTGGCACTCCAGCAAAACCATACAGGTTCATGTTCGATACCGGATCCACCACTTCCTGGGTCACCGGACGCAACTGCACGGATACTTCATGTCCTAAGGGTACCACATTCGTCCGAACTCCATATAATGAGTCGGATTCGTCTACTTCTGTTGATGTGCACCAGTATGCCGATATCTCATACATTGACAGTGATCTTCTCGCTGGCTATGTATTCTCCGATGTATTTTCGGATGAAAAAGAAACGTTGAGCTGGAACCAAACTTTCATGGCTGCAGAGCAAAGCAGTTGGCGTTGGATCACCGCCGATGGATTTCTCGGCTTAGCATTCTCCTCCATTGCGCAGAAGCAGACGAGTTCGCTCGTGGAGACGCTTCTCTGGGAGGACAAACTTGATGAATCTCGTTTTGCTATCTTCTATGGAACGAATCTCAACAACACCGGTGTTCAAGATGGTGTTTTGACTATTGGTGGAAGTCATGAAGATATGTATGTGGATGGGGAGGTAGTATATATGCCTCTCCGCGTGGAATCCCCCTATGAGCTCTGGCGTACACCCCTCCGCTCCGTCAACGTTCTTGTCGCTCCCGATGGTCAAACCGTAACAGTGCATAACGGCAAACTTCCATCGACAAACGTACCAGCGAATACCTATCCAAAAGCTAATACCACCTGGCCCATGTACGGAGACGGAACCGCCGTCTTCGATACCGGCGCCGGAGGTATCTCGATTCCCTCGTCTATGATCGATGCTTTCTATTACAATCTCGGTTGGAATCTCACGAAATTGTATAATGGGGAAGAGATGATGCAGTGCGAGCATTTGAATAGCACATGGGCTATTTCTTTCACATTTGGGGAGACTGCTGATGAGAGTAACGATGTGACCTTTTCAGTCAGGGGCGATGAGTTTGTGACACCGGGCCAACAGTGTATGCCGCCTGTGGATGACAGTGGTGAAAGCAACTTTTCTCTTCTCGGCGCCGAGTTCTTGAGAAGACATTACTCTGTCTTTGATTTTGGTGGAAATAGGGTGGAAAATTATCAACCTCGAATTGGATTCGGAAAGCTTAAGGAAGAGTATGATTATCTTCACCAGTAAATATCGCCATATGTAATTTGCCAGAAAATAGTTAATGTTTAGCGTTAGCAAAAGCGTACATATATCTTTTGTAGAAGAATAATAAATAATGTGAAACATTCAGCCGACCGAGTCAATTCAACTTAAGCATGCTTCTCTCCATATATTCTTCCTAGTCGATTTCTAAAACCTCTTGAAATACGCTCTAATAGCCATCTGGTTCTAGTAGAGTATACTGAAATGATAATAAACCGACCCGGCTCACATTAAAGTATGCTTCTCAGAGCACAATCCATTCTCAACTAATCTATTCGTTCAAAACACCCGTCAATTATCCATCCAAAATTCTCTAACCCTCCCCCCTAAACCAAACCCCTTCTCACCTCACAAACCCAAGCATTCAACCACACATAACCATGAAAACACGATCCAACCTTCAACCTCCAAAAACTCAATATCTTCACCATCATCCATGATCAAAAACACACAAACATCATTCTCCTTTATCTCTTCTCCTCCTAACATCTTCCAAAACACGCAAACCAATTCCTTAGCACTTCCCTATCGATCGAAACACACAGAAGCGAGGAAATAATAAACGCAACACAGCTAATAGTACGAAGACCAAAAGTTCGATACTCGGAAGTGTAGTAGTAATCGCCAACTACAGTGATTGATATGCCACCGAGGAAGTCTGCGAAAGCTTATCACTTGATGAGTGGCAATGGATTTCATTCTTTGGGGAGATGGCATGCATGCTGATACTAGATATTTTGAAAGCATGTATATGTGCAAAGAATCTCATGCTAGATCGGGAGGACTTGGGTGTGCGCTCTAGATATAACCTGACTCTTGTTGATTGATGCCTTGCATTATTTACCCAACTTCGGATGCGGGCAAGATGAAGTAAAGATGAGGGCGTGCAGAATTACGCATGGAAATGGCAATAGAGAGAAAGGCATTGAGAAAAACATGATGCGTCAGAAGTTGCAAATTTGACATATTAGGTGACCAAATTTAGTGGTTCTAGGTGTACATTCTGCCATAGATTTCGCTCTATATTTCGTGACTTGTTGGCTAACTTACCTCGCAAGATATTTGAATCTTTACTTACATTATTTAAGTATAGCATGGCGCCAAACTCCATTTCCTGCAAAATTTCAACACTCCCCATGACAGCCCCTATCCAGCCACTGACCTACAATTCTCCCTTCGCCCCATTTTCCACCTCTTCTCCATCCGCCCCGTTCTCCTTCAAAACTCTCATGAAGTCCTTTACCAACTTCTCGTGACTCTCCTGCAAGGTCGTCTTTATAAATCCCATCAACATTCTACTCGCCCTCACAACCCCCTTCTCCTCGAGCACCAATCTCCCCTGCCCAAGCATTAACGAACTTTCCCCCGGCCCCGCTTCCCTCACAATCCACGTCGTGACACTATGTACCCCCATTGGCGCATGTGTAACACTAACTAATCCATCTTCGCGATCCTGGAGACTCGATGTATAAGTGATTTGATCGGGGACAAACCGTTTAGCCCAGCCGCCTCGCCATCCTCCTCCATTGTCTCCTTCCGCAGCGGACATATCATCTGTTATTTCCCAGATTTCACAGGGACACGAAGCGCTTGGTTGGAGGGATGGGGGCTCGGTTTTGAAGAAATCGACGGCGAGGATATGCGTGGGTGGGAGGAGAGTGTGGGCTGTGACTAGGGGGTTCAAGCTTATCATTCTCGAATGGTTGTGTAGTAGGGCAAGCACCTGGGCCTTGGGGATATGAGGAGGAATAGGGGTGAGAGTGAGGGTTTGGTGGGTTGTTGTGAGAACTGTTCCGTAATGTTAGTTGAAAAGGGGGTTGTGGCGGAAGGGAGAAGTGATACTTACAAGACATTATGCCACGGTGAAATTGTATTATATTGGGGTTGGGATTAGTAAATTCAATGGTTTATCGTTCGAGCTGGACTAGAAGCTCAAATGAATTTTGTTGCAATTGAGATGTGGTTGAGATTGACATTTCAGGGTCGATCAAGCAGTTCGTGTTCGCAACGCGGATTGTTTCAAAGGCGAAAGCTAGATAGAGCCACCTCGCTGACGAGGTTGAACCGAGACAGGTTTTTGGAAGAAAGTTTAACTTACAGTATGGAAATGGTTGAATGTTCTGTGAAAATGAATTACCTCTGATGTTTTGACTTAGGAAGAGATATTGGAAAAGAGCCATCCGGATATGTTCGTTCTCTAACTCAAGGAATAATTCTGAGGCACGTTGTTGACTTCATTTTGGATATTTTTCATGTACAGAAACTGCACAAACACCATAAAACTCGGTGCTTTAGAGTCGAGAAGAAGAGAGTAGTCGCAATTTATAATTCAGAGTAGAATCAGAGTACATACTTTCATTCTTCTTATGGTAGTTACGAGTCGTGAGATTATATAGGTGACGCTCTACCTTTATAAAAGTAAATATATCAATTCGATGTTTTTTCGAGATCCTCAAAATTTCATGATAAAGCACGGAGTAATACTTTACCAATGACCGACCGACCTGGTGAGACCATCAAGAGTCACGAGACATTGATTCACCCATTCACCCATTCACCCATTCCCCCATTCCATTCACCAGTGACCACCCACTTTCCCACTCCCACTTTATCCCCCAGGTGGAGTCCCCACAACATAAACACGAGCTTTTCCAGCTTTGCATATTGTTATGGAGCTGAGATACTCGTGTGCATATCTCTGCCAACGACCTGACATGGAAATTCTAGGGCAAAAGTTCTGCATCATCTGTAAAGCTCCATTTACATGTAACGTTGCCCCCCCCCCCCCAATCGCGTTTATTGCATTGTCGAGAGAAGCAAATAATGATTAGCTGCAATGTGCTGTATTGTGCTTGAGCCTTGAGTATCACGACTCTCGAGTACTTGCTTTTAGGACGCAGGAGCTTGGGTAGCCAACACTGATCGACGCGAGCGTTCCTTTCAACAAATGTACCTGTTGCCGCTGTGCCCCTGTTGTATACCGGTACAAACCGAACAATCTCCTGATGGGAAAAAAAGAAAAGAGCATATCTAATATCTATCTTGTCAAGAGCCACCACTCGATCCACTACTCGGAATCATCTCCGAAGTGAGGGAATCGAGACTTCTTCTACTTGTACGGACGTAACTAGACCAGTAAATTTCAATCATCCTGCTGACAAGAAGGTCGTCCAAATTTGCAAATGAAGCAATTACAGTATCTTAAAGGTACCATGAAACTACAATCAATTACCGTTGCCGCAACCATCCCTCGTATCCACCACGGAATAGACTCCCCAAAACAGTACACCTCTGTATTTCTGTCCTCTCACACCCATACCTCGGCTTTCCTCAAAATTCGGATCATCTCACCGTCTTCACTATCTCATTCGTGATTCGCCTTTTTTCTCTCATTCTTTATATTCAATACCAATCTAGACACTTTAGCGAAACAAAGTACGAGGACCCACAACCCCTTCATTCGACGGAAAAACTTTCTCCAGGAATTTAGAATTTCGATGAACGGATATCATGACACAACTGACAAGCTTTTTTATTGCTTTTTGACCTGGATTGAATCGTTAGATCTGAAAATTTTCTAGGCATCCGGGTATGGCTTGTGAGGCTTTAAGTTAAACGCCAGGAATACTGAGCCACTACCGTCATTAAGCGTTTTGACGGTGATCTTTGGGATTCTTGTAATGCTTGTTTCCTTATGGTCTTACGTCTCTCACTACTCCTCCAAAAAGGTAGAACATATAAGCTATATGCATGATACCAATAGAAAATCTACAACTGTTCCGGAAAAGAACTTTACAGAAACGACATAGTTGTTTCGGGCCATGTGTTCGGGTAGAGTAGCTCGATTACCAAGTAAACAACTGACAAGCTTTAAAAACTAGTCTTCCCCGAATCCCCAATCTCTCCATAAAAATGAAAGGATCCACCAACATAATTTTCGGCCCAGTTTTTCAAAACAACAAAATCAGTCGACAAGTTGGCGCGCAGATGAGATACTCTGACAAGCGCCGATCAAAGTCCACTCTAGGTGGAAAGTGTTGTATTGCTTATGCACTCCCATGCTCAGAGATCGTCGTTCATACCGCATACCTCGTGTGAGACTGATGGCGCCCTGGAAAGGCGTTATGCCTGCATCCCATTTGATAGTTTCCAAAGGAATCTTACTGATGATCAGTACCAGTGTCGTCAATCTTGAAGATGGCGAGCTTCACTCTTCGAATCATATCAAGTTGATATAATTGAGAGATACTGGTAACGATTGAGATCTTGATCAGCTGTCAAATGGCGGGGAAAGAACAACCCCAAGGTCTTTCCAACCCATCAAACCCATTTGGCAAGGACATTCCCCGGGATGATTGACATTCGAAGGTAAAACTTGGGAGGATCCATAACCAGAATTCGGCCCTTCTCTTTCAATCCACTTGCTTTATCTCCAGATTCCATAATTCCAACAGTTTTCATGCTCCATTATTACCCCAGCCCTACACTTTCTTTTTCTATATAAGTCTTTGTGTCGATCACAAAGACTCTGACTTTTCCTTTCTTCCCTATCAAATCCAGTCCTGCCTCGAAGAAGGTCGACTTCTATTTTACTGTGTACTACACCTCTACTGTCAACATAAGAACAGGTTTAGTTGCCTGATCACCAATAAACAAGATGATGATCGGTAATGTCTACTTCATCGCGGCCGTAGCCGTGGTGGGTGGTGCTCTATTCGGTTTCGATATCTCGTCTATGTCCGCTATCATCTCAACTGAGGCATATTTATGTTACTTCGATCAAGGAGGAATCGTTAATGGAAAATGTACTGGACCATCTCCAGATGTTCAAGGTATGAAAAGATTCCTGCTCTAAAAGCCATCGCAACGAAGACTAATTTGATATAGGTGGTATCACCGCCTCTATGCCCGCTGGAAGTTGGCTTGGAGCTTTATTGTCCGGTTACATCTCAGATATTCTTGGTAGAAAGAGAGCCATTCAAATTGGTTCCGTCATCTGGTAAATATTCCCAACTTTGATGTCTTCCATGAATAGCTCGCTAACAAGCATTCACAGGATTCTTGGCTCCATCATCGTCTGCGCTGCCCAAAACATTCCTATGCTTATCGTAGGACGTATCATCAACGGTCTCTCGGTTGGAATCTGCTCCGCTCAAGTTCCCGTCTATATCACAGAGATTGCACCACCATCTAAGCGTGGAAGACTCGTCGGTTGCCAACAATGGGCTATCACCTGGGGTATCCTCATCATGTTCTACATTTGCTATGGATGCTCCTTCCTCAAAGGAACGTCTGCTTTCCGTATCCCATGGGGTCTTCAAATGATTCCAGCTGTCTTCCTCTTCTTCGCTCTTTTCTTCTTGCCAGAATCCCCACGTTGGCTCGCTAGAAAAGACAGATGGGAAGAAGCTCACCAAGTTTTGTCTCTTGTCCATGGCCACGGTGACCCAAACTCCCCATTCGTCGCTAAGGAATTGGCCGAAATTAGAGAAGTTGTTGAGTTCGAGAGAGCCAACGCTGACGTTACTTATATGGAGTTATTCAAGCCAGATATGATTAACCGAACACACATTGGTATCTTTACTCAAATCTGGTCTCAACTTACCGGCATGAACGTCATGATGTATTACATTACTTACATTTTCACCATGGCTGGTTTGGGTAGCAACGTTCTCTTGCCTTCCTCGATTCAATTCATCATCAATGTCGTCATGACAGTTCCTGGATTGATCTGGGTTGACAAATTGGGTCGTCGTCCCGTCCTTTTGTTCGGATCCTGCTTGATGATGCTTTGGCTTTTTATCAACGCTGGTCTATTGGCTACTTATGGAACCGTTCCATACAAGGGACAATTCTCCAGTGCCGCTGAATCCATCTCTATCACCGGAGCACCATCCAAGGCTGTTATTGCTTGCACATACCTTTTCGTCGCATCATATGCACCAACATGGGGTCCAGTCTCCTGGATTTACCCACCTGAGCTTTACCCTCTCCGTATTCGTGGAAAGGCCGTCGCTCTTTCTACCTCTGCTAACTGGGCTTTCAACTTCGCTCTTGCTTACTTCGTCCCACCTGCGTTTGCCAACATTAGATGGAAGGTTTACCTCGTTTTTGGAATCTTCTGTGTTGCCATGACCCTACACGTCTTCTTTGTCTTCCCAGAAACTAGTCAGAAGCCTCTTGAGGAGGTCGAGGAAATCTTCGATTACTCAAAGCCTGGAAGCATCAAGTTCTTGGGTACTCCAGCCTGGAAGACAGGTGTTGATAAGAGAGCAGGTCGTTTGGAGAGAGGAGAGTTTGATGCTGAGGATAAACTAGGCCCTAGTGTTGCTCATCATGATGGTGTTACAGCTGTTAATGAGACTTCCAAGTCTGAGTTGTAGACTGGAATTGAACAAAACAGTAGAATAGGTGGATGAGATATACAGGAGAAGGGGAGTCTGGAGGTGTTAGCCGAAATAAGGCATGATTTAATGATGGTGTAAGATTCATAAGTGGATGTATGGGCATTGGTAGATGGCTACCTTTGATAGCTAATTGAGAATCATGTGGATTGATGGATGTATGAACATGAAAAGACGGATGTTAATGATGGGATTTTATGTAAAGGAAAAGATGAATAGGAGGATCATTGATACCCAGATATATATGAAAACGAATATCAGAAGATTTTTCTTAACACCTTTTGGTTTTCCTTGGTGCAACGGTAGATTTTGGATGAGGGTGAATGCATCGGGTAGCTAGATATTTGGATTGAGTTTAGTAGAGGAAGATTGTAGCCATGCAGAAACAGATCAAGCTGGGTGGTGGTGAACCTGTTTTCATGTTTATCTTTTGTGGATGAGATAAGTGAATGAAGGATGTCAATCAGTTTAGATTCTTTCCACAGTGTGAACTCAGGTACATAGCTACCTACATACAGTATGTCTGGAATATTCATAGCGAAATTCCCTGTCGAAAACTCAATTAAGTGAATTTGACTTAACTTGATTGGAATTGGAATTAGAATTGGGATGAAAAAGAAAGAAAGAAAGAAAGAAAGAAAGAAAGAAAGAAAGAAAGAAAGAAAGAAAGAAAACGGTATTATGGCAATTTTTCTATACGGGTTTGAATGTGGGAATGGGATGGAGAGGGATGGAGAGGGGGTTATTGATTTCTTTCAACTTTTGGGTTTTAGTTTGGAAATGAAGAAGGAGACGGAGATGGAGGTGGAGGGAGAACTATGCTAATAAAGTGATATAGGAAAGATTTGGTGAGTTGAAGAAAATAGATTTATAATTGCGGATGAATTGATGGGGCCTTGCATGATGGGAATTGAATGATGGGAATGGGTAGGATGGATTTGGATCTGGATATCGGATGTATAAAGCGGGGATATATTCCTGTAGGAGAAATATATAGGCTCTAGGGTTATGTGAGTGAGTCGGGTTGTTTGGCTGGTTAGGTATTGAGGATTGATGGACTCTTAGTTTAGGAATAGATGAGTGAATACAGGTAGAAGTGTGATATTGAGAATTCAAAGGTATTAATTGTATGGAAAGAATTCCTCGACTTTATTTCTTAAGAGATGTATTCTATCGATTCCATGACTTTCATACGGTTCATACGTAGTCCTTACAATGCAAGTCTCGTATAGGTATCTACAATAGATATTAAAAGGAAGTAAAGACTCGGCGGATGCAGCATGAGTAAAACCACGAATGTGTATAAGATTGAGTTGGAGAATGAAGATATTCATATTTTCGAATACATTAGTTAACACTATTCAGAATTTATTATTGATAATGGCAAAAGAGAAAGTTGAATCATTTGCTATTCTATTGCGTTAGACATAAAATTTTATCAGACTCAATCGTATGTTCAATACATGCATGTATTCCCTCGAGCTGATTGATACTCGCTTCAGTATTGCATTCGGCAAAACGCAATGTTAGATCTCCTATCTCCAATGTATCGAGTCTAACCGATCAAAAAACTCGATCCGAACGTACTGTCGTTAGATTGATGATATCTGGCGGGCTATACGATTGACTCACAGTAACTTACCTAAAGCTTCCAGGAAGATCTACCACTCCTCGTTGATGATCACTTGCATCTTACTCAAACTAAGAAAGCTGGTACGAGAAATGCTGACCAACTGCGACTCGAGGAATGTTCACAACTTCGGAACTTCGGCAAGATCAAAAAGCCAGACTGTAGTCTAACAATTGAAAATTTTCAGTTTTCGAAGCTAGTTATAGCATCTAGTGAATGATTGTTGCACATCTGATATTCTCTTCAAGTCATGCGCGTCGAAAAGCCAAGATTTGATTAGACAGAGCTAGCTAGGTACCTAGATGTCATATGATTAGTACATCATCTAGAACGTATAAACTCCGATGATTTCCGGTATCTAGAGTTCAGGTGGGATGAATTGGATGGTTGTTAATATGACTGTGGGTAGCTAAGAATGAGCTGTCGATGGTCATGGTCTGGACGACGAATCGATACTATCGATTCGATACTATGATTGACCCACAAGTCTCCGACGAGTTCAAGATGATCCACTCATTTTAAAAACTACGATGCTTACAGAAATTGGGAGCTTGCATCCAGTCTATTAGTCCGAATTTTGAATGTCCTCAGTCGTCAAGCATACTTGGACAAGATTGCTTTACCCTTGGCAAACAAGCCCCTCTAGTGTATCTCCCTGTTTCGCCGGTCTTTTTCACACTGATAAAACGTGAAAACTCCTAATTATAGTCGCTCCATCTATCGTTTCCAATCTAAATCACTACAAAGCCAAGAAAAGAAAATCTCAAATATTGAAACGTTAATATCGCGTCATTCACATGATTACATTTCGCATGTGTCCAATTGCAGGTAGAGAATTGTCCTCAATAAGGACAACCAGGACGAAAACTTTCGAGTTGGAAGATTAGTTCCAGACTAGCTCGATACCAAAATCCAGAATGCTGTAAATGCTAACCATTTTGGGTTACCAAGATCTACAAAGCTACCCGATGTCTACCCCTAAGTCTCGCTTAGCGTTTTGTAGTCTTCTCCCCCGCAGTCTTCATGACAGCAATTCATTTTTTTTAATGAAAAACTAGACCACGATTTGGGTATATAAGTTCTGATTCTTCCTCAATTCCTGGATTCTATTTTCTTTCCAGACATATCACATCTCACATAGGATAACTTCAAGCTTCTCTTCTCAATCCATTTGACCAAGATCACTCCAAGTCATTCTTATACTTTAAAGATTATCTTCGCCGCCTTATCATTTTCAATCAACTTTATTGAGAACCTACCTTTTCAAGCGCCACACAGAATCATGCCGCATAAAAATAGGAAAAATAGAAACCAGAAAAATAGAAGGAAGGGAAACAAAAGAATGTCAGTTAGACCCGATATTACCACATTGTCCATAGAAATGGCAAATCTTTCGATCACCAAATATCCAACTAACCCCGAAAGCAGCCCCGGAGTTATCGATGACTGTCCTATCTGTTACGAAAAAATGAGCCAACCGAGAAATAACATACGAATGGAACATTGCTGCAAACACACTTTCCACAGAGCATGTCTTCAAACGTGGGCAAATGGGCAAAGATCGATGGATCGAAAATGCACCTGCCCAATGTGTCGAGATGAATGGCCGGTCGAATTCGTCGAGCAGCTATTTGAGGGATGTAAAGAAGAAGAAGTTATAAGTTTGCAGCATGAGTGTTCATGTAACGAGGATACTTACGTAGACTTTCTCTCTCCAAATATGTTGCAGGGGTTGTCTGAATCGCAGAAGAATGGCCTTCGTGATATCATCAAGCGCATCCAGGGGTATTTCGAGATTGGAACGCAAACCTTCCTCATTGTCTTCGTGATGTGCCCCGAACACCCTCTGAACATTGATCCTGAAGAATCGTCCACGGATCGCCAGTACGAAGTAATGAAAATGTTGTTGGATTGGGCTTTATACCACGTTCAAAGACGTAAAAGCCCCACTTCACATTCGACATTCAGATTGTTACCTCGCCCGTTCAATTACGAACACTTTGGCCCTGAGCCATTTCTCGACAACCTCTCTGAGCCCTATTCCCGCGCTAGTATTCGGACTAGTGGAATTTTAAATGGGGACAGTAACTCCGATGACGATGGTTGATGAACTGGGACTACTATATAACTGTATTGTAATATGTCAAGCGCTTGTTATTTTGTGTATATATTGAATTTGGTTTATGGAGTATGTGCGTTTCGATGCAGGATTTAGAATTAAACAACGATCTTGAGCGAAGATCATGTATGTTTAAAAGTTAAATAACAAAACAAAATTGAATCAGTTTGTGAATATGAATATGAGATCGTGATCGGTGATGTAAAATGTTGGTTTGATGAGAAATGAGCAGCAACATTCATTGAGCTTTTAGAGTATCGACGTATTAAAGTGAAGCTGTGAGATGCAAGCGTGGTGATGATGATTTTCATGTTGTGCTAGAACTTCATCATGCTCCCTTGTAGTAAAGCCCTGGCGTATTGCTGGCAAAGCTCTCAGAGTCATATTATCATGGGTGTATTATAGCTCCAGAATTTGACGAAATTGAGCGAGGTGTCCAGTATGGACTCATTCTTTGTGTTGGCCATTGAATACGAAGAACTTCCGGGTGATTAGTAGAGTGATTGGGCACGAATGGAATAGACAAAGCAATAAAATAGCTCGAGAAAAACTTCCTACCTTGCAAAGGAAAGAGTACCTTTAATATTGGTGGAGCTAGCTTTTACAATGTCATCATCAGAACGTGACTACCACTTCAGAGTTTATGTGCAATGGAATATAGACTCTGGACATTTTCCTTGCATGGGCAAGGACTTCAATGATATTCAACCCATAGCTCACTCGAAGTTGATGTAAACATCTCACGAGTTTCAGCACTTCACATTGCTTCTAAAATGGCACTTTTGGCAGGCACAAGTATCCTAGGCGAATCATTGTTCTATTTTATGATTTTATGACTTGATAATGTGTGGCATGTTTGAACGAATCAGAAGGGCAAAAAGATTAGGGCTATAATCCTGTTACTAGGGGAATGTAGGAGCAGAATTGTGATCTCGGCCAGACATGTATGCAGACGGATCTTTCGTCCTCGGTAGATTGATGAGAATCGTTGATACCCCAGAAATGAGGATATATGAGAAATTTTGGGCCGCGTTCATGATCGCAGATGGACAAAATTGTGGATTCGGCCAGGCGAGTTTGAGTCGGGCCATGCGTATTAACCTATCGATTCCTCACTCACTAAATTGGGGCCAATGAAAGGCCACTTGATCTTCCACCCTACCTAGAATCTCCTATGTTTATGATATACTCATTCACTCAGTTCAGAAAGCACAATCCGAGTAATCCATAGTATCTCAAGGAAAACGACCTGATATATTCCGAGAAAGCTACTTCCTAGCCGAAGCCAAATGAACACGAGCTCAAATGACCCTAGGAAAAAGAACCATCTCCATTCCAGATCAATGCAGTTGAAAAGGTGTCATAACCTTAAGAACAATCCATCGCAAGGCTGCCTCAGCACACGAGTGTCCATAAGCGTTCCTCCCTTCATTTGAAAATGCCCTCTAAAGTCTGACCATAAATGTCCTCTTTCGTATCCCTTTTCCTGCAAAAGCCCAGAACTCCATGCCATGTTAATTTGATTCTCTCCACAAACCCATCGTGGTCGTATCGTTCCGTTCTCGATGAGTTAATTTACAAGGTGTGGTGAATTTAACGGTGCTACAAGTTTTGTTAGTGGTCATTCCATCCAGTTTTGATGATCGAAGGATTTGTTGGTGTAAAGTGAGATGGTGCGTAGATTCTGCAGCGAGCGTACCTTGACGAATCCAATATCGGCTGCCTTCTCTCTGAAGCATTGTCTGCAGATGTTAAGACCGTACTTGCGGATCAAACCGGCCTTGTGGGTGCAAACGCGACTGTTATGTGTGTTAGAAATGAATTTTCTCAATTAAGATCATTGGTGATCCTTGACGAAATCACAAAATGCGATTGATTCTCCACATACCATTCGCGGGATCCCTTTCCGTAAGTACGGGGTCTGGACATCCAAACTGATTCGTGAGACATGTTGTCTGATTTTGGCGAGGACTGTTGTCGGCGGTGTTCGAGTGCTTGGAGTTTGCGAAAATCGTTGTTGTCGTTGAGTTCGTAATGTTCAAATTGACTGGAAGGGCTTATTGAGCTCTAAGCGAAGTTTCGCACAAATGATGTTTTTAGTCTGAAGCCTGACGTCTAAGGCATAAAGCTAAGACAGCGGAATAAGTAAATTCCGAAGTAGAATTCCACTCATTATGTGAAGCCTTGCAGATAAGACAGATAAACAGCCTTGCGTATTATAGCCTTGTATTAACTTATCACTTATCATCGAGGAGTAAACAAGACAATTGCAATAACAGACCTTCTGTTTACTATTTCACTTCACTGTACAAAGAAAAAATGGTAGGAAAACATAGGAAATCACTCACGATTGACTCATTTACATTCAAACTATTACTACTTACTAACAATGATAAAGTCCAAAGATTCAAATCACACCTATGTTCATTTCACACTATCCCGCACAGCAGATCTTTTCGAAGACTTCTGCAAAGACAAACTTCCCGACGATGACATCTACGTACCACCACACAACCAACCAGTAAACCCCGAAGACGAAGATGACGTTGTTCCAGATCAACATGCAGCATTTGGGATACAGAGGGCGACACAAAAGACAAAAGAGCCAGCTTGGAAAGATTTAGGATTAGCAGAATTGATGAAGAAAGGCCCAGGTGGTAAAAGTGGAAGTGAGGGAGGAAACTACAAGGGCATAAGAAGTCTTCCAAGGTGAAGAAAAACGTGAAAGGATTACGGAGTTAAATGGGCGTATAATCTAATGGGAATTAATGTCAGAGCAAGGTTGAAGGGATTCTAGGGACTGAGAGCACTATATTACTGGCACAGAGGTTGGACTGGCATGTTCAACTTAGAGGATCTGATCATATTGTGTCAATACCCGGAGAGAAATCCTTTGAATTTTACATCGTTCATAAATTAGCCTAAACAAGGAATATTGGCTTGCTGGTGTCTCAAGTGTCACATGATTCTACATCTAGAGATACAGGCGTAAGGGAGACAGCATGGAGAAGCTCTAAAGAACCGTTCGATTTGATTAATCTGGTCATCTAGTGCCAATTGGTGTTTATAAGTCTCCGCTCTATCAAGTGTGCCCTACTTTCTGGGATTTGGACAGAGGTTTGTGGAATGCACCTCGACAGACGCCTGCCAAAACCATGTTGTCCTTTCGAGTCCTAAATTTTGGAGATCAAGCCATGTGGTATGACGGCACGATTGCAGTCTTCCTTTGTGGACAAGCAAAGGAAGTGCAATTAGTTCCGAACTGATGAGTAAGATATTGGTAGAAAAGTCAAATAGATGGATGGTGACAAGCATATGTGCTCTTCCATATCGTATCTAGTCGAGTAAGACGACTGCGGGACAGAAAGTAGACCCAAATATTAACCATAAACTCCATCCCGATGATACTCCTTTACGCCCAGCGTATGATCGTGGATACCCGCGTTGCAAGCTCCAAATGATATTATATCACTTCTTTCCAACCTAACTCTTCCCCAAAAATGCCTCTCTCTCTACCACCTCTTCCTGAAACTTGACCAAAAATACCGTTTTCCCTGGCCACAGCTCTCCTTCCTCCCCCCTTCCCACACTATGCGCCGTGACCCTTGCCGGGAAACCTGCGCCATCACAAACACCCTCAATAATGCCCGCAACAAATGCCGCACAATTCAATTGATTCATTTCTTTAGGCACACTAATATATTGATTGACAAGAGGTTCATTATCGGATATCATGTATTCCTCAGGCGTGTCAGGGTTCGAAGATTTCTCGAGTGCATCTGCAGGGCGGGAAAAGAGGTGACGCCAGAGGACGGTGGTTATGAATTGGAGGAGGGCGATGATGTTAAGGGGCCGGGTTTGTGTACGTGGTGGTTCGCGGTAGAGTAGGAGATCGAGGAGTTTGAGGCCGATGGGGTGACCTTGAACATTCAGTCTAGAGTTTTGATTAGAATTATACTTTTTGGTAACACAGGTTGTTTGTCTAAACTCGACATATAGTGAAGGAAATCTTACCGCTTCTCGAGGTCTTGAATACCAGTGACCCGTCGTTGTGCATAACTAACCATCTCCCCAAATAGATATGCAAAGCTGGCTTGACTCAGCTCCTGCGTCTTACTGCGATTCAATGGCCTATGGTATATCGTTTTGCCGGTGGAAGGATATCGCAGCCCTGACTGGGAGCCTCGTTGAGTATGAGAAGCTTGGCCGGTCAACGGCGGTTTTACGGGTTGAGAGGACATTTAATTGGTCAATTATTGTTCGCGCGTAGTTGGATATACTATTCGATATGACGTTGTAAGATAGTCAGGAACTTTGTGATTTGTGAAGTTGGATATAGGTATGATTTGGGGGGTTGTCGCAAGGCTGCTGAAATTGAGGGTGAGGTCGATTGCCAAGCGAGGGGGTAGCATCATTGTCCAAGTTCTTCAGAAACATTGTCTGGGAGTACACAAAACAATTCAGGTGTCGTTAGAATTATTATTTAGTTTATTTATTAATATCTGGTCTATTCTATCCTATTGCAAAAAAATCATTTGTACAGTCTTTCTTATCGACTTCATGCAGCGTCATTCTTCTCGGATTTTCCGTTGATGTCTCCTGATATTTCGGACAATGTCCCGAGTGTTTTCGGTTCAACGGCATGGCCATTTGATGGCATTTCCTCAGTAGTACCGCCGCTGATGCTAGGGACATTTGCACCTTTCAAATAAACTTCACTTTCCCCAATTTGCTTCCCCGCCTTGACCCAACGCTCAAAAGCACTCTGTTGACGTCCCTCACACTGTTTGATTAACTCCGGCCAATAGGTTGCATGATCATATTCAAAGGCAAGCTCTCCATCAAACTCAGCCCAGAGTTGTTGAGGAGGTACGTGTTGTTTCATATCATCATTGAACTTCAACTTTGCTTTAGTCAAGGGATCAATGAATGGGGTGATGAGTTTGAAAAAGCCGTTCACCATCCAAGGAACTTATAAGGAATTAGCAAGGAATTTGTTCGTCAATTAGGAGACTTACCATTGATAATTAAAGCTCTCCCAAGCCGTTCAGGGTAATGAGTTTGAAGAATGTTCAAGACTTCTCTAGCTTGCCCAATGCCAGGCGCTGTATTCGATCTGCTCTTACTGGACTTGAAGTTGATCAATAATGCGAGCGTGGACTGGCCTGGAATCGTCAAGTCGATACATCGCTCGAGCATGAATACCAAATGTTGTACTTGCTTGGGATTTGGTTCCGTATTTTGTCTTCCAGGATTCAAGTAATGACATGGACGCCCTTCGTTATCATAACCCAAGATGAACTGCTTGCCGGTTTCGTTCTCGATGGAAAGGTCATCGCCACTAAGATCGCTCACACCGTACTCCCGCCTCCAAGTCAGAGTTCCTAATAGTCGTTTTGGTGCTTCCGTGGCGGACCATTTTGTTGCTCGCAAGTACCGGTATAAACATTCTCTTGTTAACCATAACTTTTCACTATCTGTGATGGGGCCCCCTTTCGAATCCTTAGCTGGGATTTCTGTCCACGACTTGACAGTTTCTAACAGCGCATCGTATTTCTTCTGTTGTTCTTCTGTGAGTTCTGGCGAAGGAGGAGGCTTCGAAGACTCGAGAGGGTTGAGGAATGGTGGCTTAAGAGGACTTGGTCCTTTTCCTTCAATTGAAGCTGAAGATGTCTGCCCATTAGTAGGACCTCCTAGATTAACACCGGCCATCTCTTTTTCGATGCCTGCGACTTCGACTTGATTCTCTGTTGACATTTTAAATGGTAGAATAGATGCTTGATTGCAAAATGGTACAACCCGACTTCAATCACAGTCAACTCCTGCAGACAAGAAGACACAGCTTTCAAGGGGTAATTAGTAACTTAGGTATGTCCTGACACCGACTTGTTGCAATCTAAAAATGTGGTGCTAGCTCAGCCTTATGGGCGTTCCATTGGTGAATTTTAATTTTCTTACCACTTCTCAATTGAGTGTACCTACTGTTTTGAAACAATTGCCAAGAGAGATAGGATGTAATTGCCGGAGAAATTATAACAGAAACACATTCTGTTACGAGTATAATCCATTAAGTTAAGCCTTTGAAAAAGGGTTTGTTGAATCAACCATGCCGGCCGGGGGCCATGGATTTGATGAATTGTGGCACGTTCGTGGCGCAAACTCGTGAAAATCAATTTAGTTTTATAGTGTTGAAGCGCGTCAAAACGCGTCTCCCCAAATATCTCTTCCAAGATCAAACCTGACCGAACTCAACAATATCAACGATTTTTCTACTCAACAGCCTCAAAATGGCGGAAAACGATAGCGAGCTGAATGATTTGTTTTCATCTGCGACTGCTTCAGGTGGGCCCCTTGAGCCAGATGTACTCACAGAATTGCATTCAATTATGCGACTGCATTCAATACCCGCGCAAGAGCTTTTCTACAAATGGGAATCATATAGCATTAAGATGGGACAGGATGATATGAAACTGGATATCGATACTGTTAGAGCGCTCAAGCAAAGTGTGCAAGATGGGTTGGAAAAGGAGAATCGAAAAACTAAGGCTCAAACATCGAATAAAAGAGTGGGAGCTACGCCTCGAAATGCAGGAAACAATAATGATGTTTTTGGAATGTGAGCAGGTTCTTGATTTATCGAATTGATCTTTACTCATAGTAACTTAGGTTAGATATCGCGCCAAATACCCCCCGAGGTGGGATGAGTTCGCGGCCGAAACGCAAAGTAGAGACGCCTTCTATGTCAAGAGTGAAAGCAGAACCGGCTAGTAGCCCCCCAGACTTCAGGACATCGAAAAACCTGAGGGAGGTTGATACTGGTGCTGAAGCTGGAGCCGGCTCTTCATATGCTCCGTATGGTATCACGATATTCTGAAATCGCCCAATACTGACGGAACATAGTACTTCATTCAACGATAGAAAGTTCGCCGGTCAAACTGTAGAAGTTCTGAATAACCACCTCGAGCTACCAGAGCCTCCAGTTGCTCCTTATCCAGAATCAAGAATCAAACTTACAGCCAACTCAGATATGAAGAAATTATCTTACAAGACAATGGCCATGAAATCATCAGAAGCGTCAGAAATACTGGATGACCGTATAGACGAGTTCATGCTCCTCATACAAGCACATCATAAACTAGATGACTCAGACTTCGGTAGTGCAGCAAGTCAAAGTACGAATGAAATAGTATCTGTCGGAAGGATTGCATGCGACTCTGCCGAAGGAAAGCTTAATCCGTCTTCAATCGTACTTGAGACCTCGCGAAGGATGGGAGCTGGATTACGAATACCACTCAAAGTTGATAAGATGAGTGGATTTCAATTCTTCCCTGGGCAGATAGTTGCATTGAAGGGAATAAATGCCTCTGGGGAAGATTTTACAGTGAGCGAGATTCTTGAGCCACCTCTTCTAGGCGTTGCTGCATCCACGCCCGCTGGCCTTGATGAACATGTTCGAAGACTCCGAGGAGGTCCAGATGCAATGGATGAAGACTCTGATCCTGCACCTCTAAATATTATTATTGGAAGTGGTCCCTTTACAGCAGATGACAATCTAGACTTCGAACCTCTACACGCAATTTGTAGCCAAGCAGCGGATACCTACGCTGATGTACTAATTCTGACTGGGCCGTTTCTTGATATCGATCATCCTTTAATCGCAAGTGGAGATTTTGATCTCCCTGAAGAAGCTCTGGCTGATCCGGACACCGCCACTATGTCGACCATCTTCAAACATCTCATTTCTCCAGCTTTCACCCAACTCACTTCCACCCATCCCCGAATTACTATACTCCTTGTTCCTTCAGTCAAAGATGCTATCGATAAACATGCTGCCTGGCCTCAAGAACCCTTCCCAAAAAAAGACGTTGGACTCCCTAAAGCTGTCCGTGTTATCGGTAATCCCATGACTATTGCCCTGAACGAAATTGTCATGGGTATCTCCTCCCAAGACATCTTGTATGAACTGCGACATGAAGAAATCATTGGCGGGAAGCCACAGGATCCTACCTTGCTTGCTCGATTACCCAAGTATTTAATTGAGCAACGTCATTTCTTTCCCCTATTTCCACCGGTCCAGAGAACTCAATTACCGAAAACTGGGACGGAGGGTGGGATACCCGTGGGAGCGATGCTAGATACAAGTTTCTTAAAGTTGGGGGAGATGATCAATGTGAGGCCGGATATGTTGGTCGTTCCAAGTTCACTACCCCCCTTTGCCAAGGTATGTGATCTTTACGAATCCTTTGTTTAGATTAATAAGGGGCGTTCATTATGAGACAAAGTTACTAACATTGAGACATATAGGTTGTAGAAAGTGTGTTAGTTATCAACCCAGGATATTTATCGAAAAGAAGAGGAGCGGGGACATATGCGAAGTTGACAGTATACCCAGCATCGATGACGCAGCAAGAGAGAACGCAGGGAACTATGATCGGTCATAAGTTGTTTGAGCGGGCTCGGGTAGATATTATACGGATATGAGGTGAAACTTCTAGAGGACTAAGTCATTAGAGGTAGAAATACGTAGCTCAAATGTTTTGTCCCGAAGCTAATCAATATTCTAGAGTTCGCAAGGTATCGACTACCCATTATTCAGCAGGACAAACATGTATTTATAGCGATGCCTGTCTTGACGACTCTGAATAGATTGAGACCATTTAGGCTCTTACGTAGTATACAGTATTTGAGAAATAAGAAAGTCTAATACCCTGATTGAATCAAATCTAGAGTCTTCATCTGACATCAAGACCCCCTAAACCTCATTTACCCGAGCCGAAATCTGATGCCCCGCGTTTCGCTTACTAAGGTTGATCCGCACCACACTTTTTTTGCAGGGATAAAATAACGCTACTGTGATCTTTAGTTCTTCAGCCTTTCGAACAATATTAATATCGGTACATACATCTCGAACCATCGGACAAAAACAGTAAATTATTTCGATCCTCCAGGTTCAAATCTATTTTCAATTATACCGTCCTAGAATATACTCAGAATAAACCATTATTGAAGACCTCATTCCTCTGTAGCTTGACGATCTACGAATTCACAAGAAAGTGACTCATTTTCGAATTTATTGCGACAACCTTCAGACCCTCACCATCTCAAACTACGAAATATCGTCGCAATAGATTAAAACGCAGCAAAACTTAAGACTATAGCGACGGAGTTGTTTCGCGTTCGTCTCAGGCCTAGTCGTTGGTTCATAAGCTTTAGTGCTCCATTTTTTATATCAAGCACCGCAATGTCTGCAGAAGACTCACCTGCGGCCACAAGCCCCGCAAATGCTGTGAACTCGAAGGCTGGAAGTACCGAATCCACACCTTCTTCAGCACAAGGAAAATCCCCCAGTACGAAATCAGGCAATGTAAAGGAAAATGCGAAACACACGCCCGATGGAGGAAAGTTATCAGCTGCAGAACTGAAAAAGAAGGCAAAGGAAGAGAAGGCCGCACGCAGAGCTGCAGCAGTACAGAGCAAAGCAACGGCTGAAAATCCAACTCCTGCCGCGGCGGCACCAGGACAGAAAAGCGAGTCTGCGAAGGGAGGAAAAACTCAGCCTAAAAAAGGGTCAGAAGTACGAAATTTGCCAGTCAGAGGAGGGCCAACAAAATCCGCCCCAGCTGTAGAAGTCACGAAGGTCGAAGATAAGACCGTTGATCTCTTCAGACACTTATATAAACCACGGACAACTACGATTGCTGAGGCAAACAAAGATGTTCATCCCGCAGTGCTTGCTCTTGGGCTGCAAATGAGTAATTACACAATATGCGGCAGTTGCGCAAGACTTGTGGCAACACTGCAAGCATTTAAAAGAGTGAGTTTGTTTTTGGGAATTTACTTCATCTATGCATCTATTCTCTCCTCCCCTCTCCTTCTTCAAATGGCCGTGATCTCATTATAACTTTCTTCCATTTTTTCCAGGTTGTCGAATCTTACAAGACCCCAGTAGGGGCAAGTCTCACACGTCATTTCATACCACATGTGCTCTCTCCTCAAATTGAGTACTTGGCTTCTTGTCGACCTCTGTCGGTATCTATGGGCAATGCTATACGTCATCTTAAGCTGGAAATATCAAAAACGGACCCAGATCTGTCGGAAGCCGATGCGAAGGAGAGCGTCTGCGATGCCATTGATGTCTTTATGCGCGAGAGAATCACTTTTGCTGATAAAGTTATTGCCGACACTACTGCTGAGAAGATTAGAGACGGTGATGTCATATTAACTTACGGAAAGAGCAGTCTGGTGCAAAAAGCGTTAGTGAGAGCCCACGAAATGGGCAAGAAGTTTAGAGTCATTGTGGTTGACTCAAGACCTCTACATGAGGGAAAGCATTTAGCATCGGCGTTAGTCAGTCTAGGCATCGAAGTCAAGTACTGTTTGATTCATGGACTAAGTCACAACATCCAAGATGTAACAAAAGTTCTATTAGGCGCTCACGCAATGATGAATAATGGCCGATTATATTCAAGGATAGGAACAGCTTTGGTTGCCATGGAAGCTTCATCCGCTGACAAGCCAGTCATCGTTCTTTGCGAGACCATCAAATTCACTGATCGAGTAGCTTTGGACTCAATTGTTCTTAATGAGATTGCACCAGCCAATGAGCTCGTGATTGCTGGAGGACCATTAGAGAATTGGATGGATGTTAAGAAACTCCAACTTTGCAATCCTATGTATGATGTTACTCCGGCCGAGTATATTCAAATGGTTGTTACGGAGTCAGGAAGTATACCTACGACGTCTGTACCAGTCCTTCATAGATTAGTAAATGAAGCTCAATAGAGCGTTGCGATATCTAGAGAGCTCAAAGTGTAGCATGATTTCATTGAGCAGGTGTTGGATGGCGTTCAAAAAGAAATTTGATGATATCAAAAGGATCACATCTGATGTATGATAGTGTAATGGTTGGATGAAATAAAATGCAATGTCCAGACTTCCTTACTTCAAATCCATGTGAACGTCCACACCACATTGAGACATCTATGGTGATTATCTTCATGTTGAGGTATTTGAGTGATTTCTTTCTCATTGGCCAATTGCCCGTAAAACTTTGTACAATTTCCATAACTCTTCTTGGTACCTTGTCATCTCCTGGCCATTCAGAACCCACCCCCCGGTCATCAAATTCCCAGCGCTCTTCCAATAAATAATTTATGACTCCTCAACAGCTTCTTCCCTCTCCTTCCTCCTCGCCCTCTTCTCCAAAATGGCTGTTCGTCTAGCTCCGAGAATAGCCTGTTGCCGACTCTCAACTCCTTGCATCCAATATCCAAACGAAGCACCGACGCCGCCGAAAACGGGGTAGACCCAGAGAGATTGTCTGTTGAAGAAAGGTCGCATTTCGAGTCCGAGTTGCCAGGCACGGACAGCGAGGCCTAGTGAGAATACGTGTCAGTAAAATGAAAGGGGAAGAGTGAAATATGCGGGGAATTAGCTGGTAAGAGGAGGGGCAGATGGAAGAGGGGAACGTACCAAAGCCAGTCCAGAAGAGAACTTTGTGAACCATATTTTTGTTTATGATATGAGAATCGAGGTTTGGGTCGATAATTGTGGGTTTGACTTTGGCGTGAACTGCACAATCAGAATTGACGATTTGCAGGTGCGTATGATGGGTTGTGTAGTCGCTACTACGGCTTCTACTCCAGGATTCACTCGGATGGTTGTTGAAGGTCACTTTAGATCGCACTAGCGCGATTGGCTATTCGATACATCGCACGTGACTCGCGTCTATTGAATTGAATTCCATCCGCGGACAACTTACTTTCAGGTTCCTCGTTCCAATGTTATTTGTTCATCCTTTTCAACTATTCGCAAGGTTGTTAATAATTTACTCCTCCAATATGAAGTAAATTTCCGGAAACGCTTTGAATAATTCAATTCAGCACCCACAAGGAAAGAATGGCGACGATGGCATCTACGTACAAAAAAGATGGTGGTCATTCTGGACCTCCACCGCGAAAGAAAGTAAAGACTTCAGAGTTACCTCTTGCATCTGCGACTAGAGCGGCCATTGAAGGATTGGCTCATACATACAAGAAGAAGGGTACTTATGACGAGTTGAGAACCAAAATTTGGCAGGAATTGGAGAAAGGTGTATGTATTTCTAAATTATTTCAACGTGCATTTGCGCTGCGAGGTTTTTGGGAATAGGAATTGGCTCTTTGAGATAATTGTTCAGATACTGATTAAGAGTGGTCACTATAGGATTTTGAGGATGAATTTACGAGCTCATTATTGAGTGTTGCGGAAGAGCAATTAGAAAAGGACCCCAGACAGCTACTCCGGTTGGATCGCAGTAAGGCTACATTACTTATCGAGGGAGCTGTGGATCGCGCGGGCATCTACCAATCTGCGGAGGCGACAATCGATAAATTAATCCAGGCATACATTCCAGAAATTGAAGAAGGGGTTCGCACGATTCGCAAAAGTGATATTGGGGAAGAAGCAGCTGAGAAGGAGTTTTTGAGAGGAGGTAAAACAGATGAGCAGTATGCGGAAGAAGCTGCAAAGAAGAAAGCCGCCAGGGAGAAAATTAGGGAGGAACTGAGAGAGAAGGAAAAGGCCATTGCGGACGAGAAAAGAAAGCAAGAGAAATTAAAGAGGAGAGAAGAGGAGAAGAGAATTGAGGCCGATCAGGAGAGAAAGAGGGAAGCTAGGAAAAAGGCTGAATTGGAGGCGGAAGAAGAGAGGGAGAAGGAACGGGAGAAGGAAGATAAGGAGAGGAGGGAGAGGAGGGAGAGGGACCGCGCTAGGGATCGAGATCGAGATCGAGACCGTGATCGCGAGAGAGAACGGGATCGCGACCGGGACCGAGATAGAGGAGATAGAGATAGGGGCCGGGATAGAGATAGGGACGATCGAAGAAGAAGATATGATGACGATAGACGTAGAGATTCCCTCGGTGTTCGAACGCCTATCTCGAAGCCAGAACTGTCGAAGGAAGAAATTGAACGTCTCGAACAAGAGGCGCTTAATGATCTTCTGAAAGAGGGCAAAAAGGTTGCTAATCGATCTAGACATCTATTGGAAATGGAGGTTGACGAGACCTTGGCACCACCTCCCCGAAAGGCTATGCCCGCCTCAGCCATCAAACCAATATCTCGAGATACGCCTATTAAAACGATTGAGCATAAGAAAACTGCAGTTGCGAAGCTCAAGGAAGAATCCGGTTCGAAAACCCCTCAACTAGCCGATGCGAAACCGATAGTAGATAAGGCGAATGAGTCCAGCCATGACAAAGAAGGTAGTCAACAAGCCAAAAGTCCTGAATCAAGCAGGGATACTACTAAGGTTAAGGATGAGACAAAGACTAATGAGGAATCTAAAGCTACAGAAGTAAATCACGATGGCCGCAAAGACAAGGATGAACGCTCTCGCCGTGGAAGTCGAGATCGGGATGATAGTAGACGACGACGAGACAGCAGGGATAGGGATCGCGACCGGGATAGAAGGGATAGTAGAGATCGGGATCGAAGTGACTATCGACGACGTAGGTCAAGTAGAGATCGTGACGATAGGCGTGATAGAGATCGTATTCGATCAAGATCTCGCGACCGACGAAGAAGTTACAGATCACGAAGCCGTGAACGTATAGGGGACCGTGACACGAGACGTGCAGAGAGCAGTGTGACCAGGACAAGCGCCTCGAATCTCGATACGGAATCGTATAAAGTTGCTGCGGCACAAGCAAGAGCCGAGGAAGCTAGAAAGTGGAACGAAGAACGAAAGAATCAGCCACAATTACCTAGTCTATCAACTAAGAAGGAAGAGGTCATCGCTGCCACACCTAGAGCAAAGGATGATGCTAGAATGAGCAGTCCTGTCTCGGCAAGAAAAAGAGAAATTTCTCGCGACAGGGAAAGTCATAGGAGAGAATCTCGCGCAAGAAGTAGGTCACCTACTGCGAGACGAAGTAGTCGGATCGAGAGAAGCACTAGTCCGATCAATATTGACCGATATGTACCAGGTGCCACTGAACGAAGGGAGAGTATAGTTGCGAGAAGTTCCCCAAGGAAGAGGGAGAGAAGTAGGGATAGGGAAAAGGAGAGAAGATCAAGAGATGATGATAGGCCGAGGAGGCGGAGCCGATCACCTGATGATAGGAGAGATAGAGATAGAGATGGGCATTCCAGGAGGTATAGAAGTCGAAGTAGAGACAGGGATAGGAGAAGGGAGAGGAGTAGAAGTAGAGATAGGGAGAGAGACAAGGATAGGGATAGGAGGGATAGAGATCGAGATCGCGACAGAGTCAGAGACAAGGATCGTGATAGAAAGAGAGATAGAAGTCGAGAGTCGAGGAGGGAATCGAGGAGATAGGTGTATCTGCCCTTGTAGGATAGGAGCCGAAAGAAGGAAAAAGGAGATCATGGTTTAGGTATTTATAATAGCTTCCCGTACGCGATCACGGAATTTCGGTAACTTTGGGTCTAATTTTACTTCGCTCGGTCACGTCAATAAAGCGACGAATGAAAGGATGTTGTTACTTACGTCTGCAACCTGGAGTAACGGTGTTAGGAAGTGTTGGTTGTTTGTATGATAAGTTGCAGAACTGGGATAATGCTGAGGGATGTTGATTCATAAATGAGAACACCCCAAATAAAGCAAGCGAACAGTTCGAGGAATTCAAGACTTGATTAATAAACTCTTCATAGCATTGGTCTCTAGTGATGACATTTTCTATTGTCTCAAAAAGCAATAGATTAACCGAATTGATGCGAATTCAATTGACTTCAGACTACAGAAATGTCAACTACAAGGATGACTGACAGTGTTGGTGAAATAATGGGACCTTATAATCCAACGTCTTCTTCCAGAGAAGCTCGCTCGCCTGTGCCACGCCAAAAGACACTAAATTCTTCAAATTCAACTCTTCTGTCTTCAAGCCCTTGGCATGAATAAATTCCGCTTTAGAAACCAATTTCTTGCCCTCCGCAAAAGCAACAATAACCTCAGCCCAATCAGCAAGAATCTTTCTCGTCTGCGGTGCTTTGCTAAATACCCAGAAGAATGTATGGGGCATACCCTCATATTTCTGAAGCACGACTGGAACGCCCTGTGAAAAAGCAGTTTGAGCAACCAGTCGAGAGCCATCCACAATTTGTTCCTGTCCAGATGCAAACCATAGAGGACAAGATCCAGACCAATCAAAGGAGGCAACGGGACTTGCTAGCGGGTGAGCAAGCATCCCAGCCTCGCAGTATAAATTTGCTCGTGCAGGCTTGGCCAAATCGAACAGGTAGGAAAGCTTTTTTCTAGGTAGGGGAGTTTCTCGATGGGAATGGGAAATACATCATGCATTATGTTTCGTTTGTGTGAGGGAAGTGTATTGACTAGATCAGTTGTGACGCTCAACAGTGCGAGGCCCGCGGGTATAAATTCGGCTGGCTGAATTGTATTTCCATGGAACTTTATTACAGTATTTTTTCGTTTGAGTTGCAGAAGGACTTGCAATAAGCTTAATGCGAGAGCAGATCCGGAACTATCGCCTACTATCACAATGTTTTTAGCTGCGATGGCTTCGTGTGGTGAGTTCGGAGGTGGTGCTAGAAGTGAAAGGTAGGCTTGGAATGTATCGAGGAAAGCTGCTGGGAAGGGATTCTGTGGTGACAAACGCTGCTTCACCATTAAGATTTGCCTCCAGTTGCTTTGGCTAGGCTTCCAATACGTCTTCGGTAGCTGAAAGGGGTATTGAGTCTAAAGTTCACATGTGAGTAGATGATAAGTGATAATTCGAAAGAGGTATACATACACGAATGAACCGCCATAGAGATACAAAACCGTCAATGGGCTCTTGGTGCCCTCCACTAATTCTTGATACTTCTCATTTTCTGACAGTAGTGGTTCAGGCGTACCAGCTTCAACCCCCTCACGGTAACCTGTCCATTCACAGGAAAGTGGCTCGCAATTCGGACGATCATAATGTATATTATGTGTGTTTGTCTCATCGATGAGACCAAGAAGTAACTCTCGTGAGTTGTCATTGTGGGAAGGAGACGGTGTTGTGAATTTGCTAACCCATACGGGACCTTTGACGGGAAGGTTCTGTGTCGTTGCAGCTTGCTGGACAGAGATAGAAGTTTTGATTGCATCATTCCAATATTTCTCTCGCATTTGCTTCGTCGCAGCAGTCAGGTGTTTGGTATTTTCAAAACCCATGCTTATTAGGCCTGGTTGAAGTAGAATGTTGCAGACGAGAATATGTGCGGCTTGGGCTTCTCAAATCATCTTGTGTTAATACTGTGAAGAAGATTAGGAGGAGTCCAATCACATAGCGAAATAAATCGGAGTTTGATGTGTGAAGGAAAAGAGACGAGTTGATCGATCGAGAATGGCATAGGTACCTAGGTAATCAACGTACTAAGAGAGAGTGTGCCAGGATTGAGAGAAGCAGAAACTTCCAGGTAAATACTAACGAGGAAGTGGAGTGAGTTCACAGCTGTGGGGTAGATATGCTTAGCCACCAAAAAAAATGTCGACCGCCCTCATAGATCATCACTTCTCGCTCCCCCCTACATTTCCTCAACGCCGCCTCGATCTCCCTGGCCTAATTATGAGTCACTAGCGTGTTCCTACCGCCAACCGCCCCGAGAACGACTTCCTAATCTCCTTGAGGTCTTTCGGGAAGATCACCCTGACGAGAATGCAGCGAAACAAACACTGATAAGAGCTTTACGATCGCTGAGTCTTTTAGTCTCCAGCTGGACAAGATGCTGACGCACCCCAGCAGAAGACTATTATACGAACCGAGAGTTTCCCTGCTTCTGCCTTGCAGAATTCGGTAAGAAAGCTCACCACTCGTGGTATGGTGATGCTGACACGGCCCTTGAACATGAACGGCGCGAAGCCATAGAGTGTTCAAGCGACGGTGTACGAGATACAAATCAGCTGTCCTGAATAGGTAGAATATGTGTGTATGTCCTACAGTTTCTTCAGGTAGTCAATTTACAACTTGCTTCTCACGACGATGTGAAGTAGTTCGATCACTTATCAAAAGCAACAAGTATTGAACAGTAGCAACTATTCAGTTCCTTCGCTTAGCCAACCACCCAAGTACAAATTCCAAGTCAGCTCGAGAATGCTCACCATTCATTCATTCTAGTGGGTAGACCTTGAAATTGCCCATTCGTAGGTATTTATCGATCGTACATTCGTTGTCGACAAATTGCTAACCAAATGCATCAGGGATATTGATAGTGATTTTTTTACACACGCCAATCCTTGAAAAATTCAGCAAGATAGATGGATAGATGAGATATGCATATCCAAAACCAAGAAACTTACCTATTAGCCGATCCAATGACGTGCCAATAGAGGTGAATGAACTGCTTGGACCTGCTGACAGAGCGCAGTGATTGGTATCAAGAAAAGCAAACTAGAGGAGAACGCTCGATATTCGCACTAAACACCGTCATTACCAACAACCGTGAAGAAACATATTTCATTGACGAAAACATCACATTGTTTCGATTGATATTTGGATGATGAAAATATTACAATGTTTGCCGCTAATTGAAGGTACCATTGATCCAAAACCCTCATCTCACTCTTGTTTGCTTCGCTCGCCGCAATTGTAGCATTAAATCATAACCCTCTCACTCTCTCCTATCACATCTTACGGACAATACGATTCGATTTTCGAGACCCTTAGGTCTTACACTACTTTCGAATTTCATACATACATAAATACATATATCCATACATATACTCAATACCCAAATTCCCTCTCAAACATTCCCTCCCAAACATCTACACACCACACACCACCCTCCCCTAAACACAAACCATCAAAACACAAACCCAAAAAACCAATATACCCCAACTCAAATTTTCATTCCCACATCTCATCTCATCTCATCTCATCTCAGCTCCAATCTATCAAGTAAGGCACGATATACTATGTACTATATAGTATTTTATAAGTATGCATCACCATCTCATTCATTCTCCGCCATTTTCCATCCATCCCGCTTTGCTTCACTGCGCTAAATACCTATGGATACTATCTAACTATTGTATGGGTATCAATAAGGTAATAAAAAGAAGAAGAAGAAGAAGAAGAAGAAGAAGAAGAAGAAGAAGAAGAAGAAGAAGAAGAAAAGCAATCAACTAAACATCCACACTCCACACTCCACACATTAAAAGATTAAGAGAGATAACTACCATCCACCTCGCCAGCAGACATACAGATAGACAGACAGACAAATAGACAAATAGGCAAACATCCGCGACAAACTCAAGAACCAAGATTCCACAAAGAAGAAAGATAGAAATTCAAGCGCATGAAGATAAGGCTAATAAACGAACAAAATAACAGACCCATTCCATTTCATTTCATCTGATCCATCTTATATACTCCTCCCCATAAAACTCCCAATCATCCCGATCAAATATCATCCCATCCCATCCCATCCCAATCCATCTCATTCCATCCAAACAATCCCGCTCAAGCAATAACCATCCATCCATGAACTTTTTATTTATTGCTTCCCAACCAAGCCGGCCTAATACTATTAATGCCAATACCAGTACTAATTCCAACGCCAATAAATTAATATCTACCCGAGCAAGCCTAGCTCTTCCATGCGAATTCGTCACACATATCTGTACATATTTAATAGCACCCCATTATCATTTCGTTCCAATATATCTTCTGTAGCATGAGTTTCTGCATACACTCCCACCGAACTAGATTCTTACAACCAAGACCGCTATTAAAGATCTTGATTCGGTGATAAACGTTATCACTCTTGGGGAGATTTGACACCAGCTCCATTTCTACTTTCCTCACTTGTGCGGCCCAGCCCACCAAATTTCCTCTTTTTCACCGAGCTAGCCCCAGGAGTCTCAGCCTCCCCCTCAACATCCTGATCACCCTCCTTTTCCTTCGGAGTCCTTTCTCTCTCCCTCTCCAGCCACTTCTCCTTCAAAACGTTATAAATCATCACATACTGCGCAACTCTATGCACCATCAACATTCTCTGATCCCGCAGTATCTTTACTGTTTCATAGACCGGATCTTTATCTTTCGATAACCCATCCAGATGACCCATTTCTAGTTCCCTCAGAAGGTGATCGAGCGCTATGAACGTGCCAGTACGGCCAACACCTGCCGAACAGTGAATTATGCGAGGCGTGGCTGAATGATTATTGGCTGCGTGTGAGACGTCGAGGAGGGAGAGGAGGGCATGTATATCGGCGGGAGATTGAGGGATGTCATTATCGGGCCAAGATTCGAAGAGAAAATGGTGGACTGTACGTTCTTCGACTTCCGCTTCCGTCTCTGCTTCTTCCTCTTGTAATTCCTCCGTTGTGTCTTCCGATTCCTCTTCTATTCCAGGGTGATTCTCTGCTATTGCTTCAATCGTCCCGACCGTTCCATTCCCAATACTCGCACTGCTTTTCGTGCTCACACTACTTGCCGCTCTCTTTACCCTTTTCACTTTCAACGTCCTCCGAACAGTTCCCCCCTCTTCTTCTTTTCCCACACATCTGACCTCCCAGTCCCCGATCATCTTAACCTCGTCCACATCCTCCGCGTAATAAACACCACATTTTTCCTTTCCCTCTTCGATCGGTCTTGTCAGCATCACCACCACTTTTGCATTCTCCTGCCAACACATTTCCCAAAACAAACCCCCATCATGTCCATTATCCCTTGGTCCCTGCGTCGCAATATAATTTTCCTGCTCCTCTCCACTCCCATTTGCAGTGCGAAGTGCAATGGGCGATGCATTTATGTAGCCAAAGTGTAGCGAATGGAGATTAATTCGATGATGTTCCCATGGGTAGACATCGCTGTATCTATTGCGCGATACTACGACAGGGTGATGTATTAATGTATTTGGTATCGTTCTGAGCTTTTGTTCATGATTTCTCAGAGCTATGAATTTGCTCATCAATGCATTCGACGAGTAGTTGAGGAAATGCGGAATCGCATTTTTTTGTTTCTGCGATGCAAAATCCGTTTTGACTGAGAGACTTGTAATCATGGGGGACATGAAGGATTGTCGTTTGGAAGGAGATAGTTTCGCAGACGAGGTCGAGACGGACAGCGATGGTTTGTCTGAAGTACTTGGTCTTCTCTCAAATATAGAGTTTGGGGGTTTATTCGGTAATTCGGTAATTCGCGATTGTGGTTGCGATTGTGATCTCTCCAGTGAAGACGAGAGTTCATCACTGCTACCACTATTGCTGAGACTGCCACTACCACTACCCCCACCAGCCTCAGCACCATCGACGTCGTTATTATCAATCGTGTTCATATTGTCGTTTTGTCGATGGTGATTTCGATGGAGATGTACCGGTGAATGTTGACGAATGCAAATTCGAATTCGTTGAGATAGAGGGATTTTATCAGTTACCACTCTAGGTGTATGATTTGAATGTCGTAAGATACCCATAACAGAATACCCTTCAAGGAATTCTAGTTATCTGGTATGACGTATAATATATTTTTGGAAAAGAGGCGTGAGTTTAATTCTGATTTCGTTGGATGATATTGCTTCAAGATCCGAGCGAGTCTGAGAGCAGCTGCAATAAGGTTGAAAGGTCCAAAATTAGATATTATATGATCTTCATTAAATATAAGCAATGCAATGTCTGCCAGTGAGAAAGGAAATGGCAGTAACGATAGGAAGTATGTAGAAGGGACTAGCAGTATGATAGAATAGTACTATTGAAAATAATAACAAGAGAGAGAAGTAAAGTAGAGAGAGGAGAAGAGAAGTCAAAGTATATATTCGAGTGAAGTGTATGAGATTCCTCTGACTAACAAATCGACTAAATATGAGACCTTTGGAAATATCGAAATGGGAAGATTACCTAGGTAAAAAGTGCCCACCTAGGTATAATCGAGATTTTAATATAGAATTATAAAAGGAGTTATAAATCATATTTAATATTCAAAGTCATAGTAATAGTCAAGGTCATATCTTATAAACTTTCGACCTCACAGTCTTCGGTTGTTTAGAAGTGAGAGAAAGTACCGACCGATGCAGACATCGTAGATATTAGGTAGTGGAGATATTGACAAACATATGAGAAACGGGTCGTCGGTACATACAACTTAACACCGATTTTGCAGTTGAAAATCTGGGGTTAGGATCACTTCCTACCGTGGGAAATTGGTTCAGGCTCCATACGCCCGTATAGACGTATAGAATCCCAATAATGGAAGACGATGGGGCAAATTGGGTGGATGGGTGGATTGCTGGATGGTGCCGACCGGTGAGACTACTTTCATACCTTAACTCCGTTTCAGCTGGGAATGGGATCATTAGATTTGAGAACCAATTAGTTTGTTGCTTGTTGCTTGAAGCTTTTACTATCAACTATGTCGGGTAGTATCTGTCTATTCCAAGACTGTGTTTGTTCCACCGCGCTCGAATTGTGGCTCGTTTTATCGTTTCATCGTTTCATCGAAGGATTGATATTCTCATATTCGATTTCACTGACATGTAGTACTATATCTGTAGTTATACCAAACCCATCTTACTATATATCGCTACTTTCTAGATCGTTTCAGATCCTTCCATTACTTGTACCTTCCTAAAGCAATAGATAAGCTTTTTTTACTGCCTGTAATAAGCTATTGAAGATCCTTAGGATCTCACTAACCCTTCAAGGCCTTAACAAATAAATCTACCTAGAGATGTGTGTTCAAGCATTCCAAGCATCCTCAAAAAGCTAATCGTCACTTCAGGTCTCAACGTTAGAGACCATAAACGCTACCAACCATTTCAACAATCCAAGTTCAATCTTCATACCTATTCCACACTTGCTATTCATACCCAGACACATACACATCCCAAAAAGCTTCCTACTCCTTACAAAACCCTCCTCTTCCTCTTCCTCATTCTCCAAATTTCCTATCCACCATCCCCTGTCCAAAAGCCTCCGGAGTCCCCAGGGAGTTGAAAAATTTCATCTCTAGCGCCCATATCGCGCATTCAGCCCCATCCTCGGAAATCAATTTTTCGAATCCGTGATATACTCTCTATCCTATTCTGATCAATCCCTCCTTACTTACCAGGTACTCAGCTCACATAAATAGAGTTTCCCAATCTCCAAAAAACGTCCGAGCGATATCCGTTTTGCTTCCAAGATTGCTCGGTAGCTAAGCGATGCCTAACGATTTTGTACTTTGCTCCGAGATGATAATACAGTGCCGGGAATTACTGTGATTGCCATCAAATTGAAAGCATGGAGGTTTGTTATCGGGAGTAATCGAAGTACCGATACAATCGACATTCAGCCAAAAGATAGTCTAAAAATGAGATCATCCGAGACCTTCAGGATACGTGCGTCGTAATCTCAATCAACATTTCATCATTGTTAAGATATCGAAAATGCTAAGAGTGCTGGCAGGAGATCCATGATTACCTTCGTAACCGTTCAAGCGCAATCAAGATACTATGTAAGTGGATTCAATGATATAAATGTATTTTTATTCTAACTTCGGAGATAACCTATGCTTGTGCTGTACTAGAATACGCCGAGGTAAAATGAACCTCATGTGTAGTCCGGCATCAACTGGTATTGAACCAAGCTTCCACCCCATGCCATCGAACCCATCGAGCCCACCGAATCCAATTCAAACGCCACGCTATGCATACAAAGTAACAAATACAGTATCCTGCCTCCTAAAGTTCCCATTGTTACCCAGCTTATACCATAAGCAACCCCCCCATATTATTCTCTCTCGTCCCTTCACTGCTATCCCTCCCACTTTTGCTTTTGCTTGTACGCATGTAGGGTTGAGGTATCAGAATAGCCTTAGTCGGAGTATATCTCGCTTCCATTTTTTGCTTAGTATCTTCGTCCCCATCTGAGCCTTCCGAGGCCGTGATTTCTTTGTTATCATGATTTTCGTCATTCGTAAACTGCGTGTCTACATCTGATAAATTAGAAGACGACGAAGATCTTGATATAAGGTACTCTGTATCATCGGTCTCAGTGAGAGGTGTAATAATTGTTGAGTTTGAGATCGCGTCATGAGGCATGAGAGGAGTGGTTTCATCTCGAGAGCCGCATGCCGATTGTTCTATACCAGTACCTTGCATCGATGTATCAATGACGGGAGCTAGGGCTGATAGATGAACAGCAGGTTCTATTTGATCATAAAAGAGCATAAATACCCCTCCTTGCGCCAAGACATTATCTTCACTGACTTTCATGACATGATCATCACTTAAACGCCACCATTGATCTTGTTTGCTACCATTCTCATCAGTTTTGTTTTCCGAAACTGGATGTCGTCGGTAGCAAATATAGTGACCATTATCATGCCTTCCAGAATGGGTAACAACTGCCCGTAACTCGTACACCGGTCCCTGTATACGAGACTTCTTTTGTATTCCTGCAACCATAGAGTCATATGGGGCTAAGAGCCATTCTTCGCAATCATCTTCATTATCATTGTGTCCGGCACTGCCGAGACAGTACGGGCCAAGATCGAGATGTTTGGGAAAGCGAATAGCAGCTGTCTTCTTACTCAACTCTCCGTCAGGCCCATAAGTGCTTCGATTAAGATGAAGGGCTAGAGACTTTGGAGGCCGAGCAATTATATCTTGTTTTGATTTGGTAACTGATACCCAGTTTTCTATAGGTATTTTGCACTTTTCTTTAAGTGTCTTTTCCGCAAAATCATCGTTTTCTAGTGCTTCTGTGACGGCCCGTAGTCGTTCCGATGTATTTATGCGAATTCGATTATCTTCCGGTTCGGCCGCAAGTCGCTCCATCAAAGTGGAAAGTAAATGCTGGCTTTTCTGTAATGTACATCTCTCACAGTATACACCATTGACAAATTCTAGCTTTGTACCTTCGTGAAGCAATCGAGAGAGGTTATATTCCCAGCCTTCTCCAACAATCAAAGGCTGACAAAGAGAGGGCGTTGTTTTCAAGCCTTCGGAGTAACCACATTTGGTGCACACGACCCTAGTAGCGGTAAGTCCGGTCAAAGGATTTGGGAATAAAGCTTGAGTGTGTGATGGTTGTTGACTCGAAATTTTCAGAATATTGAGCTGCTCCAATCCCGATACCCCGCCCAACTTTGTTGTTGTTCCATACTCTTTGTCTATTGCGCCAAGAAGACGAGAAAAGTATTCTTGCGCATCTTGCTGTTGCCAACTACTCATATTTTTCAATGCTGCCGGTGTCCAAATCCTCCTACCATTATTCGATTTGTCCTTAAGAGTAGCGATCAACTCCTTCAAAGCATTGGCCATTTTGATGTCTTCGGATTTCGATCCCTCTTGTTGTAGAGATTCATCATTTTGGAAACTTTCAAGGAAATCTGGCAGTGAGTCTAATGATGCTAGTCCTTGTAAAATACTATTTTGATAGCAGGAATTGTCCCAATTTCCTAATCCTGCAGGTGTTTCATCGTCTCCCGCAACACCCAGGCCACCGATGAGAGGAAGAGTCGATAGTCTTCTCCTCCCAGCACTTGCGACGGAATCTATAATGCCACCAGGAGTGTCCAAGCCAAATAGACGGCGCATCATCTCACTTTTTTGCGCATGTGTTCGCGGGTATGCCATTGTGTTGGGATTTCGTATTGGCAAAGGATTTGAGTAATGGTCGACGAAATCAAGTAATGCAGAAGGCGTTAGGTAGACTAGAGCGTTCCAAGCTAATTGTGAGGGAGGCAGGAGGTCATAATCGAGATTGATGAGCCCTTGATAGACTAATGCGATGACAATAGCTGATACCGACAAGATAGTTCCGATCCCAATGCGTTCTTTCTGATATAATCCTTCAGTATAGTCTTGATGATAACCATCTGCTGTGAACTGATCTCTATCAAAGAGATCATACGTTTGCCCGTTTTGAGGATCCATGCTGGGGTGGGTGGATAAAGGTGGATGGAAGGTGTGGAATGATTGAGTTTCTGTTGAAAGATTGTAGACGAAGAATGCGATGGCGAAGGCAAAGGCAAAGGCGAAAGCGACAAAGTTCGAATATCACATTAAGGCGGACGTGAATGATTAAGTAGCATTCCTGGATCGATATTTAATTCTGGAGGCAGAAGTCAGAAGCAGGCGTCACGGTGTTGTATTTAGAGAAGTAAAAGGTAAAAAGTTTGTAAAGATTTTGAGAATTATGTTATTATGTTATTATGGCGTAGGAACTCCATGTGGTTGGCGGTATGCATACCTAGCAGCCTACCTAGTAGTAGTAGGTATGTATGGTAAAGATCTTGACGTACTGTACTAGGTAGTAATAATAATAATAGTAATCATACGAGTAGTAAGTTCACCAGTGGTTCTTCAAATGTGTGCTAAGCAAACATGTGAGTACACCTCGTGTTCCTTTGCGGACCAGGTTTATTAGTATTATGTCTGTTAAGTCTTTAGTGGATAGGAAGCGTCGGGATCCCTAGTAGATACTGAGTAATTACCCCACAACGAAATAAAATAATTAATATCTGCAGATTCAAAGGGTCAAAGAAAAAGAAGAAGCAAAAAGAGAGAGAAACAAGAAACATAGAATCAAATCAAAACAAAAGAAAAAGTCCTCCAAGAAGTATCTTTATTGTTTTTCTATCACCATGGGTAAAACTGCGCCCCTCAAGAATAAGGCTTGTAAGTGAAACATGGAATCTTCTCTTCTGCTTCAAAACTTAAGTATTGATAAATCTATCAGCGACCTCAGTACGTTCTCGCGCCGCAAAACGTGCGTCATCTCCAAGTATCGACACCGATAAGTCTCTCAAAAATGTCAAGGCTCCAGCAGAAACAGTATACAACCCACAAATCCTATCTCCACATCAAGGTGCCGGTGTGTCGAAGAAGAAGAGTGGAAGACAATTGAGTTCAAAGGCAAAGAAGCGACAAAACAAGGGAATGGATCGAGCAGAAGCGGTAATGGATAGAACGTCCACGAAAATCGAGAAGAGCAAATATAGAGGAAGAAATGTTCAAGAAAGAGCAAAGACGTGGGAAGCTTTAAACAAAAAGGCACAGGAAGCTGTTCAAGCAGCAATGGACAAGGAGAATGAGGAGAACGAGATCTCTGAGGAAGAGGGGGATGTCGACGTCGAGGATGATCAATCGCAAGGAGAAATTGAAATGGATGGTACTTCAGTTGCTCCAGTTGCTCCTGCTGCACTCCAATCAGCTCCGTTACCTACACCAGCGGAGGACGAAGAAGAGATCCTATGAGTTTAAGAGGGGAAACTTATATTTGCATGGCGAACTGGCGTACCAAGGAAGGGAAAAGGATTTTTCACGCTCAAAATTATGACTTTGATACCAATAAATCATGAAGGGTTGATTTGATAGAAATATGGGACGATCGGACTGCAACCAAGTACTGAGATGAGAAGTTCTGTAGGATGGCAAACCATATAGCTGCAGAGCTCTGAATGGTGGAAGAGAAGCAATTCACAGATACAGGTTTGTGGTCTGTGGAACTTTATAGTATGAGAATACAATCTATGCGCTCAAGATTTGACTGCAATGTCAAATGTAAACCGCAGATTTCCTCGAGAAGAATATCACCCCATTATATTTGGCCTCAAAAATTACATAACGTAAGCTATAAACCATAAGTTATATGAATTAACATTATATTTCGAAAAGGTAATAAATCACATTTCAATGCCGACTGATCAATGTTGATATGAAATTTTACGATAAATAAGATTTTGATAAGTCATTGCACTCTTACCCACCGTTATCTTAGCGCATGCTTCTGGTCCCATGAATTCTTTTGCAGGGGTAAGTGCAGCAAGGCAGTCTAAGAATTGCTCTATTTCAGCCTCGTGAGACTTCTCAAGCTCCATCTACACGTTACAACACAATTCAATCTATCAACCCGATTTTCTTAGTATCATTCATATATTCAATCTTAATCATGTCTGGGAAACGTATGACCGCGAATCCAATTAAACCATCACGATACCGACCGGGCAAAGCACATCTTGAAGAAGATGATTCCTCTGATTCTGGAAGTGATGCAGAAGAGACACCTACCATTGCGCCGCCCCCAAAAGCTTCAACCGCAATTGGAATCTCTAGTAGTTCACTGAAAGGTGACATAAACGAGAGGAGGAAAGTCGCAGCAGCCAAAGAAAATGCGCGAATTCAAGAAGAAAAGGCCTTGAAGGCTGCAGAAGAAGAGGGATTTGTAACGGAAGAGGAAAGTGAAGAAGAGGAGGAAGGTAGCGAGGAGGGGAGTGAAGAGGATAGCGAAGAGGAAGAGAGTAGTGAAGAAGAGGCTCCTAGAAAGGTTATGATGAGGCCGATATTCATCAAGAAGGAGAAGCGGAACAATTTACCTGGGGCTTCTAACACCGATACTAAAACGGAAGAAGAATTGGCTGCGGCTGAGGAAGAACGAAGGAAAAAGATGGCAGATGAAATTGTTGAGGAGCAAATCAGAAAAGATATCGCTGCGAGGGAAGCGGGGAAGAAGAACTGGGATGATGAGGAAGAGGTAAATGAGGTCGACGACACCGACGATATTGATCCAGAGGCGGAGCTTGCAGCATGGAAATTGAGAGAGCTCAAAAGAATCAAGAGAGATAGGGAGGCAATTGAAGAGCGAGAAAAGGAATTGGAAGAAGTCGAGAGGAGGAGGAATTTGACAGAGGAAGAAAGGAAGAAGGAAGATGACGAATATATTGCGAAGCAGAAGGAGGAGAGGGAAGGAAGAGGGAAAATGGCAACAATGCAGAAGTACTATCATAAGGGTGCCTTCTATTCAGATGCATTAGCTGCGGAAGGTCTAGACAAAAGAGACATCATGGGTTCTAGATATGCGGACGATGTACAAAATCGAGAGCTGCTTCCAAAAGCATTACAAATGAGGGATATGACGAAATTAGGAAAGAAAGGAGCGACGAAGTACAGAGACTTGAAGTCGGAAGACACGGGCAGATGGGGGAACTTTGATGACAGAGGTCCGAAGAGAGGTGGAGGGGGGATGGGTGGATCTACGGAGGATGAAAGATTCATGCCAGATAGAGATAGAGGAGGTGCTAGCGGTGCTAATAATGTACCCGTGGGTGATGAAAATCGTCGAAAGCGTCAAAGATATGATTAGGTAGTTAACAATTTCGAAGAGTTCCTTCGTGTTAATATCTATAGATGGCGTTGGCATTGGCATTTGACTTGGACATCGAAAGAATCGGACATTCTCAAATTACGCATCCAGTTCGCATAGCCTTGTCAACAATTCTTTCTCATAGGCAAATTCGAGATCGATTTTTATATTCAAGACTTGAAATGGTATTCATATACCCAGTAGTTGTGTTCTTCTGCGCAGCCTAGGAATAAATCTTCACAATATCGTAGCTTTCTAGAATTATCTCATACATACCGCATAATTTATTATTGAACCTCGTCCTCTCAATTCAAAGTAATAGGTAAGCAACGTCGACGATGGATAGAACTCTTCAGATGAAAATCATGAATTCTGTTCGTTGTTTTAGATCTAGCAACATTCTGGTGTGATTGCTGCTATGCTTTTCGATGTGAGAAAAATACAGGGTTGGTATGGTGGTAGAGTATTTCCTTCATCAACTCGCTTGAACCTATCTATCGATTACCAGCACCTCGAACCTTGTCGCTCAACATCATCGGGAAGTGAGATAATGGATGATGAGTATATAGATGGATGTGTTCACTACTTTGTACTATGCAGATGGGAGGGGAGGCACGAGGTAAGATTACATTGGATCTAAGAAAACAGGCTAAATGGAATTGATAGACAGATAGACCATTAGCGAGGGGAAACGAAACGAAACGAAACGAAACGAAATGAAATGAAACTTTTTAGGACGGGAATTGGATTATTGTTTGTGGAGTAATCGAGAGGGAAGAATGTTTCAGGATCTGGAGATCATGTGAAGAGATGAGATGAACTAGAGTTTTGTTTGATATTATTGATCTTTGTTGTGAATGAAGATGTGGAGAATGTATGGTAGAATTTTAATTGTTGATGTGGGAGAAGGACTAGGTAGTTAGTTTTGGTGTGACATTTTCTCAGATGCATAAATAAAGTAGAGAGAAGTCATAAATGCTAGCTCGAGTAGGTACTTAGGTGCTGCGGCTGTGTCTGCATTTCAGTTTGAACTCGTTCCATTGCAACACATCTACAATGATTGTGAAATGCAAGGTAGAGGAGCTTACTCTTATTACTTCACAAGCATTCGGATACGTAATATGTATTGTCTTTGGATGTCGCCATTACATATCGAGATTTGAAGGGTTTTATTGGTGGGAATGTATTGTGTCATCAAATATATTTCAGGTACTTACTAGGTAGGTAGTGATGAGATGCCAAGTAGACTTCTCCGGGCATATCTCCCAAGATGTATCTTCACAAAGTTTTCATCCATTTCATCTATTATCATTTTTCTACTTCTCATCTATTGACCAACTTTCACTCCAATTTTACGATCCTCACCCCGCAAAGACGCGAAACTTTAAGAGACACTTTCCCCACAATCTCCACCCCCTGGGGTCCCGAAGTTGGTGCGGTAACTAAATATGCATATAGCCCATGCAAGACTGAAAGTGGAAAAAGAAGAACCTGCAAGGACTGACTTGCATCGCTCGCGAAAACGTTGATGCGCATCAATAGGAAGTCTCCTTTCATGTCTATCAATGCCGTAAGCTTGCAAAATGCGGAGAGATATTGTCGGCATTCTATCGCTTAGGAAATAGCTTCTTGTTGGCATATTTTCTGCAATTGCCACGATTGACATCCGATTGCATGTATTCGGGTCAATATCTCCCTACAGCTACTGGTGGGTCGATGTCCTATGTTATTCCGAGATGCATGCAACAGAATCATACGTGAAGTCTTGGGAAATCGTAATTCCGAGGTATATATATAGCACTGGGAACTTCAAGTTACATGACGTTTTCCCATCATTGCTATGAGGTTGCATTCATTTTCAATCTCAAGCTTCCAAAATGTTTTATTCTAGTCTTTCTGTTTTACCGGTGCTTGCTGGCATTGCCAGTGCCATCAATATCACTGCGTCTGCAAGTGGTGGAAATGCCTCTTCTCCATTAGCATATGGTCTCATGTTCGAGGACATCAACCATTCTGGTGATGGTGGAATATATGCCGAACTGATTCAAAACCGAGCATTCCAAGGAAACCGAGAATATGCATCGACTTTGGAGCCATGGACAGCAATTGGAAGTTCGGTCTTGACCTTACAGAATACATCGAAACCATTATCCTCAGCATTGCCTACATCAGTCAATGTTCGTGCATCATCCAATGGCACATATGCCAATAGCACGGGCACAATTGGACTCTCCAATCCCGGATGGTGGGGATTCAGCGTCCAACCTCAGAAATATACCGGAAGCTTCTGGGTTCTGGGTGCATACACTGGAAATTTCACGGCAAGCTTGGTCGGTGCGACTTCTGGAACCGTTTTTGCGAGTGTCGATATACCATCCAACTCTACCTCTGAGGAATGGACCGAATTCCCATTCACTCTCGAACCTACCGCTGCAGCTCCAGATGTCAACAATAAGTTCACCATCGAATTTGAAAGTGGTCATTCTCTCAACTTCAATCTTATCAGTTTTTTCCCACCAACTTATAATGATAGACCAAATGGTCTTCGACCAGAGCTTGTGCAAGCCATGAAAGATTTAAACCCAAGCTTCTTTAGAATTCCAGGAGGAAACAATATGTACGTTTTCTGTGTTGTCTCATTTCTTGTAGGTAATGGGCATTACTAATCGTGAATGAAAATAGTGAGGGAGACTCTTACGGTTACAGATGGGTGTGGAATGAGACCATCGGTCCTCTCAAGGATCGTCCAGGAAGACCAGGTATGTATTGAGCAATCCGAATCCAGTCTACTCATGAATATATTGACTAATACTTTAACAGGAACATGGGGTTACCAAAAGTGAGCATAATAGCTTCCATTACATGCATGTCCTGACCTATACATCACTTGATATTAATTTGTGACAATCTAGCACTGATGGACTTGGTTTGATTGAGTACATGAACGTAAGCTTTTATTCCCACTCCGAACCAACAAGCACTCAATCTAATCTCTTAAAGTGGTGCACCGATCTCAATGTCGAGCCAGTCCTAGGAGTCTGGGCCGGTCTTTACCTCCGTGACGACGATTCACAAGTATTGGTTGTACCCGAAGCCGAACTCCAACCATATGTTGATGATGTGATGAACGAACTTGAGTTTCTCCTGGGTGATGCCAGCACAACATACGGAGCTCTTCGTGCTTCCCTCGGTTACCCTGAACCATGGAAAATCAACTATGTAGAAGTGGGCAATGAAGATAATCTCAGCGGAGGAGAACCCTCATATATCGCCTACCGCTGGCCCATGTTTTACAACGCCATCCATGCTAAGTATCCAGATATCCTCGTCATCTCTTCTGCTCAAGATCTTCTCTCTGTTGGTCCTCCTCATGAATCCGCAACGGATTTCCATCAATATCTCAGACCAGATGATTTCGCAGTCCAATTCGACCTATTCGATAACGCAAATCGATCTTATCCCATCTTATTGGGCGAATATGCCGTCATCCAACCAAACGCGAATGGTGCGCCTGTGGACTGGAGTGCCGCCAAAATGGACTACGGAACGTGGGTTGGTGCAGTCGGTGAAGCCATCTACCTTCTCGGCATGGAACGAAATGGAGATATCGTCATTGGAGCCTCCTACGCTCCTGGATTCCAAAACATCAATTCTTTCCAGTGGACCGTAAGTCATCCCCGATTCCAAACTACCGGCCAATCACGGAGATTGAAAACCCCAAACTAACCATCCTCCCCCCAAAAGCCCGATCTCATAACCTTCAGCGCCGATCCCGCCGAAACGGTGCTTAGCTGTTCCTGGCACCAACTGCAGCTGCTCTCGACCAACCGCTTCAACGCCACCGTGCCCTTCCGCGTCTCCAACTCCGCGAATGCAACCTCGCCTTTCGGTCCCGCTTTCTACGTCATTGGCGTCAACGATCCCGGGGAATACGTCTTCAAAGCGGCCATCTACAATACCACCGCTCCGGTGCCGTTCTCGATTGCTTTTGAGGGTGTGGATGCCGGTGCCGTGGGCACCCTGACCGTGTTGAATGCGCCCGAGGGTAATGCGATGAATGTTTATGGGGGTGAGGATGTGGTGGTGAAGACGGCGAAGAATGTTACGGCGGGGACGGGGGGAAAGTTTGAGTTTGAGCTGAAGGAGTATGATATTGCTGTTTTTACTACGTAGATTGTAGATTGTATATAGAGAGAGAGAGAAGGAAAATTGAAATGGGCAATGAAAATGAAAATGAAAATGAAAATGAAAATGAAAATGAAAATGAAAATGAAAGTGAAAGTATTGATTGGATATGTAACAGAAATGATAGGTTTTTATATGTTATTTGTGATTATGTGATTGTATAGCCATTTTTGGGCAGAGATTCGTGGAATTAACTTATCAAAACCGTGATGTGTGTGTGACATGTCTGGAGAATGTAAATAGATGGAATTGACATGTTGAAAGCGCGAGGAGAAACAATTCAGATTTCTAACGGGGAAGGAAGCCTAAACATTCTTTAAATTGCAAATCAAACGATGATAAACGGAATTTTGATCTTGGAAATGGAACGATACTATACTATACTATACTTTACTATACGATATATACAGCATGACAGGATCATGACCCGACACAAGGCAAACAACTCAGCTGGACTGGAAATCCTTGGATATCTGAACAACCCCGGCTTCTTGACTTGGGGATGCTCGCTCCGAATCGCCGATTTGTGGTATTATATTTTCACTCTATGCTAGGAATTTGATAGCGATAAATCAACCGCTCATCTTTCAACATACATATGCATCTAGAGAATCGAGGAAATGCGCAGATTGATAGGGTTCTGGAGTATGTGATTACTCACTGCAACTATTCTCGTTTTGTAGCATACCTCGTTGTTGGTAGTGGTTTGTGGATGGGATGGTTCGTTGTTTAGATCACCAGGATCGGGATTTGTAATTGGCTGTGTTTTTGTGAAAAAGGTTGAGAGGATAGGAATTTTTGTATTCGTGATTGTGTAGGTTCGGTTTGATTGAGGACACTAGTCTCGATTGTTTGGATGATATATGCTGGAGTGTTTATTTTATTAGGTGAGTGGAAATCCACCTATAGAGATGAGAGTTGTCTTGAAGAGAGATAGACAGATTGATATTGGTAGTAGGATAAAGTGATGCTTGCTAACTTCTACTCTTTTCAATGATTTTCGATGCCATTTCGATCCCGTGAGACCTAGCCTATTGTGGGGATATATGTCTGGGCGATATGATAATGAATAGAGTAGTTTTCGAAGGTAGAGGTCGATTGATGAATGATGTTGTTTTTGGGATGGTGTGGATGGAGATTGGGGGGGGGGGGGGGGTGATTTGAGGGTTTGAAGTTTGAAGTTTGAAGTTTGCTGGCTTGAGTGTATATATGGTTGATATGAGGTTTGGGGAGTTGGCAGTGAGCAGTGAGCAGTGAGCGATATATTGATAACAGTGTTGCAGATGAAACAGTAATGTCCGCGTATCTTCAAACTGAATGGCTGCATGTAGATTTGCCAATTCTGAGCATGAAGTTCACCTAAAGAGACAAGTAGGTATGATTGTATAGAATCATGGAGAAGTTGTGCTCCTGTACCTGTCTGTCGTCTCTGCGATGATCACGATGAATATGAAGATTAACAAGGTGTATGCTGTTTCTTCTCACATTCTTGCTTATATCTTACTTACTGTTGCTAAAAGATGATGATTGAGATGTTGAAGATATTCACACGACATTCATTCCTTCATTCATTCAATCGACACATCCGATGATGTAATACGGTAGTAACGATAAAAACTCAAGATTAAGGGTATGTCAAACGATACTTCCTATTGGTTCAATCACGATCTTATCGCAGAATCTGCAAATCGCCCGGAAAATCCAATTATACTACCTCAGACAAAACCCTTTTCTTTCATTCACCCAATCAAATCATTCTTAAATTTTCTTATTCCGTGATTTTCAATTGAGACATTGACCAAGTGATATCAAGAACAACAATATTTACTCTCGAATACTCGAATACTCGAATTCTCGTCATTCATATTTATCTATCGTTTTTATCATCAATATCATCAATATCATCACTATCATCGATGCCCTCAAATTACATTCATCCCAAAAATATCAAGATATAATTAATAGACATCATGATGTCGTTATTATCCTTATCACACGCTTTATCCGTCCAAGAAGCGTTATCGGGCATCTTTGGAAGCATCAGTTTAGCAACTTGGATCTTTTTGTTGGTTCGTCACACCTCTGTATCCAGTTTGGAATCCTTCATGCCCAACCAAAGGATGGACGTTCTATGGTATTGGGTCATGAATACTCATATTGATGTGATTCGATCGTTCTAGGTACCACAACTTATTTTGAACTATCGGTCTCAGAGTGCCGATGGAGTCTCATTGGCTTTCTTGTCGGTTTGGTTTATTGGCGATGTTGCGAATCTTGCCGGTAAGTCAAAAGTTGGATTTCGAGGAGGGTCGCATCATCTGATCAATCATGTCGTGGCCGTGAAAACCATGATCGTGATGTTGGTGACTCTTCTTCCAACCTACCAACTTGTCTATCCAAGATCTCATTCGGAAACTGTCACGTGCGTACATTAACTCGTCTTCAGGTGCAATTTGGGCAGATCTTGTCCCTACAGTCACTGTTCTAGCTATCTACTTCTGCATTGCGGACTTTGTACTTATTTCACAATGTTTATATTACAACAAAATCAATGCTCAAAAACGCCAAGAAACGGAATCCATTGCCCCAACTGAGGAAGATCCTCTTCTTGCCCGTCGACGAAGTAACAGTAACATTGGACTTCCAGGATCTCATAGAAGACGCTCCTCAGCGATGAGTGGAAGTCAATGTCATGAAGATACCTTGACCAAGATTTTGGAAGAGGATGATTCACCAGATGCAAATGCTTGGGTGAAGAATATTGTTAGCATTTTATTGGTTATTGCTGCTGGAACAGCTGGATGGGCTATTGCTTGGAGAAGTGGTGTCTGGACGCCTACACCAGAGAACGGAGGTGATGTTCCTAAGACGAACGAAGTTGCTGTTGGCGCAGAGGTACTGGGATACTTTAGTGCAATTTGCTACCTTGGGTAAGTTATTTCATGGGAAAAGAAAGTCAAAGGACGCGCGCTAATCAGATTATCCATCAAGCGCTCGAATTCCTCAAATCTTGAAGAACTACAAGGAAAAGTCTTGTGACGGTATGCGATTTTATCTGGCCCTCCCACAATACCTTAAGCTAATAAACCACAGGTCTCGCACTCCTTTTCTTCCTTCTCTCATTGATGGGAAACCTGACATATGGTGCTGGTATCCTCTTCCATTCATTGGAGAAAGAATATCTCATCATCAATACCCCATGGCTCATCGGATCTTTGGGAACGATTGTTGAAGATGCAGTGATCTTCCTTCAATTCAGGATGTACGCACCAAAGCCAACTTCAACCACTGCTGTTGAATAGGCGAAATATATGATGAACGAGTACAAATTGCATTGGGGGGATCTCATATTTAGTATCGAACTTGTACAATAGACCGCTACTGAGAGCAGAGGAAGGGCGTTTTTGAATTGTGATCTTTTCGACATGCATGGAAGAGGAATTGGAAGGGTAGATTGAACTACGGATGACGAACATTGGATATACTAATGATAATTAAAGTTTGAAAATGTTTGATATCTTTTTTTACCAAGATCGGCCCCTTTCATTATCATTTCATTTTACATCTAATGTTTCTCATCTCGTGTTTCTTCAATGCCAAGCGCTCTTATAGCAGTAATAATAATAATAACACCGCCAAGCCATCCAATCTCTTCAATCAATCCTTTCCGGCAAAGCGTAAAATCCCCCTTGATACTGTACGACCTCAAATCTCAATTAACTTTCTCATACAATTTATCAACCGACCTCACTCACCTCACCATCTATTTTGCCATCGCAATTGCCACTCTTTAAGTGTTTGAATAGTCCATGAATTATCTGTCGATTTAATTAGCAAGTCACTCTTTTATTTACTTTCCCATTGCATATACACGTAAACAAACAGCCAACGCGCACTCTCTCCATCTCCACACCCCACAGCCATTTTAACCTTAACCCACAACCTTAAACTACGATGCGCTCCCTCGCAACTCTCCTTCCCCTTGCTGGAATTCTTTCCACTGCTACTGCAGCAGGTTCATTGGGATTTGCTCTTGGTGACAAGAAGACCGATGGTACATGTAAATTCACCGCCGACTACGAGGCGGATTTCGATACGATTTCTAAAGGGAGCACGGCTCGCATCGTGAGAGGTTATGCCGCAAGCGATTGCGATACCGCGAAGCAGATCTTGCCGGCGGCGAAGTCGAAGGGCTTCAAGGTTGTTTTGGGTATTTGGTATGTTGATTTGATTTGATTTGATTTGATTTGATTTGATTTGATTTGATTTGATTTGATTTGATTTGAGGAGAAGTGGAGGTTTGGGTGTAGGATGGATAGCTAACATTGTGCAAAAGGCCAGATACCGATGAATCCTTCGCTGCGGATAAAGCAGCAGTAGTCAAGTATGCGCCTCAATATAGCGATCAGGTGTATGCTATTACTGTCGGTTCGGAATCTCTCTACCGGGGAAACTTCACGGGTGAACAACTTCTCGAGAAGATTCAGGATGTGAAGAAGGCGTTGAATGGAGACTTTAAGGTTGGAACGGCTGATAGTTGGAATAAATATATGGATGGGACAGCCGATGCTGTTATTAAGGGTGGTGCGGATATCTTGTTGTGCAATGCTTTCAGTTATTGGCAGGGGCAGGAACTGAAGAATGCTACGCATAGTTTCTTTGATGATATCATGCAGGCTTTTGGTCACATTCAGGATGTTGCTGGATCTGCTACTGATGGACCTGAACTTTGGGTTGGAGAGACTGGTACGATATATATTTTCTTTGCATCTACTTTCGAGTTCACAACATCCGAAGATATTCTGGGCATGATGTTTCAACGTCATGGTCTATATCCACGCTCATATCTTACCTATATGCTAACGTGCTTTCTCAAAGGTTGGCCAACAGCAGGCTCAAAATACCAAAACGCCGTCCCGGGCACATCGTCTGCACAAACTTTCTGGAGTGAAGCCATCTGTGGCATCATGGATTGGGGTGTAAATGTTTTCTCCTTCGAGGCATTCGATGAGCCATGGAAGCCAGTATCTACCGGTGCCGACGGATCTGTCGCGGATGAAACTCACTGGGGAGTCTGGAACAGTGACCGAAGCAGTAAATACTCCTTGAGCTGTTAGATTCGGAGTTCCGAGATGATCGCCTGGGTTCGCATCGAGAAAAGGGGAAGATTCGTGGATATTATGGGGTATCGTTCGCTCGCATATTGATTTGATATTAAAGTGAGGCGAAGATTGGGAAGCATAGGACTGTAGTTTTGCGATTAGATTGTTAGCTTTGGATTTCGAGATACCATTTGTTTTATCTTCCTCCTTCTCCGCTCTTTTGCGATGCCATGCTGGCTTGGCAACGCCTCTTGTGCATTTCTGATCTCATCTCCTGCCCTAGGGGAATTTTCTCATGCAAGGGACGGAGATTTATCTCCATGATTGCGCATATTTTTGAATTTGCCATTGAAACTTTTCTCACGAATGCCCCTCTCTCGTCCCTCACATTCGTCTAATGGAATATGGTGAAAAAATGGAATCATGTGGCTCTTGAAGCGAGACCACGCATATGGCGTATTTTTTGCGGGTCGGACCGTTAGCTGTGGTGTTAGTTGGTCGTTGGTAGCTGTCTGTAGCTGTCCGTGAAAAGACCCTGAACTAATGGCATAGCTCCACGTTTTTACTTGGTCATGATTACCCGGGAGAGATTGTAAGACTTCCGAGGTTGATGGGGGAGATATATTGCTTATTCATTTGTTTGTTTCTTTTAGAGGAGGGTGACATTTAGGTATTATGATTGAACTCAATTGATTGAATTAGTCTGCCTCCACGGTAGTGGCTCCCGGAGGGCCAGCGGAGCGTCTTGCTAATTGATTGCTAATTGATTGATGATATATGATTACCTATTATTATGGTTATCTTCTTCAATAATGTATTGGTTCGCTCCTTGTGCTCGAACCTAAGAAAACTAAGAAATACTAATCAAAACCCCCCTTTACTGCTGTCAGTGCATTTATCCATTATTGATTCGTCTGGGAATTTGCAACATACTATATCCTTTTTTTGAAGAACTATTTGATATCGAGACTCAGAGTCATACTTGTCATACCTAGGTAGGTAAGGAAGAGTATCTGATGTTTCGTGTGCGATGTATGTGTAACTACGTATTCGAGTAGCAATGTTTGGGGAGAATTGGATGGTAGAGAACTTATATTGAGATTAGGAAGGCTCGTCGGTAGTGGTAGTAGGTAGGTGAGATAAATAAGAATCGTCTTATAAGTCAGTTTCACTCATGAGGCTCTGGACTCTCTACGAAACTACCGGATCTTTCGTATTGTGGTTTATCTGTACAATACTACCTTCCTGGGTAGGTGGTATCACGACTCTTTTCTTATATAGGTGCTTCTTTCGTTGGCCGTTGGTTGTAAGATGTTCCATTTCCCTTCCCCTGTACGATTCTTCTTGTACTGACTGCACTTACTGTATTGTATGTACTCGTACGGTTACTATCAATAAAAGTTGCCAGCAAGACTCTTTCCCATTCTTCCTCTTTAACCAATTCCTCATTGTCAATATCTGAATTGTCATGTCATTTAATTCATAAGATACTGAATCGAATACTCTTCTTTCTTTCGACTACAGTACAACCTCATCCTCTTGCTTCTTAACCTCACCGACGATTCGAAGTGCACCTTTACTATTTTATATCGTATAATTTGGACTCAGATCCCCCAGTTCTCCCAATTCCCTGTCAGGTCAGCCAATTAACCCCAAGGGACCCCGAGGCTTTGCTCGCTCCATTCATTTTTTAATTACCGAACGCGTCGCGACAATTCTACGGTAAATGGTAAATAATACCTACCTATCTACCTACTACAATACTACAATACTACAATGTACTCTATCTGTACGGTAATGGACGCAGTGAAGAAGTGAAATGAAGGTTGAATCTGTATTTACATTCAATTCACTCTTATCAACAAACACAACCCAAATACCCAACAACATATAATAATATAAAGAGGTCCGAGTGAAGAAAGGCATCTCACATCCATAATTTAATAATAGCTGGAGGTACTTGATAATTGTTGATTTTCTTTCAAAAATCAAAAGGAAGGAAGAGATACAGTGACAGACGAATATAAAATCGTCTGCCCTGTTCTCCAAAACTTTTGGTGAGTTGTTCCTTTTTTTTTAAACTTTTATTTTCTTTATTATTCCTGTTCCTGTTATCCGCCTGCATCCTCATTTCTCATTCCCTCATTCGGCAAAATACTGGAGATTTGGAATTTCTGTTCCTATGACTCTATGAATTTTATTAATCCGCTCATTTCCTTCTTTTCATAGTCAATATTCAATCATTGATTTCAACACCTCCTCGTACGACGACGGCAGAGGCAGGATTCGAACTACAGTATCCTGATCCATCGAAGTCTCCTGCGTTGTCAACTACTTCAACTGCTGAGGGTGGAGGGTCGTCTCCTATTCTTCCACCTCTACCAGAACCAACAATTTACGGTCATACCATCGATCTTTTTGGAACTCCGCCTTCACGCCCGCCATCCGAACCGCGAACCGACACGAGTGCATTCTTTACAGCTAGTTGGGGATCTCCGTATCAGCACCCAGTAGGATCGTCGGTTGGAAGTCGTTCACTCTATCGAAGTGCATATAGTGAAGCTTCAGAGGACTCGGAAGATCTGCCAATTCGTCATCTTGAGTTGCACACGCCGTTCTTGCGTCCTCCTCCAGCTTTCACAAGGTCTCAGACAGAACCGGATTTTGTGTCCCACGACGGTCTCATCAGCGCAGCCGTACTAGCCAACCGAGCTCGACGTCCAGCACATCGATTGACTGAAGATTGGATACGTCAACATACAGGAGGCGGATCAACAGAAAGGAACAACTGGCTCAGTGACGATCCTGGAGAAAGTGAGAACTCTTCATTGAGCGGATCAATCTCAGGGGGCGCAGCGAATTCGTCGGCTTTAGAATCCGATCCCAGAACGCCCACTTTACAACGACATTCACAACCGAGTCACGAACCCAGGTGGGATTTCGGAAGTGGTCATCGAAGAAAGGATACCGGGGAAACTTTGACACAAGCAGATATTGCCTCTTCAGTACGCGACGAATCCTCCAATATGTCCGTCAGAAATGAAAATGGTTTGCAGAGAACTTCGGCAAATCATACACCAGTAGACGAAAAACCTCTCCCTCCTCCACCTCTAATGGCACAATGGGCAGCCAAAGCTCTACCTAATCCGACACCATCTCCCACTACCCCGCTCGCGCCACGATTGAAGAAGAAAGTCCCATGGAAGGGCAAAAATATCTTGGTTTTACTTCCTTGGGACGAAGATCGCGGCAAGAGGGGAGGGGCACCAAAACCGATGACACAAAGAGATGTGGTTGGCATGCTGAAAGATTGGGAGGAATTGGGTTATGATACCAGTGGATTTAACCTTGGCTCTGATGATGGAGGTGAAGGAGGTCCCGGTCAGAGCCGAAATGGTTGGCCCCTTGTGGCGGATGTAGAAGCTGAGAGAGATCGGAGAAATTTCAGAGTCAGTATTCCTGACAAGAGAGGTAAGATAGAGCTTTTGTTTGTCATTTGTTTTCTTGAAATTGAGATGGAGAGGGATAGATGTGGTGGAAGAATCCATCCCTTCATACCAATCCGTGGCGTTACCCCTTCCATTCCTTAATTGCTTATTTGAACTACGCGAGATAATTTTGCGCCAAGTATGAAATAGGGAACATGAATTTTTGTGTTATCATTTCCATGTCACTTTTGATGATCAGGTACTAATGGATTGGATTAATGTAGAATGGGACGCTTATGTCGAAGAGTTAAAAGAAGCCAAATTGCGTGCTCTAGGTGTTTCGCTGGGAGATGATGACCCCATCCCTATCATATCACCAGCGATAGCAAGTTTGAGTCGTCGCACTTCGATGCAATACCCACCATTGCCATTTTCACCTCCCATACCAACTTCGTCGGCAGCGAGTAGTCATATGGCTCATAATTCCAGTCTTCCTTTCTCTCCCGCTTTGATGCCCGGCAATGGTTTATCGACAAGTCAAAGCTCCAATCAAGGCTCTATTCCTTCCCCTGCTTCAATGCATGCGCACTTGCATGGAAAATTTGGTGGTGTGAGACACAGTTCAGTGTCGTTTGGAAATGGGGATCATCCTTTTGGATCACCTTTTCAATATCCACAACCAACCTCGTCGCCAGGTGTTTGGTCTCCACAGCAAATGCTATACCAGCATGGACATAGAAGTGGATCTCCTTCAATGCATAATTTGGGTTCTATTAGATCTCCCGCTTCACCTCTTTCTCAGGATGGATACTTTCCACAAGGCCCCGGTGATGCCATGTCACGACAAGTTTTCATGCAGAACCAATTGTTAGCAGGTGCTCGTGCTCGTGCATCTCCAAGTCTTCAAGAAGTCCGTGAGAGCGAAGATGAGCAAACCGAGGAAGTGCCCATTCCAAGCAAGAGTCCATCTAAGACACCAACATTGGAAACTAAGCCAAACATCAAGCATAATGCGAGTGCAAGCTTACAGAGAGAGATTGATGACGCTGAGTATCATCTCGAGGAACAATTTCAAAGACAGCTTGACGGTGATGATTATAGTCCTCACTCGGATCATGGAGAAATGGATAGACAATTTGAGAACAAACCTGTACCTCACGTGAGGAATACTTCGATTGTTGGTGGTGAACTTGGATCCTCTCGATTTACGATAGAAACAACTGAAGAAGGGCCAGTCCTTCATCACCCACAACCTCATAGTCGCGGCCATTCCCTATCTCAGCGCCCATTCCAGGATTCTGAGCACGATACTTCAAGTGGCGAATCGAAGACTGCATTACGCGGTATGAAGGATAATGCAAAATTCGATTTGTCTGATGTTGAGACTAATCCTAGCAATATGGGCACACCGACTTTGCAAAATCGCGTACCTACATTTGGTCATGATAGGGACATTTCTATGTCTACCAATCCATGGCTTGATGCTGCATCTACTCAATCGAAGATTAACCAACCTGTTCATCGCGCCAACAAGCAATCTATGTCAACATTGAATGTTGCAGCGCGCCCTTTCAATTTCAATCCGGC